ATGTCTAGCGTTTAATCCCCATCCCCATCCGGATCTATCTTGGGAAAGAGAGGTAATACTACTAAGGCTACTTCTAGCCTCAGTACCTTAGTCCAGTCAGAAGGAGATAGTAAGCTCAAGGCCAGAGTAGAACCCTTTACTGGGCAACGCTCTCAGCTCTGAGCTTACTTGATCTAACTTTATATGGCCTTTGACCTTAACTAAGGATAGTTTACCAGCAACTGACTGAAAGTTATCTACACTACAGCCTATCTTAAAGGAGCAGCTTTTGCCTAGTTTAAACCCTTTCTCAGCGACCACTATGAGAACACAAACAGGGCTAAAGAAAAGACTAAGAGGCTCATTAATTCTTTTAAGGAGTTTAAAAGAGAAATGAAGGTGATCTTCAGTACAGCAAATAAAGAAAGGACTGCTACTAGAGAAATACATCAGCTCAGGCAAACTAGATCTATATCTGCCTACTATTCTATATTCCAGCAAGTGGCCTTATACCTAGACTGGGATAAAGATGAAGCTTTATGGGATATGTTCTACTAGGGATTAAAGATAGAGGTTAAAGCTAAAATAGCTGTACCGCTACCCACAACTCTGATTAAAGTGGTAGACAAGGCCATTAAGGTGGACAACCAACTCTACAAGCTCAGGATAGAACAGTGACACCCTGGAAAGGTTCTATTCAGCGGATATAGGGGAAGGAAGAATCGTGCTTACAATTGAGGGGACCTAATAGATCTCTCTGTAATATAAGCTGGACAATCCTCATGACCTAGAGGCCGCGGTAACAGAAGGATCCTGGGTAGAGACAAATGGGAGAAATGTAGACAAGACAACCTGTGCTTTAGTTGTGGAAAATCCGGACATCAGGTGAAAGACTGTGGGACCCTAACCTAACGACTGTATATAATAAGCAAACAAACAGCTGGTACACCAGGAAAAAAGGCTGACACTGGTGTGAGCACTACTAAAAAAGTGGGTAACCTCTCTGAATCAGAAGAGGTACAAGCACAGGAGGGATTGAAACAACCATTAGTAGGAACTAAGGCCTACTAGGAATGGTATAAGAAGGAGTTTACATGGGCGCATATATCCTCTGAAGACAAGAGCTTCGTTAAGATCCTGAGAGAGGGAGAGGCCTCTTACACACAACCTCCAGAAGAGGAGAAGGCCAAGCCAGAAGAAGAAGCGGATACACCTGAAAGACTTAGCCTACAACTGTGTATTGACTTCAGGAAGCTCAACAATATCACCTGAAAGAACCAGTACCCACTTCCGCGCATAGATGAACTACAGGACAGACTTCTAGGTGCCAAATAGTTTACAGCAATTGATATTAGGGACACCTATTATTAAATTAGAATAAAAGAGGGTAAAGAATGGAAGACAGTGTTCAAAACACAGTGAGGACTCTATAAGTACCAGGTCATGCTGTTCAGATTAACCAACACACCCGCCTCTTTCTAAGAGCTAATTAACAACACCTTACAAGAATACCTAGATGTTTTTGTCCTGGTCTACTTGAATGACGTCTTGGTATTCTCTTAAACTTATAACAAACATGTGGAGCAAGTTTGAAAGGTGCTTAAGAAACTACGACAGAAACACCTCCCGGTGAAACTTAGCAAATACGAATTTCACAAGCACAAAATAGCTTTCCTCGGCTACCTTGTCTCAGAGAAAGGATTAGCTCTAGATCCTATGAAAATACAATCTATTGAGGAATGGCCCAGGCCACAGAATATTAAGGAAGTACAGTCATTTGTGGGACTTACTAACTACTACCGCAAGTTTATCTTGGGGTATTCTCACACAACAACCCCTTTAACAAACCTCACAAAGAAAGATCAACGCTTTGACTGGACAGAAGAATACGAGCAAGCCTTCAAGGCTATCAAGGAGAAAATAACTAAAGCTCTAATACTCGCTATCTTTGACCTAGAGAAGGAAGCTATACTTGAAATAGACACCTTAGACTACGCGGTTAGCGTATGCCTTACCCAAAAAGGGGAGGATAGAAAAATCAGGCTAGTAGCCTATTGGTCCAGAAAGATAACTGGACCCGAGTTAAATTATAATATCCACAATAAGGAACTATTGGCAATAGTGGAAGCTTTAAAGGAGTAGAGAGTATACCTAGAAGGGACCAGTTAACCTGTTCAGATCTTTACTGACCATAAAAACCTTCTATATTAGACCACAACAAAGGAACTCAACTGAAGGCAAGTTAGGTGGGTGGAAATACTTGCAGTATACAACTTTAAAATCACGTACGTTAAAGGAACGGAGAACAGACATGCTGATACCTTAAGTAGACAACCCGACTATATAGAAGGAACTAGACCTGTGCTAGCCTTAATACTAAGGTAAGAAGGAGATAGCCTAGTATATAGAAAACCTCAAACATTGGCAGCCATAGAAATACAACTAAATGAACAACAACACTAGGAGGTTATATGTAATAGGTATAATATTAAAACAGCAGGGCACCTAGGTGTTAACAAAACAATTAAACTTATAACTTGAGACTTCACCTGGCCCAGCCTAAGGAAGGATGTAGAAACCTACGTCAAGAACTGCAACTTGTGCGCACAAACCAAACACAGTCGACACAAACCCTATGGGTTACTACAATCCCCAGAATTACTAGACAACATATAGACCTCAATTGTGATAGACTTTATCATAGATCTGCTAAAATCCGCACATCCCCTCATAGGAGTGGAATACAACAGCATCCTGGTAATAGTCAAAAGACTGACAAAGTGGGTATACTTTGTACTATTCTTAAAAACAGTAACAGCAACAGACTTTGCTCACATTTTTATAGAAACAGTCTTCACACAGCACAGAATGCTAAAGGAAATTATATCAGACAGAGACAAACTCTTCACATCGCAATTTTGGCAATCATTAACAGACCAGTTAGGAACAAAACACAAGCTGTCAATAGCATTTTACCCACAGACTGACAGACAAATGGAAAGAACAAACCAAGTCCTTAAACAATATCTACAGTGCTATTTAGACTATAAACAAACAAAGTGGGTCAAATTATTACCAACAGCACAGTTTGTATACAACAATTCAGTAGGAGCAACAGGGATCTCTCCTTATTATATAAACTACAGAAAACACCCAAGACTTTATAACCACGAACTAGGTATAAAGCTAGTGGCAGAAAAAGCAAAAATATCAGTAACACACTTATAAACAATATATCAACTACTTAGAGACAACTTACAGGAGATTCAAGATAAAACAACAAAATATGCAAATAAAAAGAGAACTGGAGGACTAGTCTTCTCAGAGGGGGAGATGGTTTACCTTCTATAAAAAAACATAAAAACATAGCGACCAAGCTCTAAACTGGATTACACTAAACTCAGACTATTTAGGGTTATCAGAAGAACAGGAAATGTCAACTATTAACTTAGACTTCCAAAAGAAATGAGGATACACAACATGTTTCACATGTCACTACTGGAAAAAGCACCGCAAAACATCAAGACTCTAGGACCAATATATGTTCACAAGGAAACACAGGAACTATATTACAAGATTAATTATATTATAGGAACCCAACTCATCGACAGGAAGCCACACTATCTAATTCACTAGAAAGGATATAAGTATATAGAAAACACATGGGAACCAGAGGAGAATCTTACGCGGGAGGCTTTAAGGGACTATCGCCAGGACCTGAAACAGCGACAACTAGGTCTGGTAGTTGAGGTTCCTTAACACCAGCCAAAATCCAACTAGACAGCTCTGAACTAAGGTCAAAATCCAGAGAGGACATCACAGCTAGCGGCTCAGGGTCGCCGGTGAAAGTGTCGAGCTCCTCAAGGGCTCGGGCTTCCTCCTCAATCATTTTTTCTTGGCAGTTGTGGATTTTGTCCAGTTTCTTGTCAAGGGAGTTGTGCTCCTTTTAAAGGGAGAGCAATTCCCAGGCAAGACTGGTGAGACAGGAACGTGCTTTAACCTTCTTACAGAGAAGGTCGGTCTTCTAGTTTTCCAGTGCATTGAACTTGGCATTAGAAAAGGTGCCCCCACAAGCGACGTTCTTTCGCAAGCAGCATAAGCAACACAAAGCACCCTTTCAAACGATACAGTGGGACCCAGAAGAAACACACTAAGGGCAGGGAGCCATTGCGGGGAAACCAGTTTGGTCGATCTTGTCGGCAAGACATTTTCAGTGATCAGTAGAGCTAAGCTTAGCAGTACAGACTAGAGGCATGTTCAGCTATAAACAAGGATTTCATATAGAACAGAAGGGACTCACTTACTTATAGGTGTTAAGGACGACTAAGGCTCAGGAGGGGGAAAGTGTTACAGATCACATCCGTAACCTAACTAAGGCCGGTAGCTGTAGGGACACTAGTGCCCAAGAGGAAGGTTACCCAGAGGAGGACTGGACCCCACAGAAAGCTATACCCTAGGGACAAAGGACGGTTGGTGAGTCACGTGACACACTCTGTGATCTGGGGTGCTCCCGTTATCAGAGCAATAGATCACACAGAGTAAGACAAGCTATACAGCACTATATAGAGGGACGACCTGTCCCGACACTAGATAGGACTCTCGTAGTCAACTTCGTATATTGATTCGCTCTATACATTAGTAGTACAACTGCTACTATCAGTTCCTACATTTACTTTGGCCTAGCCTTGACCCTGATACTATTCCCCCAGCTGCTAAACCCAGTTTGGACCCGACGTTCGGAGCGGTTCATAACACTCCTATACGCCTCGTGTGGAAGATCATGTTGATTCTGGACTTGCTCCTGCAAGTACTGAACCGTTGTACATAGAGAAACACAGTTGACACCTATTCGTCCTGAGGCTCCTCTCACACTATCCCGAGTGACTCTTACACTCCCTAAGTCTATCATTACGGATAATGATAGGAATGAGGCGTCTGCCCCAACCATTCTTCGCTCCATGTACCACCTTAACACTCCCCAATACCCTCCATTAGACCAGTCACCAGACTTCTGGCAAGGACTATTCCTCGCGCCGTGCAACACGGATGAGACAGTCTCCTGGATTTGCCACGTGGCGGTCTAAGGCCGGTAGTTCGAAATCTTTGTCCAGGAAGCTGAAGTCGTATCTGCGTATCAGCGTGGGAACTATCACAAGCATTTCCAAATAAGCAAGATTGCGTCCGAGGCATGCTCGAGGTCCCTGAGAGAATGGCATCACATATCGTTTGAGGTTGTCGTCATCAGCTGCGAGCCATCTCTGGGGCCAAAAATTGTCCGGATCTGGGAAGAGCTCTGGGTTGTGATGTAAGGACCACGTCGGCACTGACACCGTGACACCGGCTTTGATGGTGTGGCCAGCGATAACTGTCTCTTCTACTGTCTTTCTTGGCAGACCAAGGGACAAGGGTGGCCGCATCCGTAGACCTTCTTCAATACAAGCCTTGAGGTACGGAAGGTCCTTTACCTGCTCATAATCGGGAATCAGGACATCAGGGGCCAGTTCGCTATCCAGTTCATGCCTCAGCTTCTTCATAACCTCTTCATGCTTGATGAGAAGATAGAGTATATTGGTCATTGCTGTCGCCGTAGTATCTGATCCAGCATTGAGAATGACCTGGGAACACGTTCATTAGCAGACGACCAGTCTTTGCTCGAGTATGACTTACATTACTCTCAGTGACGAGTTCTTCGAAAGGTAGCTTATGTTCTTTGCCAGTCCGGTCCGTTAGATAGTGGCCAAACAGATCTTTGTAGGCTAACGTCGGTCCCCTTGCGAGTCGTGCCCGCAGCTTTTTGATGCACATATCGATAAATGCAGTACCATGTTGTTGAGGCTTGGTCCACCAGAGTAGCCTGCGGCTCGTGGGGAGATACTCAGGCCAAAGACCAAGGATGGACTCTAGCACTGACACTTCATGAAACGGCTCAATGGCCTGAGTTGCATAATTGCATTTCCCGTCTCGAGACTGTGCCGGTGCCCAATCGTGGCCGTGTCGCACAAAATCCATAGATTCGCCGTACCCAGCCACACCTATGATATCGAACGTGAGGAGGTTCATCCAGACTCGCAAGTTCAGCGCTGGCCGTTTGACTGATTTAGGCTGCTCGTCGAGGACGCAAAGAAACTCTTGGATGACCTTTCTGATGTCTGCCTGCATCTGCACAACATTAGACATTGCGAAGCCGGCAGAGATCATCTTCCTTTTTCTCGAATGCTCCTCCTTGCTGCGAGTGCCCACGATGTTCTCTTCTCCACCAGCAGACCGAAAGATCTCATAGAAATCCCCTTTGTGCATTTTAGATCCATGGCCGTAAATCTGTGCTGCTGCTTGCGGAATGTTGAATGATAGATGGTCGGGTTGAATCCTGATCACCGGCCCAAGCTCGAGATGAGCTTTATGCACAATTTGATATCGGCGAAGGCGGTACACTTGATAGGCATTCCAAAGATTCGTGACACCTGCCAGGCCGCGGCCAGGTGCTGGATATTCTCGGAGACCAAGGGGGTCTTGGAAGTATACAACAAGAGGGTGAATCAATACCCTGAAAATCGTAGCGGCGACGAGCGCAGCTCCCAGTACAGCCGTTGGTACCGTCATATCGCAGCAGTAATAGTTGTATTTCGTTCCTCCTTGCTAGAGCTCATGCAATACTCGGATAGAGCTCGATTTGTTCTTACTACCTTTTGGTAGGGACCCCCTATCAAAAGTGGCAGTCCTGCGGCTGCGATGGATCTTGCCCATATCACTCCCTGCAGGTCTGGTATTCTTAGCAACATCACTGAGCAACTATTAAAATACAAGGTGGCACGCTAGCGCTCCGCATTGCGCTCTGGGGTCAAGTCAAGCGCTCAAGACAACAGCGTGCGCCTTTCATGCCCCCGGTATCCTTACAATGGTGTCGGGTAGATGCCGACGTCCTTGGCAGAACAAGCGACACACTTGTATGCTACGCGACAATTACACGACAGCTACGCGACGATTAAGCGACGATTAAGCGACACTGATCGCCCTCACCAACCTACGAAGTCCATCGGGCTGTCGTTTCCCCACGGGGTCTGTTTACGGCTTGGCTTCGACTATCTTACCCCCGTAAGTTCTCCAGGCCGTTTCATAGAGTTTTATCCCGCCACTGACACAAGGTGGTGTCGGCTCCCAAGTGAGCTCGGCGTACTCCATCGGATGTTGCTCCTGCAAGCTCGAGGAGAAATCTGGCTTCACCAAAACCACGTGTGCATGGCGAGCCGCTAACTCAACTCTGGACTTGCTGATCATCATATATGTATTCGCCATCCTCTTGATCCTGTTACTGAGGCTAGACAACGAATTACTGCTTGTTTTCATGCTGAGAGCTCCCCAGCTCTTTTCTAAGTATGGCAACAATGACCAATGAAACTGGTGTAATGTATCAGGCTCGAGTCAAACCAGGTGAGAAGGTCTCACACTGTGGGAAGACTGCGGCTCATTGTCTTCGGCAGGGCTACTCGGCATGATGAAGAATCCCTATGTTCTCATGTGCTGCTTGACCGCAGCCATTGGTGGATTTTCTTTCGGATATGGTAAGTCTCAGTGGCTCTGGTGGACGTGTGCACCTCATTTCCTGGAGTTAACAATAGACAGACCAGGGTGTCGTCTCAGTCATCTTAGTTATGCCAGCCTTTCTCACCCGATTCACAGAGATTGATGAGAGCGTGACGTCAAATGCCGGCTTCTGGAAGGGCCTCGCTACATCCATGCTCGAATTAGGCGGCGTTCTAGGTGCCCTCACCAACTCATGGGTGGCGGACAAGTTCTCCCGCCGCCGCGCAATGCAAGTCGGTGTGGCTATCTTCGTGGTAAATACAGTCCGGAGTCAACTCTGATCTTGCTGACACAACTGACAGATCGGTGCCGTCATCCAGACCGCGGCTCCCAACTATGCTGCACTGACTGTAGGTCGTTTCATAGGTGGCTTCGGTGTGGGAATGCTTGCCATGGTAGCTCGTGAGTCATGCAAACAAGTGCGCGCACCCCAAGCTTACAAATGCTTCAGCTGTTTACATGGGCGAAATCAGCCCTGCTGAAATACGTGGGAGTCTCCTCGTGCTGGAAGAATGGTTCATCGTTGTTGGCGCCATCACAGGTAACTGGCTTGCTCCTGACTTTACATTTCCACACCCTGATCAAATATCACAAGCTTTCTGGATCACCTATGGCACACGTTATATCGACTCCGAATGGTCTTTTCGTCTCCCTTTCCTCCTACAGATCGGGCCGGCACTCTATCTTGCCGTTGCCGCGATATGGATGCCGTTCTCGCCACGTTGGCTCTGCCAGAAGGGTCGGGACGAACAAGCTCTAGCTGTTCTCGGTAAGCTGCGTGGACTTCCAATTAGCGATCCAATGGTTCAGACCGAGTTGCTCGATATTCAGGTCGAGGCTCAATTTCAGCGCAATATCATGGCCTCGCGACACCAAGTTTCCAAGGACCGTAGCCAGGAGATACCTATCCATAAAGACCTCGCGGGATTTCTTGATTTGTTTAAGAAGGGGGCACGAAAGCGAACAGCGGCAGGTGTTGCGCTAGTGTTCTTCCAGCAGTTCGTTGGCATCAACGCCCGTAAGTTTCCTATTCTTGTCTTGGTCTCGGAAGCTGAGTTCACTGAACAGTAATCTATTACGCTCCTACGATATTCTCGAGCATCGGACTGAGCTATGAGCGTTCGCTCCTCATGTCTGGTATCATGAACATCATTCAGCTCGTTGGTGTCACCGCAAGTATCCCGCTCATGGATCGAGTGGGCCGCCGACCGCTACTCATGTTTGGAGCGATTGGCATGCTAGCATCACAGCTATGTCTGTCCATCGAGGTCGGGCTGTATTCAGACTCCTGGCCGGCGCACGCAGCTCAAGGCTGGGTCGGGGTGGCGTTTATCTGTAAGTTATAGGACTCGGAAGAAAGCTATCTTCTGGCTTGGACTAACATTCCTGTCCTAGGGTGGTATATGATCGCCTTTGGAATCTCCTGGGGACCTATACCCTGGTCGCAGCCGGCAGAAATCTTCCCTTCGTCGCTCCGTTCAAAAGGCACCGCCTTCTCCCAAGCATGCCAATGGTTCTTCAATTTTGTTATTGGACTTGTGACCCCGCCGATGATACAGAACATCGGCTACGGCACTTACGTCTTCTTTGCTGTGTTCTGTGTCCTCAGCTTCCTGTGGGCACTGTTTCTAGCACCAGAGACGAAGCAGCGATCTTTGGAGGAGATGGACGCCGTATTCAACGACCATACAGGGGAAGAGGACGAACGACATAAGACGCAGATTCGCCAGTCATTACAATCAAGTAGGCTCAAAGCAGAAGCCAGTGGGGTGGACCGCAGTTCTGACATGAAACCTGAATGGAGCCACTCCGCCGTGGACTCAGTATAGATGGCAGGGGGGGCGGGGCTTTTCTGGCATAAAGCTACGAGGCCTCGAACGCTGCTTCGTAGTCAAATGCTGGCAATGTTGGTCCGTGTCAATGGGAGAAAACAACAGCCGGAGAGCAATCGGACGCATCACGAAAATGCCCCCTGTTATGTGATTCGATTATGGCCTTTCGAAAGGTCTCGAACATGTATTTGATGCGGGGTGAAACTCAAAATGCACTTCCTCCTCTGAGTCCATGCTGATAATGCTGTCACTTGCGGACTGACTAGAATCTGCGACATCGGTCGTGTACGTCATCGACAGTCCCTGACCTTCCGCTGTAACGACTATGAAGGCGTAAAATACTTATCTGAGATGGCTCAATCACAAGATGCCATCTGCTCCCGAAAATACTTGCCGCGTAACAGATGATACAAAGCGTCCGCCGCATACATCAAGTTCAACATGGCCACTCTTAAGACTGTGAAAGCTGGCGACAAGGAGATCTCGATTCCGACTGGACTCTTCATCGGCAACGAATGGGTTGAATCGGTTGCAAAAACCACGTTTTCTATTGAAAATCCCGCTACCGGCAAGGAGATTATTCAAGTCCAGGAAGGCCGCGCAGAAGATGTTGACCTTGCAGTGAAGAAAGCTCGTGAGACCTTCAATTCAGCTCAGTACAGGGAAATGAATCCGATGGAGCGCGGCGCCATGTTGAACAAGCTCGCCGACCTCATGGAAGAGCACAAGGACAATCTCATCGCCATCGAGATGTTGGACACCGGCAAGACTTACAAACAAGCTTCTGCTCTGGATATCCCCGCCTCCATCGGCACACTCAGATACTACGCTGGTTGGGCCGACAAAATCCTCGGCACGAGCTCGTTCAACATTCCGAAAACCTTTGCATATACCAAGCGAGAACCCGTTGGAGTGTGTGGCCAGATTATACCTTGGAAGTAAGTCTGGTTCATGTGTGGGTTGAGACCCGTACACTCACCTTCACAGCTTTCCTCTTCTCATGTTCACTTGGAAGATCGCACCCGCTTTCGCCTGTGGCAACACTGTGGTGATCAAGTCTGCAGAGGCTACACCTTTAAATGCTCTGTACATGTGTAACTTGATCAAGGAAGCAGGATTTCCTGCCGGAGCCATCAACCTGATCTCTGGTTATGGCAAGAACGCCGGTGCTGCCATCGCAAGTCATATGGGCATCGACAAGGTTGCCTTCACTGGGTCGACGGTCACCGGACGATCTATTCTTAAGGCTGCTGCAAGCTCGAACCTCAAGAAGGTCACACTTGAGCTAGGCGGCAAGAGTCCTGTACGTGTTCTCGATGCACCGTGGCCGACAAGCTCGCCGCCCCAGGAGTCGAAATACCGTTAACGCTTTCGCAGAATATCGTATTTCCGGACGCCGACATCAAACGAGCTGTCGAGTGGTCCGTTTGGGGCAGTAAGTTGGATAGACCCTGTTAACCCGGCATTGGCGAATTGCATTTGTCGGGTCCGCTCTACACCACTGTTCTTCTTTGCATCCGACCTTTCCCTTGTTATCGGGTACCGTTACTGATTGATGCTCTCCTACTGGATTAGTCAACATGAATTATGGTCAGACCTGCCATGCTGGGACGCGTATCTACGTGCATGAGGACGTGTACGACGAGTTCCTTGCCGCCTACACAGCGCGCCTGAAGAAGATGCGTGTCGGCGACAACTTTGACAAGAACAATGACCAGGGTCCGCAAAACTCAAAGATGCAGTACGACAAAATCCTAGGGTATATCGAGTCTGGCAAGAGTGAAGGTGCGACTGTTCACCTGGGGGGAAATGCTATCAAGGGCGAGAGTTCTGGTTACTTCATCGAGCCTACTATCTTCACTGATGTCACAGCCAATATGAAGATCATGAGAGAAGAGATTTTTGGGCCCGTGGTAGCAATTGCCAAGTTCGAGGACGAAGACGAGGTCGTCAAGATGGCGAATGATACGACGTATGGCCTGGCAGCTGGGATTCATACCAAGGACTACGAGCGGGCAATCCGGGTGACCAGCGCGTTACAGGCAGGCACGACGTGGGTCAATATGTATAATTTTGTCCACTGGTCGGTGCCCTTTGGAGGCTACAAAGGTGAGGCACATCATTATGGTGGCACTGCGCTGCTAACCCCATGCTAGAGTCAGGCGTTGGCCGAGAATGTGGTGAGGCGGCGCTGGAGAATTACACCGAAACCAAGGCGGTCTATTTCAACATGGGAATGCGAGCACCGGATGCGCTTGATGACGAATAGGAGGAATGCGAAAGCGCGTAGCGGACTTCGGAACCAGGTAGCTGTACCAACAACATAATGTTCGTAGTACATGTATGGCCCTTTGCAGCACCAGCCTAACCGGTGTGTACGGCGGTGTGAGGCCACCAAAAACGCGGTGCCTCTGTGCCTGAAAGATGTTGAACTTTGTTCGCCGCGCCAAACTCAGCCGGCCGTCCTTATTCTGCCGAAAAAGTAAGCTGCTGAAGTTCTTCTGCGGTGTGACCCTGCTGCACGAATCAGCTGTTGGCGGGTCCCTGACCTGCAACGTTGGGCTGCACAATCGTCCAATCGGGCAGACATCAGCTCACCACAAGATTCGAAGAATCCTCGCCTCGGCTTCCTAACGGCCTTCCAGAAACTGCCTGTTCAGCCGAAAGTCCCGCTGGGTTGCCGGGACCTGTCAGGGTCTCGGACTCCGCTCATATATTGCACATGCTGACTGCCACGTAGGCCCGGCATTTTCTGAGCTCGCCGACGCCTACACTGAACACCTCACTAGCGCTCAATATCTCCAACGCTTTTACACTGAAAGCAGAGCAGCATGGCCTCGATAATCGATTTGTGGTCTCATAACATTGGGTTCGACCTTAGGAGAAAATCTTCCCGGAGGCAGCCTCACCGCCCAAACACAACCACTATGCAACCGGCTCTGGATACCTCGTCAGGAATTCTAGCCATCAGGTATTCAGGCTCAGACGACTCCTCGGCCGTGAGCACTCCAAACAGTGAAGGTAGCGAGGGAAGCTTCACTGAGATCAGTGTCGATGGCGGCGTCGAAGCTACCGTTGTCCGACCGATGCTCCCGAAACGACATGCTAGCCACCGCATGACACGGTCTGTCGAGGAGGAGCGTCCGACCACCCCGGTTGCACCTGCAGATACCCAAGGCCGGCCTCCGATCCCACCCAAATCGCCATATAGAGCTTCGCAAGTCATGGTAAGGCTCCAGAATGAGCTCGCGGAGATGCCCGAGGACGAAGACGACACGCCCGACCAGACCGCCTTGCGACTGTCGTGATTTGTCGCGGACGCCTCTATCGTCTGTCGTACTCCCGAGAGGCATCATTCTCTCGTCGAAGCGGGAGCTCGAAATGTAAAGCCAGCTTCAGTCAACCTACCTATGTGGGAAGTGTAATTTGCATATCTACCGCCATATCGGGACCGCCATCTCTTATGCAGGAAGCTACATCCTCCCCGGGCACTTCTCTACCTATGCTGCTTCTCTCTGCGTGGCATGAGTTGAACCAGTCGAAATCAGAGCTTCGCACCCCCACTATGGGAGGCACAGTCTGCATGATCGGCTTGATTGGTGGCGTTGTTGAGAGATGCGCCTACCGGGGTGCTTATCATGCCATTGTGCTGAAGCAATTGAGACATCAACCATTAAGGTGTTGCCCAGATTCAGTCATCCTCTCTGTTTGGAAGAGAACTGCTCGGCAACGGGTCTCATGTCTGCCCTATATCGCCAGCAGTCCGATGCCTCAGCGACTGAACAGCTACGCCGCCATCTGCGGCCAAAGAGAAGACAATGTCCCCTCCGACGTTCACAACGCAGGCTACCGATGCGCCACATGCGCTAGATTATTGGTGTCTGGCACTGGAACTTAGGGACAAACTCCATCCGCAACTCGATACCAAGATGCAATCGAAGTCGGGCATCGCCACATTCCCTCAAGGATTCAATACCTAATTGGAATCGAGTTCACAGCTGTCGGCGAGTCGTCAGCTACGTTGGCATGCAATGCCACACTCCTGCACTCACTGGACAATCTCACGACGTATCTGAAGGAAAAGCGCTTTCGCTGGTAGTGTCCTACTTCGAGCGACTCCTCAGCTGTCCTATGTATCGGCGAGAGCACCGTCTTCTCCCCCCCCGGTGTCACACCTGCGCGCTTGCGAAGATTGTGACGACCGAGACGACCTGGGCTGTCATTACGACCAATGGAGCAGAACTTTGAATGACTGGCGGTTGAGGGGGGCCAGAGGGGAAATCATGCGCTGTCGCTGGAAAACCCCCCGCGGGTGCGATGTATTGGCGCTTTGTCTTGACTGCGGACGAGTGATGAGGCTATAAGCTAGTTGAGCTCCATAGGTCCTTCCACGTTCACGCCCCAATAGCAAAGGCCAAGGCCGTTGGTACAGTAGCTCCATCGATTGCCCCCATCTAGCTAGCTAGTTTGGATCTGGCAGTGGCCGAAATCGACAGTGTGTAGATGGTAAACCTTCCCGAGATGCCACTTTTGGGCCTTTGTATTATTTGTACATTCTATGAGTCTAATAAGAGTCTTATGTTCATACATTCGTGCAGGTACCCCGCCGTGGCAGTCAATCTTCAATCCTTCAAGCCGATCCTCAAGACTTAGGACTTGACGATGCCCCTAATGCTCGTGTTGGTGTTCACACGATCAATGTCGAACGGGTTCGCATCATACTCGGCAGCTTCGGCAAGCGAGCGTGTGCGGACCAGCGATAGCGAGCCGGAACGTCGCCGATCCATGGTCGCGGGCCTGATAGGCTCGAAACGTGGTGCATTCGTCTCGGTGGGCGCATCGGAGCCGGCGCTCGCAGATGTCTGGGATTGCTGACGTTGCGCAAAGTCTCGCTTCTCCACGTCATGGACGTCGGAACCATCATCGGTGATGTCCTTGTCGGCGCCGACAGCAGCCTTTTGTCGCAGCTCTGCCATGGCACGCTCAGCCTGTGCGGAATAGGTGCAGCGCTTGCGGATGGCGGCGCCGTACTTGTAGAGAATGAACGGGGCCGGAAGGCAAGCCAGGGCCAAGAATGCCGGCACTGAACTTGCCCAGTGAATGCCCAAGTCCCGGTACATGTAGCTGGTGAACATCGGAAACGCGGCGCCAAAAGCAGATCGCAGCAGCGAGTTGGCCGCTAGCACAGAGGCAGCGAAGATCGTGTAAGCGTCGATTAGGTAATTAGTGATGGCCAAGAAGATCAAGACAAGGCCAAATCCGAAGAATCCGCCCGCGATGACTGGACTGATCCAGTGAATGTCCGGAGAGTTCGTCCAGGCAAACCAGAACATGCCCACTGGAACTGCGATGGCACCAACCATAGCGACAACGAGACGTTCCTCGGGTGGTGCTATACCACCGTGCCGCTTAGCAGCGCGCTCATAAAGAGGGGCAGTAACGCCAATGAAGATGGTGGCCACAATCATGCCAACGGCAACGCCAAGGAAAGGCAAGGCTCCGATACCTTCAGACCATCCGCGAGTTTGTTGGAACACAATGGGGAAGGCGCCGAAGAGGAGATATAGTGTGCCGTACACGATAGCAATGTAAATGCTAAGGACGAACACTATTGGTTCGAGGAAGAGCAGAACCCATGGGCGAATCAAGGAGGTCTTGATGATGGTGGCCACGGCGATCGTGCCATTGTCGATCTCGATCTTTGTCTTGTAGACCTTTCCTGTTCGCGCTGATAATCCGGCAGCACGCTTCCGGAGCAGAACAACCGCGTAGGTCTCTGGGACGAGCAGCGCTCCCAAAACCAGGAGCACGCCAGAGAATATCGTCGCCACTGCCATGACCCAGCGCCAGCCTACATTTTCACCGGTAAAGCCACCGATGATCGGACTCAAACATGGCCCCATGGATGGTGCTAGTGAGAAGATAGCCATTGCGAGACCTCGCTCGGAAACATTGAAAATGTCGGCGATGACACCACCAGCATTGGTGAGCGGTGAAGAACCGAAAGCGCCGGCAAAGAAGCGCAGGACCAGCAGCTGCCCAATATTCTGGGCCGCGATGCAGCCCGCATTGAAAGCGGTGAATCCAGTGAAGCTGATGAGGAAGATGATTTGGCGACCGTAGAGCTCGGAAAGCGGTGCCCAGAGAAGCGGTCCAACTGCAAAACCCAAGACATATAACGACAGACCGGCAGTAAGGAGATCGGTGCTGGTCGTGAGATCCGCACGGAGCTCGCGGATGGTGCCACTGTATACGCTTGATGTGAATGCCATGGCCAAGCACTCGAACGCGGCGATAGTGGTAACAATCCATTTGAAGCCTTTGCTCCAGGTCATAGGGTTGCCGGCATCGTTGGGTGTCCATGTAACAACGTAAGGATCCTCCTTCGTGCCTGACCCGTCATATTGGTGAGTCTCGACCTCGCGGGTAATTCTTTGCTGATCGAAAACAAGACGGAAGAGCGACATCGACCGTTTAGCCGACGAAATCTCCTGCTTCTCGGCGGACATTTTGTCGAGGTCGAGTCAGCGGGAAACGATAGATCACGAGGTTTGCTAGGCGAGGCGAGAAGGATCAGAACACCCATCCCTCTCAAGCAGGGCAGGCGCGGGATATTTCAAGGCGATGTTGACGGCAAATGGACAACAACAACTGAGTTCCACTGAAGGAATTTGCCCAGTCTCGGGACCGAGCCACGTTGATTAACAGGGCCGTAGGTGAACGTGGTCTCCTCCGGTGGAGATTCGGCGCAGGTGTACGGCGTTTCCGGGCGAATGAGGTGACGCCATTGTGCTGAAGACCTGTCGTCAAGCTTCACCAAGCTCCAGCCCTGAAGACGAAGATAGCTGCGATGCCTCGGCTCTTCGGTATCGGTGACAAGGCACATACGAAATCTTTCCAAGTTCCAGAGCGGGAATTGGTGCTGCAACGCCGTGTCAGGAGACGCCAAGTGAAATCTCGCCGTAACGCCACCATCGCGGCTGAAAATTTTTGAACTCGGCTCTCCCGATGCGGCATGATATCGCCGGGTGCAGATCGCTTATGATGCAAGCACAACACGCTGCATAAGATAAGACCTGTCGGTGCTTCACGTTGCCCACGACGTATTTCGTATTGCTCGCAGGGGGCGCGCTCCTCCGTGGCGAATGCTGAATTTTCCTCACATGGCAGCATACATGGTGCATCGGGCCGCGGCGCAAACATGTGCGCCATCAGTGGAACATGTATACCACGTGTCAATGCTCAACGATCCTACGCCAGGACGTGTGCGCACTGGGTTGTATCGTGCTTGTGCAGCCATTGTTGAACGTATGTCAAGTCATGTGCTCCATGATGCTCAGCCTGTTGGCTGCATCCTGACTTTCGAGCTGCCAGAAACGCAGCAGGCCCTTGACCCGATCGATCGAGTCCTTCCATGCCTGAGGCAGCAAGCCATGCAAATGTGGGTTGCGACTGGCTGCAAGGAGAACCAGAGAACTTCTTGTGCAGGACCTCAACATCAGCCATGTGCCGTGATGTCTTCTGTGGAAGCCAAAGGAATCTGACTGGATGCGCTGCACGCAGATCTGCAGCGCCTTGCTTGCGTATCCTTCGATCGCCGGAGATGTTGAGGGCGTGTCTTCCTCGAAGAAGTGAGCAAGGAAGTGATGATACATCATCTCGTAACAATCGATCAGATGCCCATTGAGGATGTAGCGGAGGACAGTTTCAAGGCGCGTGTCACCATCGGGTGCATTGGTCGATTCGGGCCGCAATGCCGCTGGAAGCGACGAAAGCCAGTTTGCTGCCTGATTCTCAAAGTTCTGCACCATACTGACGGCCACAGATGAGGTTACGATGGGTTTGTTCTTGTGGAAGGTGTTGAGAACGCGGTTGCCCAGACGCCTGAGAGCAATCTCGGCCAGATAATAGTACCAGACCACCTCTTTGTTTGCATGCAGTGCTCGAGGTGGTGAAGGATAGAAGTCGGGGTAGGAGAGATCGAACACTGGATTCTTGGTGATGTTGAGCTCAAGTCGAAGCTCGAGCTCGGACTTGAAGCACGTCCAATACAGGCTCTGCTGAAGTCCAAGCTGACGTTGGTCGATCTTTCCAGCTACGTCTGCACCACTAAGAAGTACCTGGCAGCACGTCAAAGCCTGTACAAACATCCTCCAGGCAGCGAGTGGACGCATGGTGGTCATCAAGTATACGCCAGACAAGAAGAAGCATTGAGCTTCGAGAACGCCTGATGTGCAGAGCATGTGGCTCATCCGAGCTTGTGCTGCTTGGAAATAAGACTGCGATCTGATGAATTGTCGCGTTCGTCGAAAGTCGATCGATTCGGGCTGATTCTGGAAGTCCGACGCATATGTGAGGGCACCATGCGCGTATATCAGAAGCAGGACACAGCTCTGGGCATCCCATCGCATACCGGTGTATTGGACGTCTCGCAGATATTGCCTGATGACTTCCTCGTCAATGATGGGATTGAAAGTGAGCACATGATCGATGAAGCGCTGCAGCAGTTCCTGCTCGTCACCACCATCAAAGGATGCAGTAGGAGGCTGGACCGCATCAGGCTCGTCCTGTGCAGATAGTAAGTGGGTGAGGTTCAAGTTGGGATGTATCTCTTCAAAGGGGCCCCATGTTAGTATGCCTTCGACACTCATTCGCGAGGACGATTCGTTCTTGGTGTCGAACAGTCCTTCATGTTGAAGAAGTGCATGATTTGGCGACTCTATGGCTGCCACCGTTGCCAGCTGAGACAGGGCTGAGCCCCCATGAAGCTGCTCGAAGCCTTGCTTGAGGGACTGTTCCAGTTCATGCAACTTTTCAATGATGGCCAAACTTGCCGGGTCAAAGCTAGAGGTCAGGCTCGTCATCTTTTCATCAGGCAGTTGCTCGATTTCTTCTTACCTCGAATGGTCTACTCCATCGTAACTGCATCTCGCACCAATCTTCAGACACGAGCCACAAGACGGCCTGGTGTTGTCGCATTTAGTCCTCCTCGTCCTGCAATGGTGGCACGCTTTCACGGCGCGTTTCCTGGGAAAGGCTGTCCTTGATGCGGGAGGTCGCCTTTTACGGCTCGTGGTCGGCTGGCCTTCAGGCGAGCTCTCCACACTGCCACTGGCTTCCCGCTCCTCCCGCTCTTCGCGTGCGGTAGCACGGTCCACCTCGTGGTGAACCAGTCCGTTAGATACGCTGAGCATTCTGTAAGCATTCCAGAAGAATGCCGGCAGATCCACATCAGACTGAAGATGCAAGAAGGAGGGCAGAAGATAGAGGACCGTACGGGGAGTTTCGGGCTCCGCACAAGAAATGCGTTGTGGCCGATGTAACCTCCGCTTGGCGGGGGTCACATCTTAGCACCACCCCCGGGGAGTCTAGAAGCTCACTCCCCGCAACCTAAGACCCTCTCCCTGCAGCCAGCCTCCGGAGACGAAAACCGGGGTCCCTGCAGAGTCAGACTCGGTGAGCGTAGAAGGTCTTCTCTCGACGCGGAGATTTCGGACTCTGGACTTGCTTCTGCCCAACCCCAGACCTTCCACTTCGGATAGCTCACAGCTAAGATGCATCATCCTCGGGAGGAGCCTTGGTGGAGACATGTACATAAAGCCTTGCTGATCCCCTTCTCTTCCAGACTTCAGAGACTTCAACACATCGCATACTCCAGAACTATCCCAATCACTTGAGAAATGGCGGGACTCGAGCAAAAGCGGCAGGTGTCTGTGACCGATGAGAAGGTCGACTATCTCAACCAGGTGGAACACGCCACAAGAGAGGAGCACCATGAGTCTGTGCTGAGTGTCATTAAACACCACCCCTGGGTTGTTGTTTGGTGTCTGTTCTATTCACTGTCGGCCATTGGCTGGTACGTCACATCAACCTACATCGCACCGGTGGCTAATTGTACAGGGGCTTCGATGCTCAAGTGAACGGTGCCATGCTGTCTGTGGCCACCTTCCGATCCACTTTCGGGTACGAAACGCCATGCACCCTGAATGAACTTCGCTGACGTTCTGTAGATACATCTACGAAGGCGAGCCGGTCCTCCAGGCGTCGTGGCAGAGTGCCTTCAACTCCGTGTCCAGTATCGGGCAGTTCTTCGGTGGCTTCGCTTGCTCCTGGCTCTCAGATCGCATTGGCCGCAAGAAGTCGCTCGGCATCGGCCTGGTCTTCGTCACCGCCGGCATCTTTGGCGAAGTGTTCGCTACTGCCAATGTCGCCTTCCTCATTGGAAAGATGATTTTGGGCGTCGGCCTAGGATTTTAGGTAAGCCTCGCATTACCCATGGATGCCGCACCGCAGCATTGCGTTGCTTTCTTGTCGTTTCAAAAGGTCTCCCTTTGCTGACTTCAGTGTCATAGTGAGTAACCCAGAGAACCAATATCGTTGCAGGCCATGCCCCATTTCCCATCCCAGCCCGCTCAAGCTAACCAATCTCTTCCATCAGCCTCACCATCGGACCACTATGTGCTGCCGAACTTGCACCCGTCTCGTTACGTGGTGTTGTGACGGCTGGCACCAATCTGGGCATCTGCATTGGTCAGCTCCTGAGCAATGCCGCAATCAAAGGCTTCGGCGAGAGAGACGACAGATGGGCTTATCGTGCCCCATTTGCTCTGCAATGGCTCTTTGTCAGTAAGTAGAATCCGCCATGGCTCCTGTTTGGAGCGAGACTGATTCGGGGCTCAGTACTTATTGTGGTTGGCCTGCCATTCGCTCCCGAGTCGCCCTGGTACCATATTCGCAAGAACCAAATGGAAGCTGCACGCAGCAGCCTCTACAAGCTGTACGGAACAACCACCGACCTTGACGCCAAGCTTGCCATGATGGTCAAAACAGTCAACGAGGACATCGAAGCCACCTCAGCCGCGCGTTGGTCGCAATGTTTCCAGGGCACCAACCTGATCCGCACCATCATCTCCGTCATGGTCTTCGCCTGCCAGCATCTGTCCGGCATCGTCTTCGTCCTCGGCTTCAGCACCTACTTCTTTCAACTAGCCGGCATTTCCGATTCCGACTCCTTCAATCTCGGTGTGGGCGTGACCTCGACCGGCGTCGTCGGCTGCATGATCAGCTGGGCGCTGATCAACAACTTCGGCCGCCGCAAGCTGTTCATTCTCGGCATGATCGGCATGACGACCGTGCTGCTCCTGATGGGCATCCTGGACGTTGTGCACACGTCCGCCGCCCGCTGGGTCCAGGCCTCCTGCACCGTCGTATACGCCCTCTTCTACCAAGCCACCATTGGCCCACTCGCCTTCGCCATCCTCGGCGAAACGCCCACCGCCTCGCTGCGAGCCAAGACCGTGGGTCTGGCCACGGCCATGCAGGCTGTCTTTGGCACTTTGATGAACGTGTGCATACCATATCTCGTAAATCCAGACAAGGCGAATCTGCGAGGCAAGGTCGGCTTCATCTTCGGAGGCCTATGTGGCTTGGGAACTGTATGGTCGTGGCTGTACGTGCCGGAACTCAAGGGCCGCACCTTCGCCGAGATCGACTGGCTGTTCCAGAACGATGTCAGTCCGAGGCGGATGGGCGGCTACGACATCCCTCGTACCGGTGGCGTGTAGCTTCTCTCTTGCGTAGGTAGTGCTCGTATGACAATTTGCTCTCGCATGAGTAGTTGAGATGATCTCCACTCGTACGATGGGCTCTTGGGTCTTCTTCACTTCATATGCGCCAAGCTATTTCAGCGGGAAGGGGAGCATTGACCGAGACCTGATACTCCTCCGGGCTAGCGCCCATTTGCTGCCGACCCTCGCACTTCGAATGGCCACACCTACCGCGTCAGGCTCAGCGTACACTCAAGGGATTTTTCAGGGTTCGGGCAACCTCTTGAATGCGGCGGTGTTTCAATTCGGGAGCTCTATAGAGCCAGGAGGTCAGGCCTGCGCGGCCGCTGGAGGAGAAAGCGCACGCAAGCTCCATTCCGTGCTCTCGACGGGCGTTGGGGTGTCAAAGACGAAGTCGGTATCGGTGGATACGGCAGTTAACGTTAAGTTATGATTGGAGCCGTGAAAATTGAAGAGTGCATTTGCGGTGTGCGCTGGAAGGAGAGCGTGCTCAGGCAGTGTGAGTCTTGGCATGGACTATACGCACTCATTGTAAGGTACATGTATTAGGCAGACGAACGACGGCACGTTGCCAGTAGTGCCACTGGCTGGAAAGTCAAATTGCAGCGTCGGACCTGTGTGTGCGATGTCCTGATAGGCGGGGGATCTCACGCTTGTCGTTTTCTTGAAGTAGCCATGTGGGAGTGAGCGTCGTGAACGATTGCAGAGCGAAAGAGCCAGAGTACGTATTATGCTGATTTTGCGGTGGTGGCCAAGTCAGCACGTGAGTGACTGGGAAGCATGAGCCGGACAGGTAGCAGCGCGCGGCACGCAAGCGAGCAGCACGCGAAGGTCTGGAAGGGGGGCCTTTGCTGTCGTTGAACGATTGCCAGACAATAGTTTAAGCCAGACGTACACACGAGTCTGAAAGGATGCCTTCGCGCCTGCACGCAACACGAACTTCTGTCCAAGGAATACGCGAGATTACTCGTTCGTTGGGGAAAAGACGAAATCTACGCGTCAGCAGTTTCTTGGTCGATAACGGAGAAGCAGGTTTGGTAGAGCATTTCATTCATTCAGCTCATGACAGGAAGCGGAAGCAGAACGATGGGCGGGAAAAACGTAAGGACATGAGTGTGCGTGCTCACTCCGGCTTCGCAGGAAGCCTGAACGATGATATTTTCAATGGGTGCAGCTATCCCGTTCCTATATGCTGTATCCAAATACTCGTGACATGTCCCTGTTTGTAGAAGATAGACGTTTTCGGACTGAAGGCGCCTACTCGCGGCGATCCACGCAATCGGAACGATGCGTGTCCAGATCATTTCTCGTAGCGCTGGCTTTCCTCCTCGATAGGAGCAACACTCGGGCGTCGCTTGTCATTTCCGCCCTTGATCTTGGCAAGTCCAATGATCTGTCCCATCTCGCGCCAGAATCCGACAGGAGGGTCCAAGAAGGTCGCCTCGTACGCATCGACGACTGGCCTTTCCCAGACGAGATCCGCTTCGTGAGGTCGCACGATTCTGGTCTTCTTGACGACCTTCCAGATGATGTATAGCGGTGGGATGAACAGCTGCATCGTGTAGTTGGAGAAGAAGCTGGAGACGGACCATGGCAGGTACGAGGTGTAGCCATAATAGCAGGCGACGACAAACATCCAAATGGCGCCGAAGTAAGCGCAGTAAGGTTGGAACCAGCCGACATAAGGCAGAGTCTTGCGGTCGAGACCTTGAGCTTTGCAGGCGCGGTAGAAGAAGATGTACGTGACGGACATGGAGAAGAAGTCAATCAGACCTGGGGGAAAAGCGTTAACGAGGACATTTGAGGAAGAGAGGGGGTTAATAAATACCTCCTGCTGTGACCAAATTGGCAAACCAGGTAATGACGATTGACGAGCTGTTGGAGACTTGCAAGAAGGAGAGCAGAGGGAAAATCATGACCACGAGAAACGAATAAATCGGCACACCCTTTTTTGTGCAGTGGGTGAGGAATCGAGGAGCTCTGCCTTCGAGCGCGAGACCGTACAAGGTGCGGACGGCGCAATAGGTGTAGGTGTTTCCAGCAGAGAAGATCGAGGTCAACATGAGACTGAATTCCTGTAAGTATTTGTAGGCACGCGGATTCGATGTCGACTTACGCGTTGACGATGTGGGGAAAAACACCAATGCCCATGTTCTTCATCGCAATGACGTATGGCGAGGCACCAGCAGAACCATTGCTCCCACCGAGAACAACTTCCTCAAGAGCTGGGTCGCGGGAGCTGCACACGATACCCACGGCAAGAGCACCACCAATGAAGAAGATACCAAAGCGAAGGTAGACCATCTTGAAGGCCGCTTTGATGTAGACTCGTGGGCGCTTGGCCTCGGCAGCCACCATGGAGATGTATTCGGGCCCAACAACAGTGAACAGGGCGGAGGTTAGGCCGGCAAGGAAACCTTCGAATCTGCCGAGATCTCCGGTGGTGATATGCTCTCGGAACGCGCCGCCGTTCTTCCAGTAACGGAAGCCGTAAGCGTCGCCCTGTGGGTTGCCGCCAACCATAGTAATGAATGTGAAGAAAAACAGTGAGAAGATCAAGATAACCTTGCCGCCAGAGAGCCAGAATTCGGCCTCGCCATAAGCTCCGACAGCCATGATGTTGATGAAGCTGCGTTTAGTGTCAGCATTGATGGCGACTCTATTCACCCGCCGGACTCTGGATAGCATGTTTGAATGGGAGAGGTACGAGAGTTCAGACTTACGCATAGCAGATGATGACGCCTGTAACGACGCCAGCTACAGGTCCCGGTTCAGTGACCTTGTCGCTCCAAAATGACAGTACCAGGGTAAAAGCCGAGATCTCGAAGGGAATGAGAAGGGCTTCGTAGAAGCTGATGCAGGTTAGCACGCCGAAAAGTCAGAGTTGCATCGAGCTTAATCTTACAAGAAGTTCCACCCGATCATGAAACCGAAGGCCTCGTCTACCCATTTGCCGGCCAAGCGAATAAAACCACCACTGACTGGGTATGCCGTGCTCATCTCCGCGACAGAGTTATTGACCATGGCCAGGACAAGGCTTTGAAACAGGTAGCCGAGGAGCAGGCCAGCGGCACCAGCGCGGTATAGACCACCACCGATACTGACGAACAGCGCCGTTCCGATGGAGCCGCCGATGGCAATCAGCTGGATTTGACGATTATTCAAGTTGCGCTTGAGGTGGTCGGCGTTCTCGGCGAGAAAGCCCTCCTGCACATCGTGACCGTCTTGAGGGACGGGGGAGGGCGAGCTCTCGCCGCTCCCCTTCTTGTCTCGACTAAAGACACCCATGGCGGCGTGCTCGAGAAAATGTGTCGCAGGCGTGTGGAAGCAGTGCTTGAACGAGCAGAAAAGATGCGAAGGGTGGAGAAGTATATAGGACGAGAAGAATGCGTCTGAGGCGCAAAACGAGAGCTGAAGAGAGCAGATCGGCTAGATCGGTCAGTGCAGCTATCGCATTACCTAGGCTTTTTCGTGGGAAAGGCAATTCGTCAATCTCGTGTACCTAAGGTTGACACCACCCCGCTTTGAGTGCCACAGGCGAGACTTTGACGGTTGTTAGGCCTTCCCCTCATAACTTGCTTCTGGCGAGCTCCAGTGTTGACATGGATGTCGTCCAATCTGCGACCAGCGTGGAATATTTGCCCTTGCACAAACAACGGAGCCCAACCCAGCAATCGACCTCACGATGCCCCGCTCTCACTAGGCTTTTGCTAATTGCGTAGGTTGGTCGGGGGCAGGGTGGCGGGGTGGAGAGATAAGCCGGCTAGGTGGCACGCGCCTCGTGGTGGCCGGCGGGCTCGTCAAAGCAAGATCTCGGGCGACCGTTAGAAGATACTTCGTTCGTAGGGTCATGAAGGGTTTAGTGATGGTGGATCTTGCAGTACTTTGTCAATTGTAATTGTTTTCCGTCGACGACGCTGCAACCTTGAGCCATTTGAAGCAGCGCGTGACAAGAACTGCAAGAACTGCCACCCAGGAGCTTCACGCGCCTTGGCAGCGAGCGCCGGGAGCTTGCCCCCCCATTTACCCGCAGAGGCTGAGCGCCTAGGCTGTGGACTAAGCATTGATTCGTCCTTGGACTGAAGCTTGCATCGACCATCCAACTCCATCGCTGAGTCCTGCTGGGGGCTTCCTGGTGGACCTTTCCCAGGGTCTCTCGTTGCGATCCCGAAACTCGACGCTGCTGCACGATGAGTTCTGCTCACCCTAAACGATTACCTTATCCGCAGATACGGAAATGCATACCATTCGTAGGTCAAGCCTCCCAGGCGCGTGGTCGCTTACCTCGTATCTCTCACAAGATGCAAGGGTGCGCCGTCAACATTTGGCTGGATATGGCAGGTCCTCGCATGGTGCCAGCAAAGTACGGACGGTCTGTTCCAAACGAAAAGCCCGGTTCCACGCACCTAAGGGGCCACATCGCGCAGGGCTGGGCATCATGCGATAGAGGAGCCCTCATGTACAGAGTACCAGCCAGCTCAAAAGCACGTACTAGTTCTGGGCATCACATCTTCCGGCGATCGGCGTATGTCATTGTATTAGGACATTCTCTGTGGTGAGATCACCTAATCTGGGCCAATCAACTCCTGTGCTGCTGTCGTGGTTACCTTCCCTCCAATCCGCTGGGAGTCGTTATCGTCCTCTCGTCTTCGTTCTCATGACGGCTCACTATCGCACCTTCGCCATGTACCGTCTTGAGGAGCACAAGACCGATGTGTACCCGTTTCAGATCGGGGTAGCAGATCCTCGCGTCACTGGCGTCTGGTAAGCGAGCCAACTCGTCGATCAGGCCTACGCCGTGGGACACTGCGCAAACGCCGCAGGTCTGGACCTTGTTCAGATGCTATCTCTTGAAGGTGCTAGGCTTCTTACCTCAGTTCTGTAATCACCATCATACGGTTGTAGTCTTCAAAATCGCTTGATGCTTGTGTCGGGCAGCTTATGGGGACTCTCAAAGCGCCAATCAGCCCTAGACCCGCTGTAGCAGACGTCTACATTCGCCAGGCTGACTCGACATTTCTTATTTGAACACTAAGAGCTTTTCTGGTCATTGGCGAGTTGGACATGCTTGACACTGCACTGTGGTTCCATAGCCCTCAAGCACATAGAGAGGTACACAAGAACTAAGCGCGGAAGGCACGGTCCGTCAGGAACCAAAGGGTGCCTCCCGAACACAGATGGGGAGAGGTGGACAAGACGGAGATGTTCATTGTTGAGATAAATCCGTTTGGCATTCACAAATAGCCAAGTCTAATATCATGTCACCTTGTGACTTTCAGGTGGAGGTATCCAGGTACCGTTAGTCTCCCAAACAGCCGGCTTGCTGTATCTGCCTGTACTCCCGCCGTTCATCCAAGCCAGACGCACAAACCAAGGTTCCTCGAGGTCGTGTTTGCCTCGCTCCAATGTGACCTGCTCCTGGTTCCACATCTCATCGACATATCCGCGCCAGCGCTCGACGTCGTTGATGAGAATACTGACGCCGTCGATGCCTATTTCGCGCGGGATGACGCCCCATGTGAGTGTGAGATTGGAGGCATCCGGTGGCACAGTAGCGTTGACCACGGGCCCATGTGAGCCCCACCAGTCCTTATCATGGCCTTCATTGCCGGTTCCCAAGGAGGCAGGAGTCTCGATAATCGACCCAAAGCCCCAGCGTGCGATACCATTGATGTGGAGACCCATCAGTAGGCCCTGGTAGATCAGCCCTGGGCGCGTTTGGAACCCGGTACCAGGCAACAAGATGAGTGAATATAGCCAGTGGTGGAGACGTAAATTCTCACCGGGTAAGGCAAGCAGGATGAGGAGGCTGGCACCCATGGTCGCGTATAGCGCGAGGTACTTCGGAAGGTAACCCGAAACACGAATGTAGTGAATTTGGCCAATGGCGATTGACACAATCAGAGCAACAATGATCGCCAGCGCGAAGCCAGCTCCCGGCTGACGTAGATCTTCTGGCGTCAGGCGCTCAAGGGGAATGATAGGCGCAAACGTGTAGTTGTTCAGGGCACCAATGAAAAGAAACCCCAGGTACAGGACCGTCTTTTCGACTTGGGCCGTCAACCCCTGCAGCAGTGGAACAGCGGACGTGATGTAAATGACGTAGGCAATGAATCCTCCAGGTAACAGCTTCCCGAACAGAGTGCTGAGCAGCTCATAGAAGTTTGGCTTGTTCGGTGGATCCGAGACGAGGCCGACATGCATCATCGTCATGAAGTAGAGCGAGAAGAAGAAAACGCCCGGGGAGGTCGTGAAGAGCCCTATGATGACTAGCGCAACGCATGTGACAACGAAGAGAGGCCATCGAGAGTCAGAAGGGCACTGTTTGTTGGACGTGGCCAGGCTTTGAAAGGTGTAAGAGCGAGGGAAGCTTGCGGGAAATGAGATACTGCTGATGCCGTGGGCTTTGGAGCTCTCGAAACTATTGTGAGTGCCAATGAGTGAGGCGACACCACAACCACCTGTTTCTCTTGGGATAACACCAGCGTGAATCGCTGCTTGACAGATGAAGCTGTCCCCCCGATAGACGGGCATCGAGTCTGCGTCTCCGGGGTTCGGCCCTCCAATAACGTAGGGGCTGTAGATGTATGACTCGTTCCCTACCCATCTGTAGTCGAGTAGGTGTGTCTGGTCACAGTTTGCCGGACAGCGGAATGCCATATGTGATGACGAAAAAGGTCGACAATTGTTCCCATTTAGGCCGCAGTTGTTGCCCTCGTTCCAGAAGCTTGCACCACACCAGGTGTTCCGAGGGCGGCCGTAGCCCTTGATAAAGCCCGAGGTGGCATGATGTTTAAGCATCAGAGACCAAGTCAGGAACCAAGCCGCATACAACGCTATGAGCAAGGCGATGCGTCCTCGCTTACTGGGAACATAGCGATGGAGCAGCTGGACAGGTGCTTGCTGAATTTTTGCGAAGTATGGAGTGATCTTGAGCTCACGCGGAGGCTTGGGCCCCTCGACCCAGGTTGCGACAGATCTGGCAGCTTTCCTCACAGAAACAGGGACCCATTTGAATTTGAAGCTGCTCGCGGACTCCCGCAGCCAGACTGGAACGGGTAATGTTGTTTCGTTCTGCGCCGAGGACTCGGAGGCCGTCCGAATATGCAATGTGCCGTCGGGACCCTCGGAGTCAGATTCATCGTCGGTCAAAGGGGGTATGTGTCGAGGAAAGGACTCCTCGTCGTCTCGATAGGGAGCAACCATGATGCCGGGACTCCAGCGCCGGAAGGTTAATGCGGGGAGTGTGCAGGACGGGTAACGGAATGATTGTCGGTCGGTCGGTCGACCGTTTCTCCTAGAAGATACTCATGTCGCACGATACCAAGATAATGTATGGAATACAATGCACGTTGCGCAACCTCAAGCTATCGATGGCCCATGAAACGGCACGTAAGCTGGCTTGCACGTGGAAGACCGGAAGAGCCATTGGCGCTTGGCTGCGATGATGTGATGCCTATTCTGCCACAGCTCTTTGGCCGCGCTCTCGTTGGACCTCCACAGAGCCGCAGCCGTGCTGTTCTCCCTGCATGCCTCAATAATGCGAGCCCTCGACTTGTCCTTAATCACGATTCTACACTACTATACCCTCTATACTTGAGGTAAATGAATACATCAACGCAGAACACTCGACGCGCATCTCCCGGGGACCTGAGCTGATTGGTCAGCAGGCCCCTCGCTTTTCCGCCGCGTTGGCCCGCAGTTGGGGCCTTATCGCTATCACCGCATTCCCCGGATTTCACTAATCGTGAGTCGAGGACGTCAATGTAGTAACGACATAGGGCGGATCGATCTTACTGCATCACCGTTTTTGCTCGATCGTACGTTTCTGTATTTCGCATCGTTGCCTTCGCTCCTGTTCGGTCTGTGACACTCCTCTTTTGGCGAACGTTCAAACAATGTCTTCCACGCCGCAGCCATCGAGCCTGCCCGCTCCGCACGACCTGTCTCACTTCTTTTCTCGAACAACACAGCGTAGAGTACCCAGCCAGGTCAAGCGATTCTATAAGTACTTTTCGATACCCGGCATACAGAATCTTGCAGGAGGTCATTTGCCCACTTTCATTTACGTTGCAAGGTTGCTCACAGCTCTCAGGTCTGCCCGCGCCGTCTTACTTTCCATACGATACACTTGAGGCTTCGGTCGCCTTGCCCGGCAGATTCAAACCTACACCTACGAAACCCGTTGACCCTCCGACAGCTACATCTAGCTCCAAGAGCCCCGAAGCTGCCAGAGTTCTTGTCCCGCATGACTCCGCTGAGAAAGACCTCCTTCGCAAGATCGACTTGACCACCGCCCTGCAGTATGGCACAGCACAAGGATACCCACCTCTCTACGGGTTCGTTCGATCTTTTGTGCAGGCCAACATGCATCCGAACGTGCCTTATCGGGGTTCCGCCGAGGTCATTTTGACCTGCGGGTCGACTGACGGTTTCTCCAAGACTCTTGAAGCATTTACCAATATATGGGATGAAGAACGAGACTGGATTCGCGACCGTGAGGGTATTCTCTGTGAGCAATATGCATATATGAATGCCATACAAGCAGCAGCCCCAAGAGGTCTGAACGTTGTTCCTGTTGCTATTGATGACGAAGGCATGCTTGCAGAAGGGCCCGGTGGCCTGGAAGATGTGCTGAAGAACTGGGATGTCTACCGAGGAAAACGCCCGCACCTGATCTACACGGTGACGATGGGTCAGAATCCGACGTCGGGCGTCCTCTCCCTCAAGCGACGCAAAGCGATATACACCATCTGCCAGAAGTACGACGTCTTGATTTGCGAAGATGATCCATACTGGTTTCTCCAATATCCATCAGCTAACAAACTGTCCATGAAAGCTCGCGGTGAGCCAGTTTCAGAGAACTATCCCACCGAGCCATACAACTACAACACCGCTTCAGGTCGCAAATCTTCCGGATTCCCGTTCTTGGACTCCCTTGTGCCTTCCTACTTATCAGTGGACACGGACGGTCGTGTCATTCGTCTTGACACATTTTCAAAGTCCGTTGCCCCTGGCTGCCGATTGGGATGGATTACTGCGCAGCCTGCTTTTGTGGAAGTGATACAGCGAATCACCGAGACAACGACGCAGCAACCGTCCGGCTTCGTACAATCCATGATTGCAGAGCTACTCCAGGGACCATCCGATGTCTCCGGTGATCCAGGCAGAGGCGGCTCCAAAGACGGAAGCGGCTGGAAGGTCGATGGCTGGGTGCGCTGGTTGGAAGGCCTACGTGGCAACTACGAGCGCCGAATGCAGGTCATGTCGACCATTCTCGAAGACGGCCGCTTTCTACTTCAGCACGCCACGAACAGCGAGGGTTTCGAAGTCGTGTCCAAGACCCAGCTCTTCGACTTCGCCTATCCAATGGGCGGCATGTTCCTGTGGCTCCGTTGCCACTATGAGACCCATCCGTTATGCTCGTCTCATACGCGAGCAGGTAGCTTCTCTGGCCTGGAACTCTCACAAGCACTCTGGCTCTTCCTTACGAAGGAAAAGTACCGGGTCCTGGTGGCGCCCGGTGCAATGTTCGCTCCTACTGCCGAGATCCGAGATGCTACCGCATGGCAATATCAGAGGCTGTGCTTCGCCGCCGTTGACGAAGATGTCGTCAAGACCAGCTCCGAGTCCTTCGTGCAAGGCATTCGTCACTTCTGGGGGTTGAATGCCGAAGATGTCAAGGAATTGCTCAGGGAAGTCCAGACACCCGACATGCAGGTATTACTGGAGGATGGACAGGTATGTACTCCGTTCGGTGGTCTGTGAATCTGCGCTAATCTGGTGTCAGGCTCGATATGCAGTGAATCCCTTACTGTGTTGAATGTGAGCACCCCTCGCACAACACTGCATCTGGACTTGCTGCCAGGTGTTGGACTAGACAGCGCATGAAGTGGGGGCCGATAACAGTCTCCAAGAAAATACTGTATCGCGATGTCTTGGGTAGAATTCGCAAGACTTGTGACAATCTTGAGAGACTCTGTATAACGAGGCAGTGAACAAGGCCTTATTCTAGCTATATACAACGTGAGTCGCGGGCAAGGTAGAGTATTTGTCTCATCTAAATAGCATCTCGACGTCTAAAGCTGCCGCAAATTACAAGCTTTCAGGACATCTTATCCCACCATGAGCTTCGTGATGTCAACAAGTTGTTCCTACATCTCGCAGCCGATCTGAGGGATGCAGGGAGATCTGGTGAAGAAGGTGAATGAAGTCTCCGTCAACACTTAGCATCCCGGCCAAGGTGTCTAGCTCGACCGTTATTGCTGCACCGGAGTGTCAAGCGGATATGTTTCTACGGCACCCTCTTTCCTAGTTCTTTTACGACCTGCAAAGCACGGTGCGAGCCCATGCTGACGGACATCTGTAGAGATTTCAGCGCATCAAAGGCTCCTGACTGACCCGCCGCCTCTCATGCTGCAGCCATCCTTCATAATAGCATCGCCATCGATTGCGTACCCTTTCTAACCCAGACAGAAGACAGCAGCGCACACAGTATGTCTCGCCTCGTGAATATTCCGAAAAAAGCTCCTGAGAATCCTCAAAGCAAAAAGAACAGAGGAATGTGCTCCCATAATAGGAGGTCTCATGGACACATGTACTTTTTCCGTACAACTCCTAACTGAGAGATCTTGACCTTGGCTTGCTATGGCATCTTTCTTTTTTGTTGTTGGCACTCCTCCCCGAAAACTACCTGCTGCAATTAATTGCGTTAGGCGTAGAGTTTTCAGTGGCATCGACTCCGACCCCAGGACTTATTGGTTCTTCCTGCCCGGTTTTTGGTTAACGCGTTTGTAGCGCGTTGGTCTGTGCGATTGTTGAAGAGGTTTTCGGGTTTTGCGATATTCATGGTTGCTAGGCAGAAAAGGCTGGGTGGGAGGCTGTTCAGTGAGTGAGGTGAATGAATGTATGCGGGTGGGTGCAAGGCGACGAGGCGACGAGGCGACGAGGCTGCAAATCTGGATCCACCCTTCCGAAATTAGTAGACTGACGACCTTGGGACTACGGTTTTACAGCCCTTGATCTGGCCGGATGCAGCCATGCTAAGGCGTCGCAGTGTGTGTGAGTGTGCATCTCCAGCCGCTCCGATAAAGGAGTGGAGGGTAGGGGCTTTGAAGGAAGAGCCTGCATAACTACTAGGAGTTTCCGATACAGTGCACGCAATCGAACTGTACGGGCTGAGCAGCCGTGACCACTTGTTCCTTAACGGTCAGAGTACGTCTCTATGTGTCACCAGGATATTATGCTCGTTTTCTGAAGTTGGTGCCAACGGCCTTCAGTCTTGAGCTGCAAAGATGCTGTGCGTGCACTTGTGTACTGGATGTCAAGGTCGTTGACTCTGCAAGCTCGTGGGATTGTACTAGTCCGCGGAGTCAGTGAATTGGGCACGGCGGCCATGCCTGTGTTTCCTCCTGCACTGAGCAAGTCTTGATGAAGTCTCTCCTCCAGTTTCAGAGCTTGCAATGCCACTCTCGCGGCGGATATACTATCCCACAGACCCTCGCGACGAGGATTGGTAAAGAGTAGATAGAGAGCTTCGCGACGTAGACGAGGCTCGCGACAGTGCATGGCGACAACGAAGAGTGGCCCGAGCACACCGTGTCCGGCGGTGAAGATCGGCTTGACCGAATGCTCGTTCTCAAACAAGAACGACTCGAAGTCTTCTAAGGAGCCCTTGTGGGGCTGTACATCAGGTGCTCCCAGAATTTGTTGACTCAGTTGTACAATCTTGGCAAAGTGCGAGTGGTAAGTGTCCCAAGCCAGCTCGCCTTCAACATGGAGGCGAGGATACGCTCGAAGGAAAAGGTCCAGGATCCAACTATTCAATTGTATTGTCAGGGCCGTTCCCGAATGGTTGTTGCGGAGCAGCATCGTTTCGGTACGCAACCGGACGAGAGCTTCCTCCCCGTAAGTCAAACGGTTGACTAGGTTCTGAAATTTATCCTCGGCAGGTCCGACGGCGTGTATGCCAAGATTCTGGTCGAAGAGCTGGAGATCGTTAAGAAGTGTGTCGTAATAGTCTCGGGCATCATTCAGGCTAGCGAAATGGGGTAGGTCCGCCCGGCTGAATCTCTCTGCCGATGGTGCGTCGAGAGGACCCATTCTGTTCAGATCTTCACTGCAGTTCATGGTGCGTGCTTGAGTTTGCAAAGAAAGTAGAATCGCATGGAGGGCTTTCATCTGAACCGCGTATGAAGTCCCGCCGATGGAGGCGATTTGAGCCTTCAGATCCTGGAACAGGTCCAATGCCTTGTCAAGGTGCCGGAAACTACTCTGCTGATAGCCTTGAAGGCTAGAGATATGAATGATCAATATAGATGTGATTAGAGCAAGCACTTTATCGATCAGGGCCGAAGATTTTGCAAGTTGCGTAAAAGACTTGAGAGCTTGCGTATACTGCAAAAGGCCGAATCGTCCGAGATGGGTGTTCACAGCGTCCTCCGAGAGAATTGCCTCGTCGCCTTCGACAAAGTGTCGATGGAGAGCTCCGAGTGATGCAACAGCATGTCTGACCGCAGGCTGCATCATCGAGATGGGGAGAACGGAATAACACCAGAAATCCAGATCCGGCGGAAACAGAGCCGTGAACTCAGGCACTGAGTACACCTGGAAGAATTCAAAGCTCTGTTGCTCTTCCGCCGTGTCGAAAACGAAGACCGACGGCTGCTGTAGAAGACTCCCCGGTGGAAAGAAACCTGAGTTGTCATCAGGACCGAGAGCGAAAGCATGTGGAGTCCAAGAATGTGCCCAGGGGTGATCCCAAACAGATGTCCCTATACCAGGACCTGCAAATCGGTACCCTTCGCATTTGCGACCTGTTGCAGAGCAGCGACGACAGTCGGGCTTGTTTTCGTCGCATTTTACCCTCCTGTTCCTGTATGATAATCAGCGGTCTATCCACATACAGGGCTGAGGGACCACCATACTTGCACGTGACACATCCCGTCTTCACCTGTACGCAAGAGAATTAGGGCACAGTTGACCTCTGCTTCCACGAATCTGACCTACCTTCGGTTTCCAGGACTTCTTTCGAGCACTGTCAAGGCTTTGGTCGGTTGTTCGTGCATTTTTCCGAGCCATCCTGACTGGCTCGCATGCAAGTTTGATTCGGGAAGAGCTGGATCCCGGTCCACATCGCTCACAACGAAGTTTCGCGGCACGTTGGTAAGTCCAACGTCCACAGGTCTTGAGAGGACACTAGTGAGCCTCCAGTGGATCAGAAATGCATCTTTCAAGATCACCGATGCGGCAGCGCCGTGAGTCGTGCAACGACTGCAAGTGATAGCAGCTGATTCCGTCTTCTGGTGGGCATCAGTCTTGATCGAAACGAGACTTGGGGGGCGGCCTGAACGTGCAGAATACTCCACTTTCCAGCGAACCAATCATGCCGCGTGTGGCCTTATGTTATTCCGATAAACGAGGCTCTCTGCCCCTAAGCTGCCATCTTGTCCCAATACGCCAAACGATGTGGACCTCAATCCATTGGTGTACTGATTGGAAGAGCCTCCTACACTTGTCCCAGCTCGTTCATCGGCGCAAAGATCTGGGGATCACCTCCGCAACCCTTCATGCTTCTGGCAAGTAGTACCAGGTAAGTGCTGCTAGTCTCCAGCGCGACTGACCATGTTGTCTACTACATTATAGCGTGGATCCCTGGCGCAAATACATATACTAGAGCAGCGATGATGGAACCACTGGGGATCTCATGTGCCCGATTGCCACTGTTATCTTGTATGATTTACATCCAGCACCATCTATATGACCAAAATGAAGCGGCTGACGACATCTGTCATTGCCCTCATCGCAGCTCGTGCCCTGGGTCAAGTCAACGAGTACACCTGCCCGTTACTCGGATCCTCTTTTCCAACCCCGTCTCGGGTCGATGCCAGCTCTCTGCAGCCCTACCTGAGCGACTTCACCCGTGCCCTTGAGGATGCCCTTTCTGGTGCAGAGAATGAGTACGGAGTATTCGACAACGCGACCACTTCCTTCTCTGTAGCTATCTGGACTACTGTCGCAAATGAGTCTGTATATGAATATCACTTCCAGGGATCTGAATTGCAAGGCGAAAGTGGAATTGTCCCCAACAACGAAACAATATACCGTGTTGGCAGCATCTCCAAGGCCATCACCGTCTATGCTTATCTGGCCTCCGTTGGCGAAGCTCATCTTGACGAGCCAATCACCAAATTCATCCCCGAGCTCGCCGAGATCGACGCAGAGCGCGCAGAGAACGCCTCTGCCAACGATATCGACAATTTCCAATGGTCTGATATCACCGTACGTGCCTTGGCTTCACAAATGGGTGGGCTAACTCGTGACTGTCAGTGGTATACTTGCTTCACTCTCTCCATTCAGGTCGCTGACGTAACTTGCAGATGGTCTCGGCGACCTGCCTAGCATTATTAATGACACGACAATCCTTGAGTCTTTCGGCTTACCCCCATTATCTTCCGTGGCCCGTCCTCTGTGCGTTCCGTTCACTGCCGGCGCCAATACACAATGCACACGAGAAGAATTCTTTCGCGGCATGCGCTCTCGTCGGCCAACTTTCTACCCGTACAGTACACCGACGTACAGCAACAATGCTTTTGGGCTTCTGGCTTGGGCGCTCGAGGCCATCATCAATGATGGACGATCGTTCTCACAGATCCAACAGGATAACTTACTCGCCCCGCTCGGGCTTTCGAACACCTTCTATCATCTGCCCGAGGATAGGAACCTGACCAACGTTATGATCCCCTTCAATGCCACTTCTGCAGACTGGGGACTGCTCGGCTCCTTCGATGATCCCGCTGGTAGCTACTACAGCAGTGTCACTGACCTCAACGCAATGGGACGCTCCATACTACGCCACGAGCTGCTGCCACGTAGACTAAGCCAGCGTTGGTTACAGCCTGTATCCTTCACGTCAGACCCAGATATGGCGGTTGGCATGCCATGGGAAATTTTCCGCTTTGAGGTGCCGGTTTCCCCCGGTTCCAAGGCGACAAAAATAGTGGAGATGTACTCCAAAGCTGGCGACGTCGGCCTGTATTCCACCATCATGGTAATGGTGCCAGACTATGGCATTGGTGCAACGGTGCTAACAGCAGGCTTGGGCCAGGGATCGCTCATGCGACTGTATATCGTGGGCATGCTACGGGACAATGTGTTTCCAGCCTTCGAGACTCTGGCCGGTGAAGACGCCCAGAAGGTGTACGGAGGTACTTATGTCGACAGCAACACGAATAGCAGTGTGACGGTGGCGTTGAAAGCGGATCGACCCGGTTTGGGTTTGGAAAACTGGACGTCGAGGGGTATCGATATGCAGCAGGATGGACAAGGGATCAAAGGAATGCTTGGATCGACTTTGGAAGGCGACGTTGAACTGAGGCTCCAGCCGACTGGGAGGGTGGATGAGAAAAGAAATCGGGTAGGTTTTAGAATGGTGCCGCAGGATTTAAAGTATCAGGAGAACTTCTTGTTCAGGTGTTTCTCGTGGGCGTCAGTCGATGGATTGACTTATGGGCTGAACGGTATGGACGAGGTTATTTTTGAGCTGGATGATGAAGGTGTGGCAAAGAAGGTAAATTTGCCTATGTTTCAGACAGTGCTAGAGAGACAGCAAGACTGATGAGGCTTCTGTGGGGTCTGGCCATCAGTAGGATTGCAGTGTGCACAATCTTAACCACTGGTGGAGTGCAAACGTTCTTGAGACGATGGTGTTTAACGGTAGAAGAGACGTCTTCAGACAGTGATTGAAGGGGGCGTGAGACCTCATAGCATTGCTTAAAATGATGGCAGATAGATCTGGGGCCACATTAATCGAACGTAGCAGACAGTGCGGTCGTGGCCGGTGCAGAGTGTGTCTTGAACAGATCTGACTGTCCTATGACTTCCAGTGCAGCTCCGGGATATTGATTGATGCCCTCACAAGCTCGCTACGAGTTCGACCGTGGGCTGGCTTACTTCACTTTACCCATTACGCTCTCAAGACCACGCTCGCCGTATGTGCCTGCCGCTGCCCGCTTCACATTCGTAATCATCGTTCTGTCCCAATCATCCCTTGTCTTCAAAACACCTTCGACCCAGCTCAATTGCAGATCCCAGAATTCAGTCTTGAATTGCTGATACACGTCTACCACACCCGCCTTCTCCGTCTCCAGTAATCGCACTGTGAAATTGACACATTTCCAACGTGGTTTGATCGTGTCATTGAAACTCTCGGGAAACTTTTGAAAGAAGTCGAACGCCGCTAAGACATCGTCGCGGAACTTGGCAGGGAAAGGGTCAGACCGCTTAAATTTGACGCTGCGATTCTGACGGATGCCAGTGAGGTAATGAATAAGAAGAGCGTCCGACAATTCCTCTATGAGAATGTCCAATAGCGAAGGGTGAAGAACTGCGTTGTAGTCGGAAATGTAATCATCGAACGTAGTAGTAATGCGAGTCATTGCCGATGCCTCATACCATTTACCTGGAACGAAAAATTCGGACATGATCGAGCGGAAGTCCACTGTGAAGATGAGGGAGACGAAGCGATTGATACAGTACGTGGCAAGGTCAACGTAACCATCTCGAATAGCATCAAGCTCCGTTGTGCCGTTCGTAGAAAGGAACTTGGTTCCTGGCGGTGTAGGCAATCTGGTGAAATCGTCCTTGAACCGGCTCAGATAGCCAACTTGTGCTGTTGGGTCATTAGGATCGGCGCCCGCAGCGTCGTCGACGCAGGCAATCTGGTCGTTGGCAATCGCCAGTAGCCAGTCTTGGAAAGGCTGGAGAGTCTCGAGCTGCTCTGGACTCGGAGTCTTGAATTTCTGTGTTTCTTCGTCCACGAGACGCTCCCATTGCTGTTGCCGAGATTTGAGAGCGCTGAACATGGCCGACACGACACCTTCTACAACATCCTCGCGCTCCGAGTCCCCTGCGGCAGCAAGCTGCTCATGAAGCATACGCCACATGTCGCCCATAGTCTTGGTGCGAAATCGGCCTTCTGAGTCTTGCTCAATAGCGTCGCTCGACCGAGCCAGGAAGCTCTTGCGATCCGTGATGTACATCCGATCGATCCAGGAAGTGAGTGCCTTGGTGATGATATTGCGATATTCTCTCACCAGATCGGCCTCGCGTCCATCAACAACGTGTGGTTTCAGCTCTGACTGGGAAACCCCCAACTTGTCCATTTTTCGATAGTAGATCTCGACATAATGCACAATACCAAGCATGTTTGGCGGCCGTAGTTCAGGCGATTCAATATACGACAAGAGGAAGTCGTGCATTGCTTTGTGGTATATGTCCACGAAGGTTTTCATGATCTTCCACTTCTTGGGAAAGAGTGTCTGCATGCCCTGCTTGACGACGAAGAGATTGTTGAAGTACCATTTGGTGTACTTGTCGAGCTTTGAGGGATCCTCGTTGAAGTCTTCCCGAGTCTGCTCGAGCATGTTATTGACCACGGCCTCGATGGCTTGAAGGAAGCGCTCCTTGTAGCCTCGAATGCTCTTTGGTCCGATGGTAAAAGACGTGAACTTGCTGACCAGGTCTTGGTGGTCTTTCTGTGCGTCCTGCAGGGCACGGACTCGATCATCGTTCTTCTCTTCTGCGGCGATGACAATCGCCAGGCGCACTACGGTTCCGTTCAAATCGTTTTGCACGAAGTCAATCAGGCGCATACACACAAATCCAACATGTTCATCAAACAAATCGACGACACTATCCAGGGGTTGAAACCAGTCTGTAAGGGTTTGCTCTAGGCTCTCGTCTTTGGCCCTTCGAATTTGATCCAACGCTTCGTCTCGGAAATCTCGTAATCTCGTTAGTCGCATATGTGCTTCGAGTAAATTGGGTTGGCTCTCCATATCGTTCTCGTCTTCTTCTAGTAGCTGTTGTACATAGGCGCAGTCTCTCTCAAAGGTATCAAGACCAGCTTGCATAGCCCTTGTGGCCTCGAAATTTCGGTGCACTTTCGCGAGATAGTCGATCTGAGGGAAGTTCTTTCGTATTGACTGAGCCTGTTCACAGAGGTCATGTATGCTTTTCATCTCCTCTTTGATCTGACCGACAAGCTTCTGCCCTTCCGACAACGTTGACATGCCATTCTGGGTGGTTTCAAGGTGTTCCTTGAGCCCGTCCCTTAAGCGCGAGTCGATGTCCGCCTTTTTGCGCGAGAGTTCCGTCTTCAAGCTCGTTATCTTCTCCAGATCCTCGGGTGTACGTAGCAGCTCATTGATTTGTGGGACCGACACGCTGCTGTCGGTAGCCGCATTACTCGCCATAGTGGTTCGTGTAGAGAGGTGTGGTAGGGATGGGTATTGGCGGTCCAAGCGCCTTCTCTAGGAGTGCGGAAGTCCTGTAGCAGCGCGCTGTGGGATCGCGCATCCTCGACTAGTCACCACACCTGCTCAGGTATATCAGAGTAAATGAAGAGAGTCTACCTGGGCGAGCTGGATTCCTGGTCGTCGCCGACGTGGAGGGTTCCTGACAAGGCTAGAGTTCAGCCTCGTTTGCGGAGTTCGCGCCTCGGAGCTCGAACAAATCTCCTGCGCATCGTCCCTTCTGCAGACTAGTTACTTTTGTGTTCAAACACCTCTCAACTTCTCTATCTCTGCGGTTGATACTCTTTCTCGTATTCCTGTCAAGATGTCTTACTTCCGAATCACGCTCATCCGCTCCGCGATTGGTCTTCCGTCGAAATCTACCAATGTCCTCAAAGCGCTGGGCCTCCGCAAGCGAATGAATACTGTCTTTCACCCCGTATCTCCTACGGTCGCTGGCCAGATCATGAAAGTCAAAGAACTTGTTGCAGTCAGTGAAGTCGATGAACCTCTCACTAAACAGGAGGTGCACCAATCGCGTCGGCCCGATCCTGGATTCTACATTGAATCGAGAGCTGCGGACCAGCTGAAAGAATATCAAGAGTCCTGAACAACCTGCTTCGCGATCTCTATTCTACCGATAAGGGCTGCCTTATAGCGTACTCAGGGCACGCTGATATTTCCTTCCATGACTTCAACGGCCGACCCACTAAGCACGACTTTCTCAACCTTCGCTGCTTCACCAAGCGTAACTTCCAAACCAATCACGCTTTTCCGACCCATCTCGACACCCTGAGTGAATTCGAACTTGTGAAGTTTCTGGTCCGGAGCTCTTAGCTTCGGGTGGTGCTTACTCAAGTATACTGCCAACCCTGAGGATGCCGACCCTGTGGCAGGATCCTCAATATTGTCAAGCACCATTCGGGTCCTGATCATTCTCGTCCGAAGACCGGTCGCACTGTCGGATTTGCCTTCACCAGTAACATGGTAGAAGAACAACCCCGCGACGCCCCCAGCGGTATATTCAGGCGTCAAGCCCTCCTGTGAGAGTGGCTTGTAGCCAGTCTTGACAGCCCCGAGTGCTTCTAGCGACGAAAGCTCCACGAGGCAGAAAGTCATGCCTTTGACAATGCTGAAGAATGGCGCCGAATTCACGAAGCTGTTGGTGACATCTTTGGACAAACCCTGGGCCTCGAGACCACGGACGTCAAGAGACCTGCTGTGGAGGTGACTGTCATGTGGGATCTCAGCGGTTGCAGCACCCGATGCGGTGTCATAGCTCCAGGGGATTTTGCCGGCCTTACAGTTGAGCGCGCCCTGGATGATCCCGCCCGCTCCGGTGGCCTGAAGAGAACGTCCAAGGTAGCAGATAGTGCCAATGGTGGGGTGTCCAGCGAAGGGGATCTCCTGAGTTGTAATAAAAATGTCAAATGTCCATTCTGACTTTCTGTAGCTTTCCTCGCTCTCGTGCAGAACGACGGTTTCCGACAAGTTGAACTCGTTAGCGATGGCTTGCTTTTGAGCCTGCGTCAATTTCTGAGACTTCGGTAAGCGCACAATGGCGAGCGGGTTTCCTTCATAGCGCGTGGCGGTGAAAACGTCCGTGGTGAGGAATTGAAGCTTCTGGTCTGCCATGACTATTCTGACTGGTGTTGTGCACTGTCAACAGCCTGGCTTGTTGTTGTAAATGTGGTTTCATATACAATTCTTGGACATGTGACTCATACCTATCGATGCTGGTATAGCGACGCCCTTCGGCTACATGCGCAACGCGAACACGAAAGTGTCGTGCTTAGACCCGGAGTAGTGGGGATGCTGTGGTCACAATGCTCGTTTCCGCAACATGCTGCCGAACGCCGGGGAAAGCTCCACATTTATGATGGCAGCGCAAGCATGCAAGCTTCGACCAATGCTCGGATTGACAAAGTAATATCTCAAGCATTGTTACATGATCTCGACCTTCACCAGAGAAGCTTCCATAATGGCGAATAAACTACAGTCACTCCGATTACTGGCCCGCACACGTTGTTCACCGTCAACTGGCCGCACCCTCACAACGCTCACAGGCCGCTCGTTACGACCATCACCATCGCCCGCCATTCGTCCCTCCTTCACAACCCTTCCACCCTCGAACTCCTTTTCATACACCAGCAATTCCCGAAAAGGGCTCCAGCCCGAGTCCGACAACCCTGCACCACCCAACACAGAGCCCAGCATATCCACTGCCAACACCTTGCCCGCGCCTCTATCTGAGGACGAATACCACGAGAAAGCCGACCAGTACCTCGAGCGCCTCGTCCTCGCTCTCGAAGAGAAGGCCGAGAGCAATCCTGATTTCGAAGTCGAATATGACGTATGTCCAACACTTCACCTTCTTCCCTTCTTTCACACCACCCTTTCGCAGCCACCATTGGTACTGACATGTGTGTCTCTATCTAGTCAGGCAACCTAGAGTTAACGACCCCGCAAGGCATCTATGTGATCAACAAACAGCGGCCGAACAAGCAGATCTGGCTGTCGTCGCCCGTGTCGGGTCCCAAGCGGTTCGATTTCGTGATCGCGGGCGCGGGCCAGCATGAGAAGGAGGAGAGCGAGAGGGTTGATGAAGGGGAGGGCGATGATCGCGAAGGTGGGAGGTGGGTGTACCTCAGGGACGGGGACTCCTTGACCGACTTGATCTTCAAAGAGGTGGGCGTCAAGATCTAGTTTTGCGCTGCGGTGAAGCAAGCAAGATTGGAGGGAACGTACAGCGGGCGGCAAAAGAAAGAGAATATGGACGTGGGCAGGCACCGGCGCAAGAACAGGCGCTGGCTTTGACTTGTGATAATGGCTTTAGCCCCTCCAGCTTGCCGTTCGGAAGCCCTCTTCAAATCTTGCGCAGCACTTCTGAGAAGGAGATCAGGATGAGCTTCACGGGAAGATTGAGACAAAGGCAAGAGGTTTAGACATTATGCTGGAGGCCAGGGTGAAGAAGCATCCAAGCTACAGTGGTCTATCGATGTACACACTATACATCTGCTGTGTCCAAGCAGCTGGGCGGCATCGCTAATGAAGCGAGTGTTCCAGCAACTTTTGATCTTTCCTGTTCTCAAGATGCAACGCATGGGAGCAGTGCCGCTCACCCGTTGCAGTCTGTCCCGCATCCGGGCAAGCCAAACCTCCCGTATACATACAATCAAGAAGCCCAGACTCGCTTTTACCTCTTCTTCTTGTCCTTCTTGCCAGCCTGCGCGGGGCTGCCTTTTCCTGCAGCCGCGGCCGGCGCCGCCGCAGGCTGTCCACCAGGCGCGCCGCCCGCCGGCACACCGGGGCTCTCGGCCATGCGCTTGCTCATGATCTGCCTGCTGGCGAAACTGATGACCAACATCATCAGCCAGCTCGGAACGGCACCGAGCGCCCACAGCGCATAGCCGAACGGAATGGTCAGCCCAAACTTCTGGAATGTGCCGTCGATGGGGTGCAGCATGCCCTCATAGGGCGTATATTTTTGGTAGCGGGAGGTGGAGGTGGAGGGAATGGAGACAATGTCTTCGGTTGTGACGGTTGTGGAGTTGAGGCGGATGATGCGTAGGTCGGAGGCGGCGTCGGGGTTGGAGGAGGTAGCTGGGGTCAGGAAATGCCAGATGGCCGGAGGGCCGGCTGACCAGGCGGTGCAGAGGATCTCGTTAGCTTCGCAGTCGATAGTGCCGAGCTTGAGAGTCGGCTTATCCCGTGGTTGAGGGAGAGCTGTGAGGAGTGGTACCGACAGCTATATATTACGGTCAGCTTCTCATCCCCATTGGGGCCGACGATGGTTGGCAACGTACGTTCCACACTGCATTGGGATTGCCGCACCGTCCGAAGCAGGTCTTGTTTCCTCCTGTAACATACACAAGCCACTCTTGCGCCTCGTCTGGCTTGGGCCATATATGCTGCTTCCAGTTCTGCATGCCGAGAGGCTGCACAACCTCGGCCGCAAGAGCGCTAGCACCCGCATCCACGGGGTTGGGTAGAGTATTAGAGATTTGATTCTTGATGTTGCTGAACCAAGAGTTAAATTGGTCAAAGACGCCGCCTTGGGCGAGCGCTGTGCCCGTAAGGGCGAGGACTGGGAGCAAGCGCATAGCGGGCTGCGTGGGCGAAGTGAGGCGGGGAAATAGTGGAACGAGGCAGTAAACTAATACGAGGGGCAAGTCAAGGAACGGCAGAAGTATGAACTGTGGGGAGAGAAGAAAAGGTGATGAAGGTGGTGAGGATGGAGATGCTTGAGGGTCAGCTTTTCTTGCTGATGTTCAAGAAGTCGAGAGATCTGAACAGAAGAACTGCGTTGGCAGGGTCTCGCTCGCCATCGCAAGCGACGGAGCTAACGATGCCATGGTGGTCGCAGAGAGCAACGTGGAGAGCCAGTCCGAATGGGGAGTGGTGGTTGGGGCAAGTTCGGCGGTTCGCGCTTAAAAAGGGGTTCTTCGATAGGCCTTCGTGGCCGATCTAGCACGAGGCGCATATTTGCTTTCCTCGGGGTTCTGCGACCTCAAGAACTATTCCGAAAGCGATACAGACGACAGGCCTACACAAATGGCTGCTTCCGCAACAGAATCGCTATTCAGCATCCAAACAGACACCGTTCTTGATGACGGCACCACTGACCTTAGCTCGCCTTCAACCACGGACGATGGTTCGAGCTTCGGATCTTCTACTACGGTTGATGATTCCTCGATGGAAGCATGCGCCACACCTCTAATGACAGGCTATCGCCCTTACTACGGGAGATCCGGCTTTGACCCGTATGGGTGCGGTGGATGGATTCAACTTCAAAACGAAACCCTCTATTGTTGCAATGGCAAGCTCATTGACCGTACCCAGCCGCTCAAGGGGGCCGCTGAAATGTGTCTTGAGAACATTCGTTGCTGCTCCGGAGACCCCGACGTGACGCTCGGATATGCCACCACCTGTACAGCCGGTTCCGAGGCCCGCGTGGTTTTGGACAGCAGCATCAGCAGCGAGTACTACGCGACACAGAGCAGCTCGACGACCACTGAAGCCAACGCTTTTGGCACTATTACTCGAAGCTCTCCTGCAGCTTCCTCTCCGACGAACACTTCTAATGCGGGCCATTCTATCACTCTCCAGTTTCCTCTCTTTGGCACTATACTCATGCTGTGGACTCTGCTCAAGGGAATCCCATCTTCTTAGCGAAAGCCTCCATGTCGCCTACTTGTTTCACACTGTCCCATTGGCCTTTCTGCTGCTGATATAGCGCCCAATGCTGTTGCGCACAGACTTTCGGGGACGTTTCTGGGTCGTCTGGGCTCACTATGCCGTTGATATCGAGCCTCGCGACATGTACGCCCTTCGGCCCGGCGAGATACTCGAAGCTCTGCAAAAAGTTGATCTGCGCCGCTTTCTGAAGCGTCTCGGTCAGCCTGTGCCAACGTGGATGAATTCGCAATCGCTTGAGACTCACCTGCATGCACAGCGAAAAGAATGGTGGTAGAGGCCGCCATCCAATCCCGCTACCGCTTAGGAAGAAGCCAGGCTTTCCGCCCTCCTCCGCTATCTGCGCCAAGTACGGCAGTGCCCACATCGCCGCCACATAGATTCCCACCGAATTGAGCTTATAGTCCTGGACCATTTCCTCTGGGGTAAATTGACCAAATTCTGAAGGACCAACACGCGCCGCGTTATAGATGACGACTTCGGGCGAACCAAGCGTGGCGTGGACCTTCTCCAACGCGGAATTGAGAGAGGCAGCGTCAGAGGCGTCGCAGGGGAGAGACTCGATTTTGATGTCTGGAGTGGCCGCAGCGGAGCGAATGGTGGCGGCATCAGATTCCAGCCGCGAGGCGGAGCGCGAGAGTAAAGCGACATTGAACCCGTTGCTGGCAAAGAGGGAAGCCGTAGCGACTCCTATGCCCGGCCCAGAACCGATGAGGACGAGAAGCTTATTATTGGACATGGCTTGTGTTAGTCTGAGGTGGATGGTAGAAGCTGAGAAGGGCAACGAAGTAGAGGTCGCAAGGAGAGACGGACTATCTTCTGTTATCCGACTCGCAAGATCTCGCCCGTTACTTATACTAGACCGTTGCACATAAGACCACGGTCCCGCTACAATACCATTTCTCAAGCGGCGACTCCTTGGTCCACAAATAGCCTTTCCACTACACGTCACCGTCCCTCACAAAGTCTGCGCCCAATGAAAGCAGTCTAACTCGTGCCCTTCGACTCGCAACGTAAGGCACGCCACCGAAGCGGTACAGCATCGCGAATATCTGATGTCCAAGGCGAGGCCGAGCCGCCGCAAAGTAGTCAGCATGCATTTGCTGTTCCCCGGGAAGGCTCCATTGCAATTACCAGAAGCGAGCAAGCGGCACGGCGCCCTGCAGTTAATATTGGCGGTTCATGGCTCTGCTTGGAGACTAGCATCAGGAGAAGCTTTTCTCGGGCTTATGAATTCGACGAATACAAGCGTTAAGTGCTTGGGGAAGCTATATGGCGCGCCGTCACATTGATCGAGGCGTCTGCTGCGTGAACCGAGCCTCTCGTGGTGTGGATCACAGATGAGAAGTGCAGCTGTTCGTCCTTTGAAAGGTGGCACAGAAGAGCCCAAGCGCAGGACTTACAAGGTTCGATTTCAAGTACGATGCTGGTCGCGCGGCGTTGCATTTCTTACTTCGCAACACGTTTCCGGAGAAAGTCATGATCAGCACGCAGCGCCTCCAGCCTTCTTGACGCCTACCACACACAGATTCCTCGGACTCATGCTGTAATCGAACACCGTCTCAACCCACGCCTCGCCCACACACTCCTGCTCGCGCAGCCAAAGCCACCTATCAACCGCAATGAGGCTCTCGACGACGCCCGCGCTGAACGCCATCAAACTCCAAATAATGGCCAAATGTTTGCGTCTGTACCCAAACTCTTGCTCGTACGCTTCAATCATCTCAGTCGTCAAGTCCCGCGTCCGCTCCCGTACCCACGCACTGTCATGAGCTCCGTCGGCTGTCAACTTCGCCAGCGCGGCCTGCACGTACGCTCTAAAGCTGCCAAAGGCAGACTTTCTCAAGCTGCCGACGATCAGAGGAGTACCGGTATTGCCGTCACCGGGCGAGGCATCGTCTTTCACCGCGTGGTCGGGAGGAACGGCTGGCTTGACCACGCCTCTGTCAAGCAGAACCTTCTGGAGCAAGGCTCTATAGAAGTGTCTCGTGAAGAAAGCTTCGCTGTCCTCCTCGCCCCAGTTGCTGGGCGCCTGCACCGCCATCATCCGCGCCGTGATGTTCATTCTCACGCCTCGACTGGTGGTGCCGTCGCCGTCCAGCCACTCGTAGTCTTCCAGACGCCTGCTCATGGGGAAGCCGTGCGGGTCATATGCCGTGCTTGTTTCCACCAGACGAGGATGCATTGATCGGAGCTGCGGATGCTTGTAGGTGAGGGGTCCCAATCGTTCGGTCAGCAGGTTGTAGCAGCAGCCAATTGCCGCGACGGCGTGCACAGAGGGGTTCAGGATCGAGCGCAAAGCGTGATGGGTGAGGTTGCCGCAAGAATGGAGCGAGATTGTCATCAGTGGCGGCTTCAATTCGGTCGTCTCAACTCCAGGGTAGATGATCGACTCGAGCTCGCCGTCGGTAATCTCGTGCTCGATGTGGGTCATTGATCCTCTTCCGGGCTCCTCGGTACTCTGCTCGAGTGCCAGTCGTTCTAATACGTCGTCCGGAACGGTCACCTCAAAGTCCAGGTCCTCGGATGGCGGCGTTGGCAAGCCGTTGGAGGTCGAGACTGAAAGCTCTGCAAGACGTCGCTTGTACTCCTTCTTGTTGCGCATGATTTTTTCTTTCTTGGCCAGCTTAGCATGGACGTCCAGCCCTCGTGCTCCATCGACGTTGTGGTGCTTTCTCTCGATCGCAATGATGTGGTGATTGTATGGTGTTGAAGCGAGCGTCCGGCCGAGATAGTTCTGACCTGAGCCGAAGTCGACAAGCTTCAGTGGAGCTGGTGAGGCGGTGTCCTGCGTGTCGCCTTTTCCAAGCGATGGAGAGGAGATGCTTGTTGAGAGATTTGAGACATGTTCGGCAAAGTGCGACACCTCATGCATCTTCTTAGGCTTCATGCCGACCGCTATATGCCGCGGCATCGGACTGTCTTTGTTTGAATGCTTCCCAGTGGTAGCTTTCGCGACACGTTCGAACCGGGTGGAGGGGTTGAAAGACCTGACAAGGCAATGTATACGAACCATGTAGATGTATTCCATCAGGGAAGCCGGGAGAGCTGGGAGCGTATTCCCAGCAGCTCCTACCAGATTCGATCCATCTCTGAGGTCCTGCGTGCTTGTCCGGAGCAGAAGTTGCAACAGATCGTGGACGTCTATCAGTTCAAACCAGGCTCGCCATTCCGAGGGTAGAACAGTGCTGTACAAGTCCGGTGTCCGAGTCAAGAAATCCAGGATGTGGACACCGCCACATAGATTCTTGAACACAGTGGATGTCGTCGAGAATCGTAGTAGAGACTCGACATACTCATCGGCAGAGTTCCATACGGGTTCCAGGGGTAAAGCGGGCCTTCCTGGCAGGCAAGTCATTCTTGTGTTGCTTAGCCGGCTGGCCGGCAACGTGGTCGGCTCGCCTTCGATGCTCGCCACCAACACATTGGGTTTCCCCGTTAGTAAATCTGGCGTGGTGGTGTCCTTGCTGGCGCAGTGCTCCAAGTAAGAAGGTAATAGCCTTGAAAACGCATGCAAAAGTCTTTCGGCATGCCAAGAGTTCATGGCTGCCCTTTCTTGGCGTTTGCCCTGTACTCTCTACTGGGTCGTAGCCTGCAAGGCACCGCCACAGAGGCTGACAGGGTGATTATTCTATACTATGTACGTTATGCTGTTCGGACAGCTTCTATTCGTCATCGGAGCTTTGCTCGCAAAGACCCGGAATTTTCTGTGCGTTCTCACCTACCAGTCCATCTATATATGCCAACAGCGTATCGAGACTGATCAAATCAAGCAGACCCAAGCTCGGGTTTGAGCTTCTCATCACTTGACCTTTCCACAGAATGCGGATGTACCAGCACTGATCACGACTGAACAATTCGAAGGCCACTTCAGCTCCCATACCTGGCCAAACCATTTGGTCAACTTGCAAGATAGATAGCAGCCTGGACGTCGAACCGTCATGGGCGACATTGTGGCGGTAAAGAACCTCGCTGTCGCCACTCGCCACGGCTCGAAGGTTTGAAGCAAGTTCGGCAAGCCAGACACCATAAGATGAAGTCGACGACGCCAAAGAGGATGGAGAGTCGCGATAGATGAACGAATATTCGTATTGGCCACGTCGGAACACAGCCTCGGCGTCCTCCTCTGATACGCAAGTTTCGTTGTCAGCAGTGCAAGGCAGCGGCTTCTGATGGCAAAGACGTGCAGACAAGTTGTCAAAATAGTGATCGAACCAGCTGTACCAATCGTCGGCATCGGCAGAGCTGTTGACGTTGGAGACAACCTCGAGCCGTTCGAACAATGAGACAGTCTCTGGTGCTGTTAAGTGGTCGGTCCAATTTGAGAAATTGCTGCCCACGCCGTAGGTCTCACGTATTGTGTCCGATGAGGCGCACGAGTAACTTGGCTCGAGGCTGTCGACTCCGTCCGGCTGGATCAAGACGGTGACGGAGACATTCTCGGCATCCGGGTACATGCCTAGAATCAATTGACCTGCGACCTGGGAGGTGATGACGTTGTTGGTAACTCTGAATTTGACTTTGTTGGTATCAAAGGAGGAGGGCAAGAACTGTAGTTGGTCATGGTAGACACCATAGAGATCAACTCCGTGTTGTCGACTGTCATAAAGACCTTGACCACTGATTTGAGGGAACTGGCAAGTCCCGTTGAAACCTGCGGGAGCGAACGGGTTGACGTCTGTCGTGTAGACAGACCAGGCTACCTGCGCAGCATTGCCTTCGGGAATGGGGATACCATAATACGCGAGTGCTTCGTCATCGCAGTACCACGGATAGCCTTCGCGTGGGAAAGTGTTGTGAGCGTACGGCGTCCGCTTGTGGTGGCGGTGAATGACTTCAACGTACTCGAGCTTGTAGTCGGACGGTGCAGGCTGGTATTCCGAAGTTCGAACATGCGGCATGTTGCACCAATTGTATGTCGAATACGGCACGTCAGAGGGAGTTGTGGCGTTATACACGAAGCCATATACCCCTGTTCCGTTCAGCACATTGGTGAGATCGTTGACTTCGGTTGCGTTCGGTGCGTGCCAACCAAGATCGACATCAGCGATCGTGCCGCATTCCGATTGTCCTAGCGCTCGCTGTGACGACGCGGCGATAAGCAAAGGGTATACCACTGAGTATGCGGTATTAGCATCCCACATTCTGAGCAATGTCATGGTGGAAAGAAACAAGATGGAGGTGTAAAGGATGAGCTTGGAGTACAAGGACATGAAGAGCTTTTGAGCTCGACACCACGGTCATCCTAACAAACATAGCATCGAACAGTCAACGAATGATCCTAACAGATCTGTGCACGATGACATAGGTCGATAGGGAGTAGTATAGCTTGAATGTAACGCGGAGGTCAGCGTTGATCACCGTAGCACGTGGGTGGGACCAGTCGCCGTTTATTGGTCAGATAAATATCCGAGGCCTACGATTTTCGCAAGGCTGCGCGAGGCTTCGTTACCCCTATGTGAATACTCTTCTGTATGTGCTTGAACGGTCAATATAACTACAGACTGTCGGCAGGAGTTTCAGTATATAATGTGTGAGCCGCTGCCGGCGGCGAACATGTCGAACTCCAAACCACAAGCTTGTTCAATCGCTCGTGCCTGAATGAAGTTCTCCTACAGGCTGCCTGACACTCTTCTCTGCCTTCCTCATGAGCACCTCATCCAGCTGTCATTCAAGTGAGATACTGTGGCATCGCAGCTATGACGCATAAAGATGCCCTGCAGGCAGAACAAACGACGGCTATGCGCCTGCGGCTGCGTGAAACCCCAACAATCACCTTCTTTCACCACAGCAAGCCTCTAGAAATCCAAATTGGTGCCCACTTCTTCTGCTTCTCTCAGATTATATCACCATGGCGAACCTGTCCATGAAGATGATGATGATGCCGCCTCCTTCGAGACTATGGAAGACCGGACCTGCCGTCCTACAGAAGGTCACCGAGCTCAGACTCCGTCCACCCAGCCGGGACGTACTGCCGAGACCTGCCAGCGGCCGCAGCTTCATGGAATTGACTCAAAAGGTTCGATTCATGGTGTACCACCACCTTTTGTACTCTGAAGACCCCATCATTCGGCCCTGGCCGAGCAAGAAGTTCGCTGTCCAGTTGTTGCGCGTGAACAAAGACATCTTTGCAGAGGCAGCATACTGCTTCTATGGCATGGTGGGTCAATTTCCCATGAGTAGCCTGCAGTCACTGACCGATTTTAGGGAGATGAGGGTGAAGATTTCTTTGACGATGATATGGACGTCAGCATGAACGATTCCTGGTATATTTACGAAGACGATGTCGGTGGGCGAGCTTTGCCGAATACTTTTCAGCCTATGATGCGCTTCGATACCGCACATCTTGGTATGTTGACTTGTCTCCCAAACCAAGCATGGTGGAACTTGGTGCAATATCCTCCCGCTGACTATGCTTTTGACAAGTATCACCGCCTCAGCCATACCGATTCCTCGTCCGCAAGCTTCACCTCTCATACGATACGAAATGGAACGAGAACACCTTGGGCGATCTCCTCCAATATGCCAACCTCGAAGAAGTCTCGATCGGCTTGGGCACCATCAAGGAGCACTTCTCTTTCGAGGGTCAAGACTACCACAGCCAGCAGGATTTCCTGCAGCGCCACTACAAGAACCGCGCTCTCGAGCAGGATGCGGATGGCGGCAGCTTGATCAAGCGGTGCGTCTTAAGATTCGTCAAGGAAGACCATAGGGTCGTCAGTATCTTGGTGAGACAGACAGTCCTGGAACCAGCTCCGGAGTATGAAGCCTGGTGGCAGGATCCAGACTTCGTCGATGAGATCATCGGATACGAGGCCACAGTTGATGTCGCATCCAACCTTGATCTGTTGGCCGACAATATGTTTGATCGTTCTGGCAGAGAGAGCGAGAGGCTCCGCTGACAGTCAATTATGGAACACAAGTTTGGAAAAGAGGTCTCGGATGCTTACGAATGCTGGTTGCTAAGAGAGTGGACACATGAGTTTGCAGCACAGTTTGCTCTTCCAGCAAGAGAGAACCCTCTGGCGATGGATGGGAGTCGGAGATTTGAGGTTTACTTCGGAGCTTGACGCTGGCTCGCATGCTTGCGTGTGGGAAGGTCGACGTCTATTCGTTGGAATATTGGCAGCCACTGGATCCAGCGTGCTCGGATCCGTTCAGGCTCATAAGTCGGTGCCAAACGACCATGTACAGCAGCTCCAAGAGGCTGCGATTGCCTCGATGAGAGAAACAACTTGAGCAGCCATTAGAACCCACTCTCCATCGTTCCGGGTTGTTGTGATCATACTGTGAGCGCACAAGCCTCCAAGCCATTGTCCTCGTTGAAGACCCTGGAGGCGGGAGCTGGGAAGTAAACATGAAACATCTGCAGTGTGGGTTTAGCATCAAGCACAAAACATTCGGCATACGGGAGCCAATCACTGAATACAAAAGTCTATGTGCCTTATTCAGGGACTGATCAGCGCTGACTGCTCACCAGAGGGTCCTTGCTACCACGATGAGCCTGTTGATTGTTCTCGCCATCGACGGCTGTGCTCTCGCTCCCACGACCTTCCTCGGCCTGTCTTTGGTGGACCTTATTCTGGTCGGCATGTTTCTCAGGATCAAATCGATACATTGGCCACTCCAAGAGCAGAGTTCTTTTGATGAAGGTGGGGATCGGCGCATAGATCACTGACGGAATCGGTATGAGGATGCTTGTGCGCTCGGTGTAGCGTTTGTAATCGAGCCATTCTTGTCCGTCTGGTCCAGACTTTTCGTACTTCTTCTTCGCGCCAGGTCGTTCCTGCAAAGTCAAGCCGGAGACGAAGAGTAGGAGCACCGTCAGGAAGACGGGCCCGACGATTGATGCGTACAATGCAGCGTATGGGCCCGACCCCGTAGGAACGTCATGGTAGGAAGCCGGAGACACGCACATGGTGTATATGGCGAATTGCGTAAGTATCTCTCCGGCGTAGTTCGGATGCCTGGACCAGCTGAAGAAGCCCTTATCGCACACCTTGCCATTGTTGTTCGGGTTCATTCGGAAGCGGTACTTCTGGACGTCGGATACACTCTCGATGCCGAAGCCCATGGCCCAACCGATAATGCCAATAATATCGTTCGCCGTACCGAATTTGTGTCGGGGATACTGGTTGACGTTCGGTGAGTTGAGGACTGTGACGGGCATCGACACAACCCAGACCCAAATCATCTGGAAAACAAAGAACCCAAGGAAGGGGAAGAATTTGTCTCGCTTGTCATCAAAGCGATCGTCCTTTCCAGTCTTGAGAATGCGGAAGAGTAAAAAGCCGCTGAGACGCGCTGCCCAGAGCATGATGAAGAGAGAGGCGACGATCTGCCTGGCATTGGGGCTTTCGGAAAATGCAAGCGTCAATACTGATACAAGGATGAAATTGGTTCCCCCAGCAAAGTCGGTGATCTTGTCAAACTTCAAGGTAAATGCAATGGAGAAAGCGATGAGCTGGTACGCGATCGTCACGAGTAAGGTGATGGCGAGATAGTAGTTGTCGAGTACGTGGACAACCATGTTGGCGGGTTTGCACGGGTTGTGGCCTCTGCGAAAAGGGATTCTAACATCGATGCGACATCGTGCACTTTATGCCATTATCACGTTGCCACTATAGCACATGTAAACACGTTCCTGCGCCAAAAATCGTAAGGCCGGCGTGAAAAAGAATCCGAAGGCAGTGCTCGTTAACTCTTGGGCGCTCAGCAGATGACGCAGTTGATGTTTAGGCTTCGATCTGAAAAGTGACAGTGATCACCGACTTGGTGGCAGCCTTGCCGCTGACGATCGGCCACCAGCGAGGCTGCAAGACTTTGGGCAGAACATGCACCAATCGCGACTACATACGTATCTGGTGTTGTGTTGCGACTCGGAGTAAAATATACGCCTCATGGCCTTGAATGCCCCGAATCCCCGTTGCTCGTGGCGTATCTAGCTTGGCATAAGGTCACTCTATTTCTGTACCACATGGCCGTTGGTTTGCTTCTCGCCTTCTGCCGATCGTGTGCTTGCTGTCAGTTCTCTTGCCGTCCAAACAAATCTCCCAGCACCCATTGCGGTCAGAATATGCCACCAACCGTGCAACTCCAGCACCCAGCCCAACGGCATACCCGTAAACCCTCTGATATTCCTTAGTCCATAGCAGAATTGGCCTTCAAACAACCACAGCCCAAATCCAACAAAGAAATACAGTACACCCAGTCGGAACTCTCGCATCAGCTTCCCCGCGACTTCGTCACGGCCTTTGAGATCTCCGGCCTGCTTGCGAATGCTGCTTTGCTTCTTGATCAGATATAGCGCTCGGGGCCACAATGCCGTCAGCAGCCCGACGAAAAGCGCCAGATGGATGGCGTTATCGGCTTTCCCGTCATGCGTTCCCATGAAGTTCCAGCCGACCACGCCAGACACAAGGCCTCCAATCAGTGTCCCAAGTGCCGTCTTCCCAATGTCGCTGAGCCCGTAACTCCACAAGGTGTAGTCTAAAGCTCCCGTGATGGCATACATTCCGCTCTCATCCACGATCTGTGTCTCGTGAAGGAGCGTCATGTGGAACGCAGCGCTGCCGAGGCCAACAAGAAGTAGCGAGAGCGCCTCCACCGGCCAGTTCCAGACCTTGAATTCTCGTCCATTGCCACGGAGGTGAGGCGGCAGCGTGACAACCGCTTGCCACACGAAGGCAAGGTTACTGAAGGTGTTGATGAACTCGGCGATGTAGTGCGAGACCTCGTAGTCGATCTCACAAAAATTTGCTGCTGAAGTTTGCGGTGACCAGTAGCCCGACATGGCGAGCGGATCGCCTGTGAAATTGTGATCCATGTTGTGCAAGTATAGACGGTCAGTCAACAGTTGTTGGTGGCGATCGAGTTGTTGACCTCTTTATAGGTATGATAACAAACAGGGAAGATGGGTCTCAGGAACGCTCAGGGGCGAGCTCGTTCTCGCACAGACTTGCCTAACATTCTGCTGGCGAAGCGTGTCTCGTATTGAACTATTTCGTATCCACTGTCTTCCGCGCACCTCCGCATCATGCCAAGCCTGGTCGAGGTGCCCACCTGCAGCCTTACACGCAACGGCCTCACCAAGTTGCGGCCTCACATGCGCACCCTGTTCACACACCTCCTTGAGTTGATCTAGCAATGCAGAGGTAGATCTGGCGACCTCGACATACGACTTCCTCTCGGGCCTCGCAGATCTCTCCCACCATGCCGGTGCGCAGCTCCTGCAATCCACTTCAGACCCCACCACTAACCTCTCGCTCTAGGCCTACCACTCGATCTTCCTGAACGACCAGGGCGTTCAACAAATAGGTGCCACTCCCTTCTACCACCGTATGCCCAGACTCCCGCTGATGACCCAGTAGGCAACCTCCCTCTCCTCCCTTTGCGCACAAAGACCCGCGGCCCAGCCTACACGCTCCCCGCGCTCCCCGCTGCCACCAACCCACTCGACGTCGACCCCGACAGCGAGTCCTACGATGTCCTCGACGAGATCCTCTCCCTCTTCCGCGCCAACACCTTCTTCCGCAATTTCGAGATCAAAGGCCCCGCCGACCGTTTGCTCATCTACGGCATCCTCTTCGTGTCCGACTGCCTAACGAAAGTCAAGCCCCGCGACGACGCGCGCACGGCCGAGAAGGCGCTGATCAATGGCGCCCTGGAGCAGTTCGCCATCCCAGGAGAGCCGGGCTTCCCGCTGAACCAGGCGTTCGAGGCGCCGCGCGACAGGCAGGAGGCCGAGGTCATGCGGCAGTATCTGGGGCAGGTGCGGCAAGAGCTGGCTATTAGACTGCACCAGCGGCTGTATGAGGGGGGTGCCACGGTGCCGAGTAAGTGGTGGTTGAGTTTTACGAAGCGGAAGTTCATGGGCAAGAGCTTGTGAGCGGAGCAGCTCGGCGTGGGTTTACGTGCGAGGAAGAGCATTGGGGAGGATTAACGAACTCCGAAAACGATGAGCTTCAGAGTCAGGAGCCATTGTGCCATGGATGGTGCAGCTACGGTGAGAGATGCTGTGCGGCCTAGAGATTATAGACGACCCAAAAACCTATGCAATACTCTAGCCGAGATGCAGGCGATCAACTGCCTACGACCACGTCCTCGCCAATACCCTCCCCCTCGTCTCCCAACTTCAGCCTTTTGGAATCCTGCTGCCCATCTGCATCTGTTGTAGCATACATGCCCGCCCCATTCGTCACACCATCCTCCACCGCACCCACCTCATCCCGCACCAGCTTATTCCTCACGTTCCGCCTCCCCTTGCCCCTCGCCGCCACCTTGCCCTCCGCCCTCACCACCCTCGTCGCCGTCCACACATACCCCTCGGCGCCGCCTTTGCTCGTCATGACGGGATGCGTCCGGCCCGGCAGCACCTGCCACTTCCGGACCCTGCTCGTCTGCACCATCGGCGCCAACAGCAGCGTCGGATCCACGGGGAAGTCCTCGCTCGGGACGTGCTGCTGCCTCCTCTTCCTCGTCGTCGTCGTCGTCTCCTCATCGTCGTCGTCGCCATCGCCATCGTCTTGCAGGCTCAGAAACGCCGTGCGGCGCGCGGTCGAGTAGTAGTCGGTCAGCGACAGCAGCGGCTCCATCTGCGGCGAGTATACCACGACTTGCGAGCCGCCCGCGAGGAGCGGGACCAGGTGCTGCAGGATGCTGGTCGGGTTGGTGTAGCTGGCGACGACGAGGCCGTCGAAGCCGCCGGCGCGGGTCTCGTCGATGACGGCGCGGGCGCGCTCCCAGCGGCGGCGCTTGCGGAAGTAGTTGCTGCGCCGGTTGCTTTTGAGCTTGGCGAGCTCGTGGGGGGGCAGGATGGGGGGCTCGATGTAGGCGCTGTCCGACTCGGGCTCGATGAGCTGTAGCCAGGAGAGGGTTTTGAGGTGGCTGTAGAGCGGGTGGGTGGCGGTGGGGTTCATACTGTCGAAGTTGAAGTAGCGGAGCAGGGCGAGGTTGGGTTGTTGGTTGGAGTGGATGACGGTTAGAGTGTTGGAAGAGGCGGACATTTGGTCGGCCGCGTAGGCTTGCCGGCGGGGTTTAACGGGCGGCGCGGCAACGATGGACGATGTGGTTTCCGTGGGCTCGTCCAGGTTGTCGATATCGACATCCTCTTCTGTCTCTATCTGCGACGAGGGGTAGGCTTGGTGAAGTATACCCATACGTTCGGCCATGGCGGCGGCTACAAGACCGCCAGTGTCGTCGACGACAAGATAGCGCGAAGACGACTGTGCGCTTGGTAAAGGATCGCCACTAGCATGAATGTTGGCCCAGCAGCCTATGAGGCCAAGTACCTCGTTGCGGATCTCCATAACTCTAGTGAAGTCTTTCTCGACCATCATGAAGTCTGTGAGTGTTGCCACGTCCAAGGGTAATACTGTAAAACGCTTGATATACTTCCGGTGCTTTCGGAGCGTGTATTTTGCCAACGAGAATGCCGTTTTCTGGTCGAGATTCGTGTGAGATGACATGATCTTCGCGATGAGCTCTTTGGTGCTGCCCATGTCATCCTGCTTCAGCTCCTCAATTTCGGACATAGTTAGACGTTGATTGAGCGGGTCGTCCATGATGTTGACATTGGACTTATCGCCCGTCAGCAGCCCATACTCGTCCACCTCATTGCTCGGTGGCGTGCCTTCCTCACCACCTGCTTCTTCAAGCAGCTCCGCCGCATGAAGCTCGGCGGCAGAAATGATTCTCAGTTCCCTGTCCGGACGGGCTTCTGACTTGTCCAGGATCTCAAATGTGAGGTGATATGGACGCCCGAATAGTTGATTGGTATGGAAAGATCCATACTTGCCTAGACTTATGAGCCTTTGAGAACAGAGTCAGCTACAGCGTCTCAATGCTGATGGCTGATGTCCGTTTTGAAGGCTCGGGGTGGACGGGGAGTACCTACGAGTTAGGGTTCAATCGTTCGATCCGAGTCTGGTCGTTGGGTAACCGGAGAACGACATGTTGAAACGGTCGAATGGTTGTGAAGTCCATGTTCACAATTCATCAAGTGACCACGTACTCGCCAACCGGTTAGTTGCATACATACGCAACGAAGAGTTCACGAAGAAAATAGATCAAAATCCTAGATCTGGCTCCACAAAAGTAGCCTCGTATATCTTGGCAAGGCTTCTAGATTCCCGGTGTTCCAGCATTGCCTGCCCATTACAGCACATGCCTCGACCCCAGTTTCATGTGGCGCTGGCAAGGGGTAGCTTCTCTCAATAACTCCTCATCAATCCCACTTGGCCCTTGAATCGCCCAGCTGCGTGGGATGCACGACAAGCAAAAATACCACACGGGTGGCCAACACAAAACCGGTAATGAGCAAGTTGCCCCATTCCTGCCACCTCCAGAGAGCCGGAGTGATCCGCCCTTGGATAGAGAGCCCTTGCAGCACAGAAGCAATGATGACCAGATCGACAATGGCAATGCTTGCCTGCAAGCATCGCCAGACTGTTAGGTCTCGGGACCTGAGACGGAGCAAGACAACCTGAAGGAAGAGGGTGCCCAAAAGAAAGCCTGTGCTCATGTTGAGGACAATTGTTGTCTCAATAGCTGGCGGTTCGATGGCCTGGGGGTTATAGCTACTTAGCACAGTCGACGTGGAGAAGGCGTTGGCAAAAGCTCCACTCAACGCGACCAGCGGGTCGAGCGTCGCGAACCATATCCGCCATCCAGAAGGTATTGGTGAGTCCATGATCGAGGGGTTACAATGGTGTTGAGTTGAAGAACTCTTCTCAAAGTTGATTAACGTAGAAGATGTCGTTGGAAGACGGGTCAGGCTACCTCCATGTCACAGACCCGCTCGACAAGCGTTTGCACCTGCAAGGCTCTCGGCTCGCCTGATGCGCGTGGTTTCAAACCCCACCAACACGGGAGCTCCATCAAACAACTTCCATCCTCCGATCCTCGTCTGACCGGTCAAAAGGTCACAACACCTTCTACCCAAGCATGACGCATCGGCCCTGAACAACTACCGACCTAAGTGCGAGCCCGAGGATAGGTCCCAGCACCGGTAGTCAGCTGACCCCGCGAACACCGCCACAAAAACCTGTTTTGGCTACGTCACGCAGCGTCCAGGGGGGGGTACTTACGGATATGCGATGTGGCACGGACGTCGATTGCGAACGAAACAGGACAGGCAGAGGCGCTCGCTCTGTTGGGCTGGAATGGCAGGCTGCCCAATAACTCGACGAACAAAGGATGTGTGTGTGTGTCGCTCGCATTGCGGCATGACGTGACGCTGTTTTGCTCAGATGATAAAATCATGGTGTCGCGCGCGCGCGCACTCTCGTCTTGCAAGACGTGTTTTTCAGCCACATTTGGGTGTGTACTGTACTTGTTTGCATTCTGACACCACGCCCTTTTACGTCGCAACCTTGCGCGCTCCCCAGAAAATCTATCGCAACCGAAAACATCCCAGCCAGATGGCAGAAATTGTCAAGGGACTCACCAACTTGGTGCAGTCTTTCTTCCAGATCATCTACGGCACCGTCAGCACCGTGGTGTCGACGATCGTCAACACGCTCGAGGCTGCCTTCAACTTCGTGGTTGGTATCTTCCAGAGCGCGTTCAATGTGTCTGAGGGCATTGTCGGCCTGGTCCTCGGTGAGTCTCCTCTCTCGGGTTTCTGTCGAGAGGCTAACGAACTCCTTAGGTAACCTCACACTGATCTTGACCGCCGTGCTCGCGTACTGGGGTTACGTGATCTATCAACAGCGCCAGGGCAACAAGAACCCGCAGCCGCTCAAGGAAATCTCCGGCAAGGTGCAGAAGATGACCTCTTGAATGCAGCTCTTTGATCGCTCCGCTGTTTCAAGACGTGTGGCTGAGCAGCAACATCAGGCAGTGAAATGGGACAGGGACGACGTCGCAGGGTGCACGAGGGATGGGGTTTGGAACAGCGGTCATCGTGGACAAGGTTCGAGAAACGTTCACTGTTGGCACTGCACGGTCACGCCGCTTAGATACCATGTACTACCAATACATTCGCCGCTACAGCGGTGATAATCAGATAATCATTGCGATTCGTGGTCTACGTAATTTCAAAGAAGCACTCCGCGGTATCTGTAGAACTTTCCCTCGAATCTGATAGCGTGAATCCTCTACGAATGTAATCGTGGTTCGAGGTCTGTCGATCATCACCCCGATGAATAGCGTGACTGGCCAGATTTAGTCATCCAGTAGCCTTTGGCGCACGCTCTGAAAGATGGCTATCGGAGACGCGTATGCTGCGGCTGCAGCAATGAGCTTCCGAGGACGACGCCGACCAACGCGTTCAAGCCTTGACGGCGCGAGCCCTCCTCCTCGCTTGGACAATGGCGTCATAAAGCACGTCCTTGAACGCAAACAAGAACGCAGCCGTCAGCACACTCTGGCTCACCTTCGGGCCAATACCTGGGGAAAAGTGTTAGCAGACAAATCATGCGCAGGGACTCCGGGCCGGGAACTCACCCTTGTACAGACCGCTATAACCTTCCTCGCGCACGATCTTCCTCAGGCTCTCCGTCATGCCCTCGCTCTTCACGCCCTCCTGCTTCTTGGCCACATGTGCGCGGCTCTTCACCGTGATGTACGGGTAAGTGATGCTCGTGGCCAGCAACTTGCCCACGGCGCCCAGCATAAAGGCGTCCCTCGGCCCAACCTTTCGTTTCTTCTCAATATAGTTCTTCAACTGCTCGTAGATCGTATACTGCAGGATGGGGTTCACCACCAGCACCAGCGCCGGCAGCACACCCGCCATGAGACTCCCCAGGCCCTCGTCTTTGACCAACTGAACCAGCGTGCCAATCGTACTAACCTTCTTCTTCGGCTTGCGCTGCGCCTCCACATCCTTCTCGCCTTCTTCCTGCGCCGCATTCTCCCTCGTCGTCATGCGCGTATTCACCACCCAAATAGGATTCGTGATCAAGACCGTCGCGCTGCCCGCCACCGCGCCGGCAACCATGCTCTCCCACGTCCCCAGTCTCTTGCCCTCGCCCCGCGCCACCTTGGCCTTCTCAAAGCCGGACCGCGTCCACTCGTACCAGTAGTAGTACACAAAGTTGGTCACGCTGATGCCGAACAGCGCGCTGTCGAGGCCAGCGTACAGCCCCGAGACGCCTTCGCGAGAGATGATGTGCCGGATGGCGGCGAGTGTCGAGGTCTCGGCGCGCTTGGACTCGACTTGCGCGCGTGTGGACAGCGTGATGAGCGGGTAGGTGAGGGCCATGGCGAGGAGGCCGCCGCCCGCGCCGGCGAGGGCGTGCGAGATGTTGTCGGATTGTTGCTCCGCGGTTGTGGTTTGCGCAGGGGATGAGGAGGAGGAAGAGGAGGAGAGGTCCCCCTCGGTGGGGGTCGGTGCCTGAACTTTGGAAGAAGACATGGTGGAATGTGGAGTGCGAGGACTTCGGAGGATATTGGCTCGGTCGTAGTGTATCTCGAGATGCAAAGGAGTGTATTTTAACAGACAGGGGAGTGGACGAGATACGAAGGAGGTGCTGGAAGTTGAACGAGCGCGCGTGGTCATTTAGGAAACTCTCGGGCCCTGCGAGTTTGGCCGAGGTCAACCGGAGTTGACAGGTTACCCGAGAATTCCACATGCTCGAGGTCCCTCGAGCCCACCATGGCGATCGTGTCCTGAAGGACTGGCTTGTTTACGTCCATCATCTCCGTCTCGAGCTCAATGCCTTTGCGTACCGGACTCATAGCGCACATTCAATGTCCCCTATGCCGCTATGCTAAAAGCTGGGAGTTATTTCACGCCCTCCACTGCCCTTTCGCGCCGGCCTCGCGTCGCGACTGCACGGTGCACTGTACGCTACCTGTATTGATTGGGGAGTGTGCCACTACTGGAACTCTTCCGTGACCTGAGAAAGCCAGGCGGCATGCAGATGATCTTCCATGCTTCTCCCTTCTCAGTGGTTGGTTGACCCTTCTCATAGGCCGATACAAGACAAGCATACATTGCACGAAATCCGCAACATGTGCAGCCACTCAAGGATGAGCGCCAACGCGATGGTCTTTGTTGAAGCTCACCACTGATTGCCGGAATCGCAAGCACGAGAGCAATGTGTATAAGAAGTCGATGGCTAACCCAGCTTGTTGGATCTCATGAGAGGATTTAATCTGTAGGTGTACACGTGAATATAAGTGGCCTATATTGTCCTGGCCGCTTCGAAAGAAGTGCGGGTAACGGGGGTATCTCATGATCTCACACATTCTACATCTCACGCCTTATACGTCTGTAACGGGAAGCTCAAACCTCGGCTCGCCAACCGCAGCCTTTAACTCTTCGTCTTCTTCTCGAGCCGCATACGTCGCGGCCGTATATCCGTGTTTGTCGATCTGGTTCACATCCGCGCCAAACTCGACAAGCTTCCTCACGACCTTCACCCTCTCCCGACACAGCTTCTGCTTCTTCTCTTCAAACACATCGGACTTGATGATCGCATACATCAATGGCGTTTTCCCAAACCGGTCCACGCCGTTGACATCCTCGATGCCCTTCTCCAACAACAACGTCACCAGCTGCGCATCACAGTGCCGTGCTGCGTCGTGCAGCAAACTGTTGCCATACCACCCCTTAGGCCACTTGGCCTCCCCTGTGGGTACACACTGAGGGTAATGCTTCTCCAACATCAGCCTAACCACCTCATATAGCCTGCTTCTTGTCGCCACCATCAGCGGCGTCATGCCCTCCCCATCCCTGGTATCCACTTTGACGCCTGACACCTCCAGCAGAATGCGCGCCACTCGCGTGTGTCCAGCTCGGATTGCTAGTCCCAGAGGCGTCAGCTCCGGGCCTGCTTTGAAGCCCGCCTTGTAGCACACGGTATTGACATCGACGCCGTAGCGCACCAGCATGGCGACCTCAGCAGCGCACTCGTCGCGCATCTCACAGAAGTAGTGGATGGGCGCATAGCCCTTGCCCGTCGCGGCAAGGCCGCGCGCTCTCGAGGTCCCTTTCTTGATGTTGCTTTCCAGTTCGTCTCTGCGAATGATGAAATTTCGCGAGTCGTAGCCTTCCAGGAACTTGAGGCCCACCGTAGCAGCCTTGTCGAGTTTGTTAGCAGCGCAGTGCTCTGCCACGGCCTTGAAATGTGGTTCCAGCATAGCTGCAGAGGCTGGGTTGAAGGCAATATTTGGTGTAAGCATACCATGATCGAGGGCCTCAGAGTTCCAGCTGTCGGCGCGGGAGGAGAGGCGGTGGTGGGATGGTGGGGCGGAGTCTGAGGCAGGAGATGTCAATTGATTAATTGGACTGGATGTTGTGCTTGGTACGTTGATGTTGGAAGTCTGAAACTGGAGATGTGGAGAGGTGAAGGAGCTGGGAGTCTCAGGTATCGTGGAGTTGAGGGTGGTGGTGCGAGAGAAGGATGTTTTGCGATCGTCACTGCCGGATCTGGTGTCCCTCAAGCTGGCGCTGTGGTTGCGACCGAGCATGTTGCGGCTGAGCTTGTCACGCCATCCACGGGTAGCCTTACGCGGTGGCGCCGGGGAAGACGTCGCTGGCACACCTCTAACCTCGGAAGCTGGAGGTGACACTGAGGAAGTAATCGTGGGCTCATCGCTAGGAGTATCTGTATCGATCGACTCTGCTGGCTTCTTGGTCATTGGGCTCGGTGTTAAGAATTCCTCATACGCTTCTGCGTCTTCCTCGGCTCCCATATCGCGATAAATGTCGATCAACAGTTGTACGGACTCTAATGTTTTCTCGTCAGTCTCACCTAGCTCATCAGTGCGATCCATGAACGCCTTCCGAGCATGAACTTTGCCTCGCTCAAAGTCACCTTTCGCTCGATACGCTTCTCCTAGTTGATGACTGGCAGCAAGAGACTGCAATTTATCTGGTCGATACTGAGCAGGTATTGCTTCGTCAGCCACGTCCACAGATGACGGAAAAATATTGACCTTCCCGTCCGCAACGGGTGTGAGGAGAGCAATTGCCTCATCATGCTTCTGTTGCTTCAAGCATGACTGGGAGAGCATGAGCACCACCTCTGCAGGCTGGAACGCAATCCTGTTGCTGAAGTCGTATTTCGCAAGTAATTCAAGCGCTTTCTTGAAGTTTCGCTCTGCACTCTCATGCTGGCCCTCTGCGGCTTTCTCCTGGCCATTCTTTAGGTACCTCTGAGCGAGTCTGAAGTCCACTGCATCCGAGACTTTGGCTTGTGCCGGCTCCCTACCGTCCGTGCTGTTGTTTCCCAATGTTTGTGCAACTTGATCCGTGAATTGCTCAGGATTGGATGCAGAGATCCAGTCTGGAATAGTCCTGCGACTTCTCTGAAACTCCGAATTATTCAGCTCCGGCAGGTTGCCTCGTAGTTCAAGAGGGGCGGGTGGCTCAATTCGTGGTGAGATAGTACTGTATGTGGATCTTGTGCTGGCCGCGGCCGAAGCACTTGTGAGAATACGCCGGGCAAAAGTGAGATAATTATCACGCCCACGAGGATCTTGACGACTATCTGTTGATCCCACAATCAGGGTCTCGCCACGTAGCGTCGTATCACTTTGGTAGGTCAAGCTGACGATCAGTTCGCGCATGGTCTGCTCGATCTGCACAAAGCGACGGTCCAGGTTGCGCTGTGACTCGGCGCTCTGGTCTCGTTGTTCCAGCTGTAGCATGACGCAAACCATTTGAATAGGCAGCGATATGGTCGTGTTGAAGAACCTGATCCTTTCGCGGAGACGACCAAGCTCTCCTTTTCGAAGGGACTCCTCGAGGTGGGATCGAGCTTTCTTGAGTATTCCCGACGCCTTACTGATCTTGTCGAGGTGATGATTGATTTCCTTGATGGTGAGGCGGGAATCGTCGAGAGCAGTCTTGACCTGGGCCCAGAGGTGCCTGCCGTCATTGGCCTTGTTAGATGTGCGGGCAGCCTCGGCCATTACTGGCGACTTCAAGCAGTCGCTAAGTCCATCGTAAGTAGCTTTAAGCGCAAGGATCTCCTCGTAGAAACCCTGGATACGTTCACCGGCTGACCGAACATCGTTCACCCACTTGATGATTGTAACTGTAGCCTGACCACAAGCGAAAGCGATCTGCACGGCTCCGATGGATATCGAGGCTGGATCCATACTGTGCAACGTGCAATCATCGGCGCTTCAGCTGCATATTATACATGGCAAACGACTGTTTATGGTCAACGCAAGCACAGCACAGTTGCGAAGAGGAAGCAAAGGACATCGATGGGGGCGAAGAGCGGATAAGGCTGCACAAAAGTGAGTCAAGCGGGCCTCGTGGCACACGAGCATGGTCCAAGCCCCGGAGCTAGGCGAGAGACTGTTGGACAGAACATTTGCTACCGAAAGGGAAGCGGTCTGCGAATTCGTCGACCAGGGTGGTTTCCTCGGAAGACTGGTGGTTCGTGGAGGAGGCTGAGCTATTTGGAGAGCACTGCCCGTCCCAAGCGAGCCCCCCTGCCGCGATGTCTCCACCCTACCCCGTGGCAAAGGCCTGGGGCAGATTAAGGCGGGTTGTAGGGTGGCTTATAAGGCTGAACTTTGCGAAGTACTTCACATGATCATTTCGAAGGTTTGAGGCGCAGTACAATGACAAGTTCGTTGAAAAAAATCTATCGAGGGACGGCAAGAAGCCAGTGGAGATGGAAGAGTACACAGGTACTTCTCTGAGCATTTGCTCACTGGCGACTTCTTTGGGCTACGAACACATGACAGGTGCTGCAGACCTGCCGACGTCTATACTGAGTCTCCAGCGCAGTAGACCGGCCTTTGGATCCTTGTCGTTCGTATCTCTGAGCTTTTGGATATCGCAGAGAGTCTGTTGACTCCTGTCTAATGTGCAAACCGGAAGTCTAGTCTCTTGGCGCCCTCATCGTTCGTCTGATGGACGTACTCAATCTTTTCTTCACCAGATAACTGGGCCCAAGCCTGCTCTCTTTTCTTGTTCCGCGTAATGTAGTAGAACTTGACAAAGACGAAGAGGACGATGTTGTAGCAGCACAGCGCTAGCAGCACCTTGTTTCCCCTGATGTAGTACGGGCGATCGTCCTCGCGGTAGATGTTGGTTGCAACGATGTTTCCCGCTTGTACAAACATATTGTACAATGCTGCGCTTACGGCTCTCGTCCGGACGCTGTTGCTGTTCCGGGAGTTCCAAGCAACAAGAATGGCGTGGCAGTATGGGTACGACAGTAGACCCGTGAGCAGGGCGTAGCGGACCCAATCACCAGCGTTCTCCCCAAGTGCTACCAATGCCACCAGCCACGGCAGAATCCAAACGTTGGACATTGACGAGACGAGAGACCGTTCGTTGACCCATTCCGAGATGCGCGAAATGATGAGCAGTTGGACGCCGTACACGAACTGCGAGGGGATCGTCAACAAATTCGCTTGAAATGTGCTGAATCCCATAGTCCGGAGGATTAGAGCGAGATAGTTCTGAGGTGGATTAGGTGGGACGTAAGTGGTAAGTCCGAGCAGATATATCGGCCAGAGGTCGAAGTCTTTCAAACACTTCCACAGCCGAGCAGGGCCAACAGCTTGGCGGTTGTGCATATCCCCTTTCGAGGGATCATCTCTGAGTAGCCTGTTGAGGAGGATAGACTCCTCTCTGACCGTGAACCATGGCTTGCGGCGGAGGAAATTCGTCTTGTGAGTTTGGGTAATCGAAGGTGGTAAGAGAAAGAACGATGCTAGGCCAATGAGGAGGGTGAAAAGACCCTCAAGAAGGAACAACCACTGCCAGCCAGCCCATCCAGCGATGCCTCGCATCTGCAGGATGGCCGCGGCCAGAAGTGACCCAACAACGTTGCAAATACTGAGCACGGTCCAGAACCAGGACAGCCGGACTGCAAACATGAACCAGATCAGTGACCAGGTTCATTGTGTGAGAATCTGAGGCGAGGGCAGCTTCTGGATTGCAGCACCAGCGGGTCAACGTCGACTGAAACCCTGTGGAGGGAAGTCTCTGCCTGAACGTGTAGGGATCTCTGGGGACGGGAAACTTACTAGGAAGCTCATGACTCGTATACCAATATGTAATATACTGTGGGAGAAAGAAGTCAGTACTCGGATTCAGGAACGACATGTCACCGTTCAGCGCCACTCAGGAGCCAAGCTACCGAACAATGATGCTCTGCCTAGATATTTCTGTAGGATCGATTTCCCAGGCAGCGAATACTCTCCCGTTCCAGCTCTACAGTGAATGGATGACTTACAAGGACGGTATCCGGAATGAATCCTCCCATCAACAAGCCCAATATGCATCGAATTGCGTAGTACCCCGCTCGGCTGCTCAGCCCAGCTTGAGAAGCCGACACGACGCTCCACACGGAAATGATGAAGGGTATCCAACGATCCGGCCCCACTTTCTTCGAGATCAGACCAGATGGAAGCTCGGCGGCGAGGAAGGAAACAAGAAAGATGGTTTGGCCATAGTTGAAGTCATTCGTGTCCATACCGAGCTCACCAAGCATGTTATCCGTAATAGCTGCCACTCATTAGTGTCCGTTCGTTACACGATCCGTCCCAGACTCACCTCGATTGATATTCCGACGGTTGAGCTCTAGGGCAACGAACATCAACCACGCCTGGGTCATGATTCTCCAGTCGATCTGCAAGACATTAAACTCGACCCAGCAAACATGTTTTGTATCCTACTCTTCTCTTTAGACGCTTCTCTTCACTTGCGCTCCATGTCAGGGTGGGGTCGAAGCGATGTCTACCCTCGTACTGAGCGTTCTCGTAGACCTAAGCAGGTATGAGTATGAGCCTTGACCTCCACAGCAGGACAAAACTTACTCCACGCCAGTAAGCGGCAACCTTTGGGTCCGAGAAGACATGGTTGCTGTATGAACCATAGTGGCCGTCAATCTCCTCGTGCTCGGGTTCACCATCAGTGCTTTCCGAAGGGGATGGAATATTGTCAGCGCTAGTAGTCGCTTTCTCATCAACACGAGCTTTGGGCGCCGAGTGCACGGGGTCAGGCGCCATCACAGATAGCTCCAGGGGTGCAGAATACGAGGCAGTTGGCTTCTTGTTACTAGATCGTGAAGACGCCCTTCAGGTGAGTGCAGTGGATGGGCTTTTTAAGTACATGCTATCTCAAGCCTTCGGCGACAAAGCGTATCCACATCGATCACGAAATCTACACCATGCGCCTCTTCGCACATGGCTGCGAACAACAATCGATTGTGGCCAACCACTAGGTAAGACGACATCGGGGGGGATCCCGTCAGGAGCGTCGTGCAACGAAACCATGTACCGTTGCATGCTTGCCAAGTCTTTCTATCGCTGAATATCCAGTCGCAGCATCGGAATTTGATGCAGCTATTCAGGCTATCGCGTCGATAACGTCAGTGTCGACAGAGATGCACGATAGAGCTAGGATTAATCCGTCAGCAAAAGGGTTTAGCATCAACTTTGGCAGCTTGATATCTGGGTACTCGAAGGGATGTTGTGATAACGCCAAGCCTTGCGTGATGGGAGGAGCTTCTTGGCCCCATAGAAGTGGGCATGGTTTCTGGATACCAGGGCTCCAGGATATCTAGCATTCGTGCTGAACTGGAGATTGACCAAGCGTAGATGTGACCGCATTTGTGCTGCCTTTGAATCGGGTTTTGCACCTCGCCAAGCGCATCTCGTGCAATCCCGGACTGGCGTCAACAGAAAGGCAATGCCTGGTGAGGAGGCAGTGGAACTCGACTTGAATTCTCCACCATGGCATTGATGGCAGTGTAGGCAATTAGATGAAGTCAGAAGAATGACTGAAAGTTCCAGCAATTCATGGCGTGCTCGATGTGCTCGGAATCTATTGCTTCCGGTGCCTCACATAGAGCATGTTCGACAGACAACTCGTCGCCTTTCGGCTGTCGCATCAATACACTCCGCTTCATCGCTTCCTCCTCCCGCAATGTAGATAGCAGGAAGCTCGCTGGCCAAGACAGTCGTTCGGAGACGTTGCGGTACCGACAAACTGGCGAGTGGTCAAACGGTACGTGACACAGAACTTGCTCGAAGCGATGGAACTAAGCCAAGGCGAAATAGGCCGAGCGACGCCTCGAGCGCGAAATCTGTTTGACCTAAGCTCCAGGTGGCACAATCTGGATAGTATGTACGCCCAACGGCTTGACGGTCAGGCCGGTCCTCAGAAGTGACAGCCATTTGATAGAGTCTAAGCGTCGACTTTCTCTGGACAACTTACATACGCTAGTCCCGGGTTAGCACTACCCCGAGCCTGAGGGACTGGCTACATCTCTTCCGTCGGTCCAACATCAATGTGCAGCATCTGCCATGAAAGTCGATGTCGACGCTCAGCCGGGATGTGAGATTGCCGGCGAGCAGGTAGCGGCGAGAGCATTGACTGAGCGCTGCCGCACGGGCTGCCACACCAACAGTCCGCCCGGTGGAGTCTGTAGTCGATTCGTCCAATCACGGTCGACATATACACCTCCTGCCAAGGCTTGATGAACGTGCTCGTTGCGTTGGCTTCAAAGCATCATCTGTTTCTCGTCGTCGGGCACTCTGTCAACCGTTTGTTTCACTTGTAGGCTCGACCAGTCGCTGTGCACTGGAGGCCATCCCGAGAGGCTTAGCGAGGCCACCAGCATTCGGACACCTCTGCCGGGATGATCCTGTGATGCTCGCTACCCTTTTTGGCCTGTTTTCAATGCAGCTATGACGAGCCAAAGCTTTCATCAAGCAAAGCTGCTACAGATCTTTCCTCGTGAGGCTGCCTTCCGGAACGCTGTCGTCAGTAAGGCTCACCTCGGTATCGCGTAGCTGCTATCCGTTGGCGAGGTAAGTGATAACAAGTCTGATCATAATTCCCTGACCCTGCGCTCCAGTCCACCGCGTGTTATTTTGAAAGTTCTCTTGAGATGTATGGACACCTTCTGTCGTGACCGAACCCCGTTATAATGGCCGCAATCAAAGACAGCTACGATATCTCCGACATTCTGCGCAATGTGGGCAATCCGAATGTGGATCACAGCAACGTACAATCCTCGATAGTTGCCTACAACGTTGCCGCTATTGCCATTGCAAGCATTACTGTCCTTGTCCGAACTAGCGTCAGAGCTTTCATAGTCAGGCATGTCGCTCTGGAAGACTGGCTTATGGTGGCCGCAGGGTTGACCGCTGTTGCTCTTTCGGCAACGGTCATTGTCGGTAAGTGCAACGAACTGTTGGCGGCATATGTCTCACATCGAAGCAGGCGTCAACTATGGATTCGGCCGAAATATCTGGGATCTGAATCTACTTACCATCATTGACAATGTCACACTCAGCATCAAAATCCTGTTTGTCTGCCAATTACTCCACGGCATTGCGCTCAGTCTCGTCAAACTGTCAATTATATCGACCTACTGGCGACTATTCCCGACCAGGAACCTGCGTCGGACGCTGTTTGTCCTCGCCTTCCTCATCACAGCCGTTGCCTTTACGACCCTGTTTGGCACGCTGTTCCAATGTCGCCCCGTAGCTGCGGTTTGGGACGTACGTGCTATTGCCGCCTAATTACTTCCACAAATTGCTGCTAACAAATATTCAGTTCTCGCTGGAGAACGGCACATGTGGCCCCATCCTTCCCCTCCTCTACTTTTCCACGTCCTTCAGTATCTTCACCGATATATTTCTTTGCATCTTACCACTACCATTTTTCTGGAAGCTACGGATCTCCCACCACGAGAAGATCATTGTCAGCTGCCTTTTCGGTCTCGGACTTTTCGCTGCCGCCGCCTCTGTCCTGCGGCTCACGACACTAGACCAGCTACAAAACGTCAACGTTACCATGCGAACAACTCTCCCCCTCTTCTACTCTGTAGCCGAAGTCAGTGTCGGCATCGTCTGCGCCTGTGTTCCGTGTCTCAAACCTTTGTTCAACCGGATATTCCCAGGGCGCTTCTTTACATATCTCCGCTCAGCCTCATCCAGAATTGGCCACGCCAAAAACAAGTCGTCATCGGCGGCGGCAACGATAACGACAACGGACGCAACGATTTCTGAGTCGACAGAGAAGTCACAGATGCGAAACTCCGAAGTCTATATCATACAGGGTCCCGGCTTGTGCCGACAACCAAGCCAGAAGTTGGCGCACCTCAGCACGAGCGGCAGTGGGGTCTGGCGCGGGAGAGGGGTGAGCTGGTACGATCGTCCGATACTGCGCACGGTGGGGAGCTGGCGGGACGGACAGGTCTCGGATGTAATCGTTGAAGAGGGCGCTGAAAAAGCGGTGGTAACAACAGCAAAAGACTTAGCATGAGAAGAAGCCCGCTCGAATGCGGCCCGACGAAGGGGTTACAACACCTGTTCGTAATACGCGATGGAGCGAACCGTCTTTGACGACCACCAACATTCGTAATTGATAGTCCAAGTCGTTGCTTCCGTTACGAGAGCTGTGCTGCCGGCAGCATCTGTTGACGGGACACCTACCTGCACATCGCGCAACACATTAACCATTCCTTGTACATACTTCAGAGATGCTACATTTGGTTCGCCACCGGCATGGTGATAAGCTTATTGTTGCAAATTCGGATCTGGCTGCCTACAGGTACAGATCGCGGTTCAGGTGGGTGTTGCACTCCACCCGCCTGATGCCTGGCTGCCTGATGTCTGATGCCTTGAACTTACCTCGCTGTCGGTACCGTTGATCCAGCGGATGACCATTTGCGTGATCCATCGATGGATATGTGCCCACCACACCAGACAGGTTCTGCTGGTGCTGATAATGGTTGGGAGAGGTACTCACAACCAGTTCGGAGAGAGCCATATCACAAGCTCAGGTAGGTAGGTACTCACTTGAGGACATGAATGGCATCTCGCGAGCTGCAGCACTTCAGCCATGCACCTTGCTATGGAGCCTGCAGTGGATTTGTCTCCTGTTTTGACTGCCACTCAGTAGCCAATAACTGCAATACACTTACCACGATTAAATTGAGCCAAACAAAGTCACCTCATTCACTGCACCCCATGAAGCAAGAGCAAGAGCAACAATGGCTCCCCGCATCGCCTCATCTTCCACTTCTTTACCAACGACGCTGCGCCGCCCACGGCCAATGGGCCCTTCAGTGCGCAGCTACGTGGTCTCGGTCCATCGCACGGACCGTTGTGAAGACCAGCACGTAGTCCTGGGTAAAGGAGCTGCAACACCAAGCAGCTGCACCGTAACAGCCACCACGACCATGGCCTTTCAGCCAAAGCCGTTCTCCGAGGTAACAAAGTCGGCCATAGCCTCTTCGTTTGTGCCCGGTGTGACTTTACCCGCAAACCGGCACCAAGGAACGTTGCAAAAGGCGTCACTTGCGCAGCAGGTCGGGGACACGTTCGACGACATCCTCGACAGCCTGTGCGATCTTGAGGGTGATGACGAAGTAGAGCTGAGAGTCGAGATGGGGGATAGCGGCATGGATAACGAGGTCGTGCTCGGTGGTATGGACGACGAGTCTGACAGCGGGTACGAGAGCGACGACTCGCAAAGCCCCTACATCAGCAGTGACTGCTCGCATCGGGCGTGTTTCCAAGGAAGTAGTGTCTGCCGAGTGAAGGGCAAGGCGTCTCAACGAGAGGGCAGTCATCTTCCCGCAGTGAAGGATCTGGACATGATTGATGCCGAAGCAAAGAGGGCTGTCACCCCAGACAAGCCCACTGACGTCCAAGTCGATGACATGGAGTGGGAATCGACTTGAGCCTCGGAAGCGAGTTGCCCCTGTTGCTTGACTCGGAACCGAGCCTTGCTACCTCCATTCCACAGTCGCGGCCTGGACTTCCAGACAGAGCGCAAAAGGACGATACTCAAATGCAACCTGCAGCATGCAATCTCGCCCCGTTCTGGACCCATGGCTGGAGACTGGTCCAGAACGCACGAATCCCTAAGAGTTCCATTCTCGTGGCGGGCTCAAGGAACCCTCCGTCTATGCCAGGGATCTTCGCCCACAAGCAAGCAAGCCAGCCAGCCTCTCTGTCAGAAGTACGATCCGTACAATCAATACCTCGGCTCGGTCGGCAACGCAAACGAACACCGCCCTCCCCTCCCCGGCTCAACCGAACAAACGCGCTCTCACAGCCCAACGGATTCTTTGCCCTGCAAGATCCGTCCACGCGAAAGCAAAGCAAAGCCAATACAGGCAAGCCGACTACCGCAAGTAGAAACCCTCACCAGCTTCCATGCGCCCCTCTCGGACGTTCTGAAGAAGCGGACATCCGTCTCGGCGGACGCATTTCGGCCGTTTTGCCGCTTGTGCAAAAGTTATGCTTGCTTTGCGTACTGCATAATATTTGTTTTCGCTTGATTCCCTTCCCAGAGAGGAGGTAAGATGAAAAGGGAAGTAGGGTTATAAAAATCCCCCGTTTAAGCGAAGCTGGGCGCGCGCGCGCAAGCCGGCTGTGGATTTGGATGTGAGGCGGGGGGGAGACCGAAACGGACCTGGGACTGGGACTGGGACTGAGACTGATGTGAGATTGGCTGTTGGGCCGAGGTAGATTCGGCTGTGGTAGTGTGGGGGAGGGTGGGAACGGAGTTGTTTGATAGAGAGAGAGAGAGAGCAAAAGAACGCGCGAAGAGTGAGAGAGATCCGGGGTTTGGAAAGGCCGGGGGACGCGGATCCTTGGCAGAGATGGGAATTGCGTATCACCGCATGGCTAGAGCCATGATGGAGGGCCTGGAGGACGACTATTGCTTGTTTGAGAGATCATAGGAGAGATTATCTATGCCAGTAGTACGGATAAGCACGTGGTTGACAATGTCTGGCGCGATATTTCAGTTCAATCATGGTATCATTAGCATGCTGGACTGCAACCATCATATCTTTTAGGTCCAATGACCGATTTCTGAGTTTGACCACAAAGATACAAGGTTTCCATGGCGCATGAGGCGCTCCAAGTGCCATCTCGACATTGCCTCATACTAGATGTAACAAGCGTCCGATATGCTCAGAGCGTATAACGGAAGCCAACTAGACCCTCAATCGGCTTGCCACCTGCCTCGGCTCGGGCATTTGCACGCTTGAACTTGAGCTGCATGGCCAGCGTGATCAAGACGATCAACGATGAAGCGATCATGCAGGTCCAGATGCCTGGCCGATACTCTGGCTTATCGTCCTCACGGAAAACCGTGCCGCCGATGATGCCACCGATGCCACCGAACCCGACCAGGGTGGCCGAGCAGAGGGCACGTTTCCATTGACCGCGGATGTTGTTGGCTTGCCAAGTCAGAACGCAAGGGACGTTGGCGTTGCAGGCCGTGGTGGCGAGGAAGACACCGAAGTATCGAACGCCAACGTTCTCCACGTAACCAAGGAGGCCGAGACCTGAGACAGAATGTCAGTGGGCACGTCATGAAGTTGGGGCGGTGGCTACTTACCAAGCAAGCACAGGCAGCCGTTGAAGATGATGAACGGGCTGCGGAGATGCCACTTGTCGCCGTAGTAGGCAAAGGCGAACATGACAATGGCGGCAAGGACGTAGGGAGGTGCGACGAGGCACTGGGATGCGGCCACGTTGAATCCCATACCCACGTTCAGAATGATGGGCAAGAAATAGGCAATCGCATAGGTGCAGGTCGTAGTAAGTCCGAAGAGGCACGCAAAGCCCCAGACCTTGAGGTCGAGTGCGTAGCTCAGGTACTTCTTCACGCTGAATCTGCGCGTTGTGAGTAAACGTCCTCGACCTCTGTAAAGTAGCATGAACTCACTCTTCGGGAATAACGTCGTGACGGTCCTTCTCAATCCTGGCACAAACGAATTCTGCTTCGCGTTGATTCAAAAACTTCAGTCCGAAGGTATTGACAGCCTTCTCGGGGAAGTCGACAATGATGAAGTAAGCACCAAGCGCCAGGATACAGGTCAGAACGCCCTCAAGGATGAAGATCCATCTCCATCCAGCAATGCCAGGCAAAATGCCAGCTGGGGCGTCGGGATTAGCCTTGGTTGGGCCATAGTGCTGGCCCCACCATTCAGGGCCAGAACCATGATTCTTCAGTTGGCTTAGGCCATAGGCGAGAATACCTGCGAAGGCAGACGCCATGGAGCCAATCAAATAGAAGACGGCGTTGCGTTTCTGGAGCTCGTAGCGAGGATACCAGCAGCTCAGAAGGTAGGCACAACCTGTATATAATCAGTAAACGCCACACACTAACCGCGAACCGAGCCTTACCGGGGAAGAAACCAGCTTCAAAAATTCCCAACACCAGTCGTAGGCCAAGCATATCAGTCCAGTTCTTGACGAATCCGAAACAGATCATGGTGATGCCCCAAAGGAGAGTAATCGTAGGCAGAAAGATCCTGGGTCCGATCTTCCTCAGAATGACGGTTGCAGGAGGTTGCAGCAGGACGTAGGTGATGAAGAAAAGCAGCACGATAATGTTGTAGCGCTCGCCGATAAGGACGAGATCGACGCCCATTCCTGCGACCGATGCGATGCCGAGATTCGTCCTGTCCATGAGACTGACACAGTACAGGAAGCCGAGAGTGAGGACTAGTCGGCGATCAATGCGACGAATGATCTTCTTTTGCTCCTCAGGCGTGAATTGTTCAATCCGCTCATTGATCTGTCGGTCTGACTCGGTCGTCTCGGTCTTGCCGAGGTGCTCGACGGTGTCGACATTGAAGTCCTTATCAGCCATGTTGACGGGCGACAAATGCTAACACGTAAATGTCTCAGGGTGTGAAGAATAAAGATCGAGGGGTGAAAGATGAACGAAAAGTCTGGGGGGCAAGGCGACAATATAATAGACCAGAGACCAAAAGGTCTTATTCCCACGATATTTCCAGATGCAGCGCACTGGCCGTGTCCACGAAACGAGGTCCAAGCCGCTAGCACGCAGATAGCATATAGTGTGGACTGGGGTACAGCCGTCCAAGAGGCTGTAGAATTCGAACAAGGCGAAACCTAAATGGCAGATGGCTGCCAGGTCGACCACGAGGGCACTGTGGGAGCGGATACACATGGTAGGCTAGCAGTGGATATCCTGGTCGACAGGGACGATATCGACGTAGATGTCCAGGAGTGATCCGGAACCGCGCGCAAGTTCTGGACTCTGTAGCACTTGGACTGGATCGAGAAATGCGCACAATGTTTTAGCGAGCCGCAGCGAAGCGCATGTCGTGGTCCCAGGGAGATGATGGACCAACCCCAAGCCAGCAAGGGCGCGGAATCTGGGGTTCGATCAACCCGCACCCGGGGTGTCCGGGGTGGCTAAAAGTCGCGGAGGCTGTGGGGCGAAGGGTTAGTGCCTGTTGATCGACTGCTCTAGGCTTCAGGTTAGAGCAAGTTAAAATGTTTCCGTGGAGCAGTGGCGTTGTCCAACGACTCGTTGACGGTGGAAGACAGCAGGTCTCGCAACCTCGTGCTTGCTTGCCGTAAGCTTCCGCACAAGAAGCCTTGGTCGAGGCTCAAGTGATCTTGGGAGAGCTTGGCCCGGTCATGATGCACCACCGACAGCTCCTTGATATCAACTGATGCTCTCACTAGCAAGCATAGAGCCCGCTTGCTGACGGTCAATGTCAAGGTCTTCGTTGTCAGGCACCTCCACCACGTGGAGTTGCTGCAAGACGTCTTGGTGGGTCACGGTGAGCGATCCAGCAGGCGTGGCAAATTGTGGTTTGGACACCACAAGTTCGAGATAGCTTCCGCCCCCAGCCAGTCAGTCTCGACGCTGAACGAGAGCCGGCAGTTGCATCAGCGACGTGCAGGTGAAGGCATGCCTGAATGGGCTCAAGCAGCGGCACCAAGTCTTGTCTGGCATGGGGTGTTGCAACCTTTAGGCTTGGCTACAGGGGTAGCAGGCCCTTGGCTGCTTGTTTTCCTTGCAAGCCTCAATCATGCATCGGCAGCCAACTTCTTAAATGACCTCGACCTCGGTAGGCGTTCTGCAACGGCAAAGACACCGTCCTCGACCGATGCTCAACAACCACTCAGGGCATGGCAACCTATCGTAAACCGAGGCAGGCGAGAGTAGACCGTTCCGACTTCTGGCGATACAGCGCTTATCGAATCGATCCGAGGCGGACATTCTGGGGTAGACATCTGGGGAAGGGTCGAGGGGCGAGGGTGTCAAGCTCAGCTGGTTCCGGTACCAGCTTCGTCGGATCCGTTTAGGTATTCTGTCGCAAAGTCAATGGATCAATTCAAAATTGTACTGTGGCTCCTCTCAGCCAGATGACCTGACCACGCACCATGAGAGAAGTTGTCGCGCGGCCTGCAGAGCAAGTGCGATCACTTTAAGCCATGCACACTGGCAACATTTCTCGATTAATGATCAAATCACAGCTTGATAATCCCGAGTACGCTTGTTCTGGGGACGGCACTTGTCAGGCACACGCCTTCTGCCTGATAAATTAAGTAAGGTGGTCTGGGCCGTCGAGTGGTTGGCTGGGTGCTTTCCTCTGGGCGTACATGCCTATACGCAGACATGGTTTAGTTTAGAACCATTCCTCATGGCAGGCGCAACTGCCTGAGTGACTGCCATGATAGAATGCTAGCCTATCCCACAACCCTGGCAAGCTGACTTCATAGCAAGCGCCTCATCTCTTCAGCTCCCACCTCGCTAACCTCTCCTCGTCCAGCACGAACTCCTTGGGGATTTCGTCCCTCTCGACCGCCAGCTCCTCTCTCCGCCTCCAGTCCCCATCATTCAACGCTTCCGCCACCAGCCTCGCTACATGTCGTCCACAGCCCGGTGCATTCGGCATGCCGTGCCCAGTGTAGCCCGCCGCAACCCAGACACCGTCCATCCTGGGCACACCTCCTACCCATGGGCAATCATCTTTACTGTAGCCCATGACTCCTGTCCACGCCGCTTCTAGCCTTAATTCCTTCTTTACACCTTCAAACTCAAGCCTTGCCGGAAGCTGCCTCAAGTGTGAGACGGCATCTGGATCATTGAGGCCATCATCGCTGCAACCCTCTGCACCACCCTTAACCCACTGCCTGCCTCCACCATGCATGAAATGGCCCCCGTCCCTCCACGGGCGCTGTACGAGGTAATCGCTCATGACTGCATCCTGGCCTTTCAGCCCGTGGAATCCATAGTCATACTTCAGCATCCTGCCTCCGTCTTCCCACTCCTTGGGTGCGGACAGCGCAGTCATCTGGCCCAGCGTTGGTATAATCACTCCCGTGAATCTCTCAAGGAGCCGACTAGTATATCCATTCGTCGCAACAACCACATGCTTGGCTCGCACCGTGCCCCGTGGGGTAGAAACGTCCCAGCCTCGTCCACCCTTCTCAATCCTCGTGACCGGTGTCGTAGTCTGTAGATTGACCGACTCTCCCAACACACGCCCCCACAGGCCACACACAAGCCGATACGGGCTCAAGGTAGCCGCCCACCTCTGCACCGTCGCGCCCACGACCCCGTCGTCCCCGGTCTTGGGCCCACCAACCTTCAATCCCAGCGCCCCCAATGCCTCCTCTCCCTCCACCACCTGCACTTCCCCCTCCTCCCGCGCCCCCGATGCGTCAACCAACCTCTTCGCCCCCTCCCACATCCCCCGGTCGCACCAAGCCAACACTCCCTGCACCCGCCGAAACTCACACTCACCCTCCAAGCCCTCCGCACGCACCACGCCCTCCACATCCTCACAGTTCCTCACCTCCCACCTCACCAAATCCCGCTCCTGCCCAAACATCGACGGGATCAAGTGCCCGCCATTCCGGCCCGTGGCCGCCGAGCACAGCGTCCGTGCTTCCAGCACGAGGATGCTAAGTTTCGGTTGCTGCAGGAGGAACTCACGCACAAAGAACGCGGCGGTGATGCCACTGCCCACGACGACGACGTCCACGGCGGGCGGCAGCTCCGGCGTGGAGCGGTGCTGCGCCAGCGGGCTGGGCGCCGAGCTCTGCCAGAAGGATGCGGTGGGTGTGGGGACGGGGAGGGTGGCGGGGCGGCGGTGGTGCGCAGGAACGGGTGGGGAGGAGGGAGAGGATGAGTTGGGGTCAATGTCGCCCATGGTGGCGAATGGCAAATGGCAGGTTTGGGGTGTATGGGCGGGTCTGTGATGGGCTGATCTCGATGCTGGGAGGCTAGATGGAGCAGATCAGGTTGCGGTAGAGATGTTGTGTGGTCTGGCAAACGCAGTGGGGGTGAGGGAAGCCGTGGTTGATATAGAGCTACGCTTTCGTTGACAGGATCAGCTCAGATACGGTTCAATGCGCGCACGTCAGATAGATGTGGACTTGGTTAAAGGCACTTTGTGAAATATGCTTTCTATGGCGTTCCCAAGGTCTGTTGTAACGCCCCCACCAATCACAGCGGGGTTGGCACGACGCCAGCGCGGGCGTATCTAAATCATACGCGTTCATGAATAGTAGAACTTTTTGAGCTTGGTCTTGATTCCTCAATCTCACCATCGAAGGTTACCTTGCGATAAACGCTCTAAGAACCTCTGTCGTGACAGACACCCGTGACCTCTATGCCCTCCATATTGATACACCAGGCCGCCCTTACCGTAACCATGGCCTGAATCATGCTTCGTTTTTGGACAATATATCTTGCAACGCTCGCTAATCGATCAGCTGTCGTAATTCGCCAAGTCGTCCTGTCTACCGCAGTGGGCCCTCCGACCTGCTTAACGCAGAACCCATCGCTTAGCCGCCTCTTTGACCCCCATTCTGATAGCAACCTGGTCGAGGCTTCCTTTGATAGCATCCTTGCTGCACTTCGGGAACTGCTTCTTGAGAATCTCGACCAACGCAATCTTGTTGAGGTCCGACCCTTCAATCGCCGTCTTGAACGCGGGTAAAATGTCGTCTGGGATCGTCTTCAGGGGTTTATCGGGGTTCCGGGGTCGTCCTCTCGCTGCAGCCACTGACGCATTCTCCTTTTGCTTCAGGTCGGCACCCTTCACAAAGGCGAGGAGCGGCGAAGCACTGCTATTGACACTGACGTTCGCCAGTGGCACTCTTGGTGGTTGCATAGAGCTGTCGGTGTCAGCAGCTCCGTCCAGGCTCTTTTTGTCCGCTTTCATGGGACCATTCCAATGAGTGGATGAGTAGGGGTCGATAGGAACGCATTGGTTATCGTGCATAAGCTGCATTCGATACGCGCCCAATTCAAAGCCAGCGACAGCAGTGTCGGTTTGACCCTCCCAGCATAGCCCAGTCGAGATTGGCTCGACGTCAGATGTCGCCACCAAGCGCTTTCCTGTGTCAGCTTCGTCGTCCAAGAAGTCGTCCATTTCGTCAGCGGCATCCTCCTCTTCAGACAAGTCATCATCGCCTTCGAGGTCCTCGTCGTCTGGCTCCGGCTCCTGCCACTCAGCTTCGCTGTCGTAGTCGTAATCTGTTTCAGGCAATCCGCGATGAGTTGGGTTGCGTGAGAGTTTCCGAGCCGAACGCGGGGATACTGCTCGAGTGTAGGTTCCTTGATACGGAGGTCTGATGTCTTCTCGGAAGTGAAGGACCTTGTACTTGACTTTCCTCAGACTTTGAGACACCGCCATACCGGAGTAGCCAGCTGTCAAGTCAATTGGCTCATCCTCGCTACCATTGACCTTGGCAACCATCTTTTTTACCGGCACGGCTTGTCTGAGGTGGACGTTCCGTGGTCTGAACAGTCGTTGTGGTCCAACAGTCTCGTTCTGGCCTTTCAACCAAGCGAGGTCTGGGCCCTGGTGTTCGTTGGGGTGTATGAAGCGATTATTCGGCGCAAGCTCAGTATGCTCCATGACAAAGAATGGTAAAATCCATTTCGAAAACTCCGAGTTTTCCTTCGTTGGTGACGACTGGTCTTCCGGCTTCTCCATGTCGATCGAGGCTATCGAGGACCTCCTGCTCGATACGCCAACAGATACATCGTCTGGGGTAGTTGGGGGCGTTGAGGCTGCCGCTGGTCGGTTGAAGAAAGCACCAATACGCGGTTGCGCCTGTTCAAGTTAGCAGATGCATCCTCACAGACCAGTTATCATTTACCTTTTCCCTTTTCAACTTCTCGGCCTCCTTCTGAGCGTGAGCAGCGGCCTTCTCAGCATCTTTCGCTGCCTTTTCGGCGTCCTTGAGCGCTTTCTCAGTCTCTCTGGCCTTCTTCTTTGCCTCTTTTTCCGCCTCCTTCTGCGCCTTCTCAATCTCCTTCTGTCGCTTAGCTGCCTCTCTCTCTTCCGCTTTCCGGCGTTTCCCCTCATCCTTCCGAGCTTTCTCCTCCGCCTTCTGCTTGGACTTCTCTTCCTTGATCACACGTTGGACAGCTTGCTCGACTTGTCTCTCGGCAAACGTAAGCTTAGGCTTTTTGGCGGATGGTGTCAATGGATCGATGGTAGCGGGGCGCTGTGGCGTTGTAGCAGTCAACTCGCTCAGCGGCGAGCTGGCACCGCTAGGCGCAGGTGAAACGTCGCGTGTCGATGAGTGTATTGTAGGTTGAGGAGTAAGTTCGAGACCAGACGCGACTGGTGTGCCATCGTACGTCCGCTTGACACCTGGGGAGAAGGAAGGCTGGGGTAAAGATTCTGCCATTGTGCCGGTTGCTATATTTGCGAGAGCAGAAGCAGCAGAAAAGCTTTGTTGCCTTTCTGCAGAGGCAGCAAGCACAAGAAATCAATAGCACAGATCCGAAGGTTAGTAAGTTGTCGTAGCAGTCATTCTGAACGTTGAACTGGACGCGCAAGGAAAAGCGGGCAAGAGCGCGTCAAGGCTCGACGCGTTTAAGGAGGGTCCGAGTCTTGGCAACGCGAATGGTCGACCTCACGGTCAATGCTCAGATTATCTCTCCTTGCCTGATTCAATTCTCGGTCAATGTACGTCTGTGAAACAATGCAAGACTGTAGTGAGTTCATCTATGTCTATTACTCGTCTAGTGCCTCGCTATGAGCCGAGCTGTCAATGGATCTAGTCGAATACATCAACAGCATATCGCTCCCCTCTCAGACCCTCCCACCACTGCAACGCATTCTCGAAGGTTATCTCTTTACCACGCTTCGCTGCAGCTTCTACTGCGATGCGCGCTGCCGTGCTCGCGATTCCTTTGCCGACCGCGGAGCTACCACAGATGTATACTCTCGCACCTTCGTCAAAGAGTCTGCTTGCTTCCGCTCTCTCATGCCACAGGCGATCCTGCACGTATTTACACCCTTCTGACTTGTCTGCCGCTCGGCTGAATGCATAGAAGACTTTGACCGCTGATAGCCTTTCTGCTGCCTCGAGCTCGTCGGCAAACAGCTTATCCATTGTAGGATCCCGACAGCCAACAAACAAGACAGCCTCACCAAGTTTAGCCTCAGGATTAGCCTGTAATCGCGCCACGCGTTCTTGCACAAAGCCGCGAAAGGGAGCCAGTCCGCTGCCTGCACCAAACATTATGACCGGTGTCTTCTCGTCTAGCGGTAGATGGAATGAGGCCTGTGACTTCTTGACCATAACTTGCGTCGTGCTCCCTGGTTGCAGTCTTTTGAGATAATTGGTCGCGACACCCAGGTGATTGGCATCTTTATCTGCCATGGAGAACGTGATTGTTGCGATCGTAGGGTCCTGCAATGGCGAGCTCGATATCGAGTACTGCCTGATGCGCATGGGGAAAAGCATGCTGAGAAAGAGTCTGAACGGGAATCGGATCTCTGTGTGGGCCTCTAGAACGTCCAGCACCGATGGTGTCGATGCTGTATCTGAGGCTTGCGCCATGATCTGCTCCTTAGTGGCTTCGTCTGTTGCAAAGGACGCGACCACTGACAAGTGCTTCTTGGTGGCGCTCGCGTTCAACTCCACGTACGATGAGAGTACGGCGCCGATCGAAAGTTCCTTCTCCGTAGGTATCGTGGTGTGAGAGCCTTTGCCGAGCGTCATGACAGAGTCCCAGGGAAGACCGAACCGGCGCAGTACCCTGGATACAGTTGCGAGGCTGTTGATTGGTAACAATGCGAGGTAGTCTCCAGCCTCATAGGTCAAAGATGTCGGTAGCTTGAGCTGAATATGGCGCTTCTCTGGCGTACCAGGTGCCGTCAATACTTCGTTGCTTACCACGAGCGCTTCCTGAACATTGTAGTTGAGGTGCGATGCACGCGCAACGGTACTAATCTCCAGGTCTATGCCTTCAGGCACCGCGTCTAACCCAGCACCACCCAGCTGAGGCCAGAGGGCGTCGTCTTGCCAGTGATCGAAGTCGTCAAACACTGTTCCAGCAGCAACGTCTGATTCGCCTCGAGGTGCAAGACGTGACGCGCCTCGGGCTTCGAGCTCGGTATCGACTAGAGTCGGAATCTTCTGGTAGGTCGAAACCCAGTCATGATGGCCGCATCCAAACACGGCGTATCTCAGATTTTTGAGGTCCACAGACTGATTCTTGAGCCACTCAACGAAAGAATTAGCATTGTCGGGTGGATTGCCTTCGTAACTTGCGGTGATGACAATCAAGGGCTCATTGACCGAGATTCGATCCACCGCCGCATCCATACTCTTGATGGTCGCCTCAAAGCCGTGTGCAGTGGCGTTGCCGGCCAGCGTCTGTGAGAGGCCTTCACAGGTACCACTGTTCGAACCGTAGAGAATCGTCATCGGCTTCTTCGGTCCAGCAGAAGACGACACTGCAGGTTTTGACTTGGTTGATTGCTCTTCTAGGCCAGCATACATCTTCTTTTCGAGCTTTATGGGATCGATTCCCGAACGGAGGTTCGCACGCATGAAGAAGCCATCCGGCTTGATGGTCAGTGTCTGCTTCGAGCGCAGTTGGTATGAAGGGTCAGCCATCCTCAGATTAAAGTTCTGGAGAATGAGCGAGAGCGCGAGCAACCCTTCTTGCCAGGCGAAGGGTCTGCCTATGCATCCTCTAGCTCCGTTTCCGAAAGGCTTCCAGGCGTTCGGAGGTAGCTTCGCAAAGTTCTCGCCGTACATTCGTTCTGGACGGAACTCGTCGGCATCTGCTCCAAAAGCGACAGGGTCCCGTGCGACCGCTGGCAGCGCTGCGATAATAGGAGCTCCCGAAGGAATGTAATACTTTCCTGCAAGGACGACGGGACCAGACATGGTTTCTTGAGGAGTGACTGTGAATGCAGGCGCAGTAGGTTGCAGGCGGAGCGTCTCCCGCAACACGGCCTCGAGGTAAGGAAGCTTATTCATATGCTCGAATTTGACCGGTCCCTTGCCAATGACCGAATCGACTTCGGCCTGGGCTTTTCTCATCGCTTCCGGATATTTGCAGAGGTAGTAAGAGGCGTAGGACAATAACCCAGAAGTGGTCTCGTGTCCTGCAATTAAAAAAGTGTTCATGTTGTTCATGATACTTTCGTCAGTCAACCGCTCGCCGGTCTTCGGGTCTTTTCCAAACAGCATGGCGTTCAGCAGATCCTTTTTCGAGCTTGGGTTCGCTCGTCGTCGATCGATAACCTCTTGTGCCACGCTCCTCATAAGCTCGATATTTTCCTGATACTGTCGGGTGGCTTTGCCATTCCACAACTGCTCCAGTCTGGTCCGTCTCGGACGCAAGCCTGATTCGACCAAGAACCCAACCATAGCATTGACAAAAGGGTGCATGGCCTCGTGATAGAAGGAGTTGAAGCGCTTATCCATGGCACAGAGTGCAATGGAGTCCAGCGTCAAGCGCGTGTAGTCGTCTGTGACATTGATCACGTCCTCTTCACCCAATCTTGCCCATTTGGCAACGAGTTGTGTGGCGATATCGTACATTTCGTCGTACATGTCGTGGATACCGATCGGACCGAAAGCAGGCACCAAAGTTCGATGTGCAACTTCCCAATTGTGTTCGCCATGATAGGCGGTGAACAATCCGTCTCCCACACCATTCCTGACCTCCTTCAGTGGACCTGACACAGCCTTGTGGAAGCGCTTTTCATCGCAGATTTCATTGAGTAGCTCGGCTGAAGCCACGAAGTATCGATCCTGCCCAACTATATTGAGCTTGAATATGGGACCTGATCCGTCAGTGGGCCAAGCAATCGATGGGATGCCAGATACGCACCATACTTCTCAGCAAGATGGATGAGGCTAAGAGATGCATTGTTCGGATCGATATCTCTCACATTACCAAGGATGGGCAGCCCAGGTGGTTGAGGTATTGGGATGGACATTGTTTTAGAGTACCGAGTAAAAAGGAGGCTCGAGTAGTTGGATGGACGTAGTGTATCTGCGCGGTACGCGACGATGTCTGCCCGTTGCGAGAGCGGAGAGCGGAGGACATCAACCTCACCTAAATATTACTTCAAATGAGAGAATTAGCAACCAGTCTTGGATCCGTCTGTCAAGTCGGCAAGTTCAGGGAGCACAGCAATGTCTTATGCATGCGCATACCATGTGTGGTGTGCGCAGCAACGTTGCCTGGGCACCAGAAAATATTTATGTCAATTACGAAGGCCATGGCATGTTACAAAAGACCGAACATGCGAAAGCCGGGTCCAGCGAGACCCGCTTACATGGATGTAGGCTGCGCAAATTACCTGATACATAGTCTTGTATAATTTGCAGACGAGCAAATGATGCACGTGTGACAGGGCGAGTTCCATAACGAAGAGTGAAGAGCGAACAGGCGTGTCCTGAAGCCTAGAACGTGCACGTCGGCGCCGTGACGGCGAATACGAGATACGAGAGATACCGAGGCTGTTTCACAAATCTCAGGGACAAGGATGACGCAAGAAATTTCAGCATGTCAAATGCTTCGCACCTCATACGTTGGTGGCATCATACTGTCTTCGCGATGCTGGAATCCTCCTCGGGCCCGAAGCATTCAATCGGCGAGTCTCCCGCCGCTAGTCGGCGGCCAGTATGACCCGGCGTTCCAAGGCTACTTGCTTTCGCTGCTTCAGTCGGACCGTCGCCCCACCCATTCAGCTTCTCAATACCTCGCAGCTGCGCGTCGGCGGTGCTTAGTCAAGTCTGGACGCGTACACAGTAGCTTATCTGAGCCCCAGAGCCCGCCGCTCTTGGAGACTCTCTGCATACATCTGCGCAATGAAGCTAGCCTCCTTCTCTCTATGGTCTCGCTCTGCACGACTGATCTCCTCACGTTTCATCACCTTCGCGCTCGCGTTACCAGGTCGACCCAAGTCCAGATATGGATCACCACCTTCCTCGACCGCTAGTGCCCTCACACCAGCAACGGCGTCGTCCATGGTATACTCGTCTTCCTTGTAGTCCTCGATCCGACGTGTCAAGCCTCGTGGCTCGAAATTCTCCAAAGTCTTCGGGTGGATATATCCATACTGCATGAACTTGACATAGTGACCTGCAAACCGGAGTCCTCGCTTAATAGCTTCTCTGAGGACAAGCTGGTCTGGACGCAGCAGCAGAGACGGAGCTTTCGATGTCCTGCCATTCTCAAATGTAGGCTTCTTGTCACCCCAATACTCCTTCTTCATGACACCCCACTTCTGTCTAGGCACTCCAAAAAGCGTATCATTCTCGTCGACCTCCTCCTCAGTTCCAGGTTCGTATCTCCATGTTATGTATTCTTGCAGCATGTCCCAACGAGTAGACAACGCTTCGCCTTGAAGCACGCGGAGCAACATGGTCAAGGAACGTTGGCTCAAGATCAAACGGCGGCCCTCAGAGAACTTGTTCGGCGCGACGGGGTCGTGAAACAGCATATCCAGCTTGACGCAGAAGCACACTGCAAAGTAGAGGTCGGCATCGGTCAACAACTTCTTGTTGTGCACGAACCCGATTCGGCGCGCGTTATCGGGGATATCCAGCATGAACCAGACCTTTTTGATGGCTAGCTCACATCGTCTTGGTAGGGGAATGCCTTTCTCGGCGAAGAGCGCCATGATCGCGTGCACTGTTTTGTCCCGATGCAAGATCATGCGGAGCCACTTGAAGCTGGGGATACGTCGCACGATACCTTGGGCCGCCTTGACTGGATCCGGGTGAGCGATACGGGCGGCCGGATCCGTGCGACACAGGTGGCCAAAGGAGCGGAACGGAAAGATGCGACTCGAGCTTGGAGCTTTTCTGATGGCCTGAGATAGGATGACAGTGGTGAAGCGAGTGTCAATGATGGTGTGGAAGTCTTTGCTGATGGCGTACAACGATATGAGATCCTCAATGGCGAGATGCGCAGCCAAAGAGAAGCACAATTCTGGATAGAGAAGGATGCCGTGGAAGATGTTGAATTTTGGGTCATTTTTCCGCGTGAACACGTATGCTGGTGGTGGCAGGATCACACCGCCTCTCTTGCGCTTGCGGCCTGCGTATTTGTTGGCTCGCTCCAAGCGGTTTGGGGAGGTGAGGGCGTTTTCTGGGACATCCGGGAATGCTGTAGTCGCCTGATTTGACGCCTGTCGGGCAGCGTTGAGGGCTGAGCTCGTGGCTGCATGTTGTGGAAGGTTCGTAAATCCGGAAACATGTTGCTGAATACGATGCCCTCGAACATCACGGTCCAGATCAACGGCTCCCATAGTGGCGATCAGAGGGTGAGCGTTTGGCACATCATCATGCACCGATGGTGCAGGGATGGGTGGGAAGTTTGCGATCTTCGGGCTAGGAGGAACGGCGAGTCTCTGCTTTTGAACAGTCAATTCACGGGCTGCACTTGGGGTGTGAAGGGGACTGGCTTGATAGTCGTGCACTGGAGGTTGAAAGCCCGCCATACGCGTAGCCTGAGTCTGACTATAGCCTAGTGAAGGCCTTCCTTGGGCGAATGAATTGACGGCAAGAGGCAAGCTCGAATTCGTAGGTTGTAACGGAGCTTGAAAGGTGAATTGCGACTGCTGGATGGCGTCAAGACTTACATTGACCAGTGAAACTTGACGCTGCTCAGATTGTTGAAAGATATTGCCTCGCTGCCACGGAAGGACGGCACCGACATTGGCCGCCGGGTTCTCGAAACCGTGATCTTGTCGGTAAGTATTAGCGATGGTCGTCCCGTCTTTGATGTTGGCTGGGACAAGAAGGCTCTGGGCGCCATAGATTCCTTTACGACGGTATTCCTTCTCTTCCACAGAAAGCTCTTTGAACGCGGTCGCAGTCAGGGTAAGGGTTTGACCAAACACTCCTACGGGTGTTGAGCTTACGGAGCTGCTGAAGTCCAGTAGGGGCGGTCGCTCGCGTCCCGAAGCCTGATCGGGTCGAGGATGCGATGACTGCAGTGGAGTGGTATCTTCACCATCACTGCCACTGGAATGCTTCGATGAATGGCGCTGCATAAGTGATCTGAACATGCCCTTGCCTTCGGCGAAGAACCGTGACTTCTTTCTTGGAGGGTGGCCGTCACTCATCGCTGCGGTGGCACTCTGCGGTGTCTTGAAAGATCCTGTTGATTTCGTGCTCGAAAGTAGAGATGGAGGTAGCAGACAAAAGTCGAGACTGGTCTCGAAAAGGTCAAGGTTGGTGCGTAAAGACCACAGTTGTTCACACAAGATGCAGCTGACGAAGCGGATGTGACAGCAAAACAAACGCAGTCGACAGCATCGGCAAGGCAGGTGACGACTGTTGCCAGCCACCTTCGATGAAGTTCCATCGATCGCGAGAAGTGATGGCAATGCGGAGCAAGACTGGTTTCCATGACTACTGGATTGAGAAGAGTTATCATGCAACACAAGAGCTACGGAGGCAACATCGATCATAAACTTACAATGGCTAGACGCAGCAAACCCGGCATCAATCAACGCCAAAACCAACCTCCTTCGCCCTGCTTGGTTTCCTTCTTCGCTGACATTCTCGCTTCGACAAGATCCTTTTCAGAATCTGAGGTCTGCGTCTGCTTATCGACAGTTGGGAAGTCAGCTGCCGCGAGATGAGTGCGGAGCCAAGCTGGCACTTCTCGTGATCCTGGGCTTGTCTCGACGCTCTCCTCGTGCTCCTCCATCCCATCAGCAAAACGTCTCTTGAGCACTCTTTTCATTTCTATCGATCCATCTGGAAGTGTGCGGGTCTCGGTCTTCGTCATGGTTGAGACAATCGATGGAGCTTGGCCTGGAATACTTTCAGATGCTCTTTTTGGCGTCGCCTTCTGCCTGGAGCGCTCTGGGTTCGGGATTAGTAAGCCCTCCACAACCTCTTCCATGGCATCGAGTGCTCGCGCAAGAGTGCTGGCCACTGAAACGCGGCTCAGCGCCAACTCATCGTCAAGCTCTTTCTCCTCCGGATCTGCGTCATCGTAGTCATCGTAGTCATCGTAGTCATCCACATCGTCTTCATCCTGCTTCCACTCGTTGCCAGAATGATGTGCTCTAAAACCCTGCATCGAGGGAACCCTGAGTTCTCCGACCTCCCCAAGACTTTTAGCGGCTTGCGTCAAGACTTTGGGAAGCTTGAGCACGTCTTTACGTAGTAGTTCCTCGAGCCACTTCGCGGGACAAGACTCCATACCACGGTCCTCACCCATAGGGCGCATAGTCCCTGTTTGCGTAATGCTTAACAGATCAGTGAAAGCTGCCTGCCACGGGACCCTTGCCATCTTATTATCGAATTCCGAGTTAGGCTGGAGCTCGGCTCCCCGGTTCTGGTACAGCCACGCATCCAATATACTAGTCTCAGGGGTGAACCCTTTCAAACGTCGATGCTCGGGCAAGATGAGACAGAGAGGCGAGTATGGACTAGAGAGTAGCCATGGGTATGTATCGCCCGCATTATGGAAGGGATCCAGCAGGTCCGAAACGAAAGGTCCGTGATACAGGTCAAGCTCACTGTCGGCCTCGTCTCTTCCAAACACTGCTGTGTCAGAAGATCTTCGGAGCGAGAAATCCGCTGCAGTTGGACGTTGTGGCTGTAGCACTTTATCTCTGTGTTCCCTTGCATCCTCAAGTTCACGAGTATATTGGTGCTGGCGTTCCATTATGGCATTCACCCTCTCATCGACCTCTTTCCGGTGCTGCGCAGCCAGGCGTTCGAACGATTCTTCGAATGAGTGTCTGAGAGACGGAGCGCCCGAGAAGAATGACTTGAATTGCTCATCGGCGAATCTACGGAAGCGGATGAATGGGTTCTCGTCGTCCTGTCCACTGCGCGGCCATGGAGTCTGATACCTCTGAAACGGATCACATGGTGGTGGTGGATGGGATGGGTTATGTGCTTGTTGATCGTTATCTTGTGTCATTTTAGTTACTGGACATCCCCGTACGAAGAGCGAGCGCCACTCGAAGCAGATGATCTTATGAAGTCAACGCGGTTGCCTGATGGACGCGATGGCTCAAAGTGCGGGGATCATCTGGGAGTGCTGGAGAACCATTCGGCGTCTGTTACGGTTGCCAACAGTGGTCAACAGCTTCGTCTGAGGAACGCGCTGCCGACGCGTCTACTAGATTGAAATCTTGCAACTCACACACTTGCCCGTCCTTTGCTATCTACTGTCAACATGTTGCTCACGACAGACCGATAGTAGATGCTTACAACCTCATGGTTCTCGTCAGTATCTTATGCATAGGTAGATGCTGAAGGGTCCACTTTGATGTGGCTGCACTTTTTCATTGGAGGTGACGTCTACACTATGTCCGTGGCTGAACGATCGAGAATTCCCTTTCAAGATGTTCTACTCTATTCACGTGCTAGCGGTTTCTTGCCTATGCTTTTGCTCACCGAGCTCGTCTAACCTTTGAGCTACGGCCAGATGTTTGACGTCCAAATGGAAGCAACCATGGTCTCTTCAGAGGCTATAAAGAATGCTTCCCTGATTATCCTCAGTCTTCTGTTTCTTCCTCTGGACTCGTTCATTGCAACTTGCTCATATCTTCTCGGATGGGTATCTAAGCCAAAAGCCATCCGACCGGGCCACCAGAAGCGCAATGTGCTTGTTACTGGGGTTGGTATGAGCAAAGGCTTGTTCCTTGCCAGAGCCTTCTATCTTGCCGGTCATCGAGTGATCGGAGCAGACTTTGAACCTGACGGAGCTCTATCTATTGGACGCACCTCAAAGTCCTTATCCCGCTTCTACCACTTGCGAGCACCTGCCGGCCAAGATGCCTCCACCACATATGTCCAGGACCTTCTTCGAATTGTGCTCGCCGAGAAGATTGACTTGTGGGTGAGTTGCTCAGGAGTGGCATCCGCTGTCGAAGATGGACAAGCCAAGGAGATAATCGAAGCGCGGACCCCCTGCAAAGCCTTGCAATTCGATATCGAGACTACTCAAATGCTACATGAAAAGCATACATTCGTTGAACACGTCTCAAAATGTGGCTTGACTGTGCCGGAGACCTATGCGATTACGACTCGAGCTGATGTTGAGCGGATCTTGCGTCGTGCTCCATCTGGGCGGCACTACATCATGAAGACCATCGGGGTGGTCGATGCCGTTCGTGGTGACATGACACTGCTCCCTAAAGATACCCATGACGAGACTCTGAAGCACCTGCAGCACCTACCGATTTCAGAGGAATGTCCATGGATCTTGCAGCAATTTGTGCAGGGCGCTGAGTTCTGCACTCATTCCGTGGTCGTCAATGGACGCGTGAAAGCGTTTGTGGCATGCCCATCAGCGGAGCTACTCATGCACTACCAGATGCTTCCTCCAGACTCCGCTTTATCGTTGGCAATGCTTGCATTTACCGAGTCTATCGCTGCACGGGGGGGTGAGGGTTTCACGGGGCACTTGTCATTCGATTTCATGGTTGAAGACGCCGATCTGAAGTCTAACAACCCTACCTTGTATCCAATCGAATGTAACCCCCGAGCGCATACTGCGGTCGTTCTCTTCAATGGCACACACAGGATGGTTGATGCATACATGTCTTTACTTGGAAACGCCGAAGCGGAGGAGGTGATCTTCCCAGCTCAGACGGGAGGTTACAAGTATTACTGGGTTGGTCATGACTTGGCCACCAAGCTCCTGCTGTCAACGGTCGGCTTATGCACCCTTTCTAAGGGAGTGTCCGCTGTTCTCAGCGACTACATCGCTCTCGTGAGCCACCTCACGCTCTGGCGAGACGGCACGTTCGAGCTCTGGGATCCGTGGCCGTGGTGGTGCTTGTATCACATTTACTGGCCGGTGCGATTCTGGCATTGCATCAGGACCGGGACCGGCTGGAGTCGTGTCAATGTCAGCACGACCAAAATGTTTGAGAAATAAGATGTTTGAAAGCCGAGAGCTGAATCGGGATCCCTCCCCACATCGACCTGGCACGCATTTCGCCAACCAGGATGCAGCTTGGATTTCAGCAGCTGCATATAATAGCAGTGAGCGATCTCCAGACATCGATATCCGATTAATAGCTGAGCCCGTTCCGTGTGCTTACATATAATCACTTTAGACAGCCACATACTAGTATTCAATGCTTCTGAGAATCACAGTTACACATGACACATCATTGGCCTATCGCTTTTCTAGTGTTGGAGGTGGGTCGGCAGAAGACAGCATGATCACTTGCAGAAAGCTGTCTTGGAATCTTCCTTTACGGACCGCTGCAGGCACAATGTGTCACGGCTCATCTGTGCCCGTGCAGCGAGTGATCTCCACGGCGTCGGGAACACCGCTAGGCTCCCAGCTGTCCACTTGCTTGCTATCGTAGACCAGGTTCGGGTTTCCGACGCATTCGTTGAGCTTGACCCTCCCTTCTCGCTTGTCGTATTGTCCAAGCGCCCGGCCGAACCCACTGTCGCCATTCGTGCCCTTGGAACCACCTGTTTGCCTCTTCTGCTTGGTCGAGCTCCGTACATACTCCAGGTAGGGAGGATTGCCAGGCTTGATAACGTTGTCAGCCGCCAGTACACTGCCAGGTCCCACCAGGCCGAGCTCCTCGCAGAGCTTCAGGTCGGTAGTGTAGGCGGGCTTGTAGTGGTCCAGAAACATGAGATCGATCTTCTGCAGATCGCCATTGTCGTAGAGCCGCTTGAGGGATGCGTCTGAAGAGCCGATGATCACCTTCACCACATCGGAAAGCCCTGCTAGGTCCACAAGTGCCATGATAACCGCCGCAAATTCTGGGTTCCGCTCCAGACTGAAGTAGCGCTTCCCGCCTGCTTTACGGACTGCGTCGCCAAAGAGGATGCATGAGTAGCCGATGTAGCCCCCGAGCTCAACCATGACCGTCGGTTTGACTTCGAATATCAGGTCCGTCACTATTCGACCTTTGTCCTCGCCGACATTCATAAGGTATTTTTGAGTCCTGGCGAAATCATCAATGGCTGCCAGCACTGCTTGGGCGTCGCCACGGATTTGGTCGACATTGGGCCGTGAGAAGACGTAGTGCAGAAGCTCGACTTCCCGGCCATCGTCAAAGAAGGTCTCTTCTTGCTCTTGGTACTTCTTTGTCTCGTCGAAAGCTGATGGCATCTTTGCCGCTTGACAGTGACCCAAATAATTGACCGTTTAAAGGCTGTTGAGATCAGCTTTTCACCGACTTCTATCAGGAGGTAAGGCGGGATCTCTTCCGACAATGCCAGTCGCTGGAAATATATTCCGGGACTGAATTCCTCTTGCAACGATTGGAAAGGGTGTTTCCGGGAGTGCGTCTACGTGCAGCACGATTCGTAGAGAGGTTGCTATTGGTCGGAAGGCTTTCGACCAGTAGTATTTCGGAGCGGGCACTCCTGCCTTGATTGAGGTCGTCGCAGTTCATCATGACAGCAGGTGGTTCCGAAAAAATCAAGCAAGAGATACCTCTTGGGCAGTGTCAACAACCAAAAGGCTAGAACATGATGATGCTGATGAAGTACATCTGAGGTCGGTCGAAGCCAATAGGATGTCTCTGGCAGAGTCCACCTTGGAGGGGGCTAGACCATGAATAGTTAAGCGTCCATGACGGGCCCAGGGGTCTCAGCTCAACAGTCTTTGCTGTTCGACATTCAGCATGTGCAAATCAACCCAGGCCTGTGTCTAGCACTTGCAAAGAGAACAAACAGACGCAATTCTCTATATCTACAGTGTCGTTGATCGGAAAGCCCCTAGCTCGGCAGCTTTGGCCATGAGTGAACCGAACCGGCCTCTTTTCTGTGGCGGAATGTATCATCCCAGTCTTGACATCTAAGAACCCCGCCAGTCGAACGGTGGGGCACCCGAGTTCCCGCTTCAGATTCAAAACTTTATCTCGGCTTGAGATGCACTAAGATCTTGCATCGTGACGAATACACGTCAATCACGACATCCACCCCCTGAGCGATGGGACCGGCAACGCGGCCACGTTCAGGAACCTCCGCAATGTATCCCCCCAAACCCTGGAAAGTGCCAATTACGTCCTCGAGCATGGCAACGGGCGCTGTAAGACATCATGACTGCTCATTTGAGGACTCTTAACCCCGTGCTATCCTCGATACGGCACTCTAACATGCACATTGCATTTGCAGGACTGTCGCTGAGAGGCGTTCATTTGGCAGCGGCATGGATTTCCGCCGTTCCTGTTGGCTGAGCGATTGGTTCAAAGCAAGTTTGGCGAAGTCTCGGGTCATCTTGGCCAGATGATTTCATGGAAACTGCATATTGTTGAAGGCTCCATGTCGTGCTACAATACCCGCACACATGACAAGTGACTATATGAACCCGTGGCCCGGCCCCATGTACAGGCGCTGTCCCTACCAGATCTTCCGTTCAGATCCTCAATCCGCTTTTTCCGCATCCTTTCCATACATTTCAACATGTCGGATCTTCAGGCTACCGTTGCCGAGACGCCCAATGGCTTCCATGTCCAGGGTTATGAGAAAATCGAATACGACTTTACCTTCATCGATGGCGTCTTCGACATGGGCAACAAGGCACTCGCCGACTGCTACGAGCGATGGGGACGTTGCCTGGCCGTTATGGATCTGAACATCTTCAATTTGTATGGCGAGAAGATGCAAGCTTATTTCGACCACTACGATATCGATCTCGACGTCCATAAGACCATGATTGGCGAGAAAGCTAAGTCAATGGATACGCTCCTGAGCATCGTCGATTCCATGACCAAGTTCGGAATTTTCAGAAAGGTGTGCCACGTCTTGCAAAGCTGAAATTGTGCTCTTGCTAACCTTCCCAGGAACCGGTCTTGGTCATTGGCGGTGGACTTGTTACCGATGTTGCCGGGTAAAACGCACTGCCAACGATGACTTCAAGGCACTCTGACCCAGCATATTCTTATGCTATTCTTTCATTTTGTGGATGTTTGCTAACCGTTCATGTCAGGTTCGCATGTGCCGCATACCGCAGAAACACAAACTTTATCCGTATTCCAACAACCGTCATTGGACTTATCGATGCTTCCGTATCAATCAAGGTGGCTGTCAATTATGGCAACTACAAGAATCGCCTGGGAGCTTACCACGCGCCCATGAAGACCTTCTTGGACTTCACCTTCCTCAAAACTTTGCCCGAGGCACAAATCCGAAATGGATTCGCGGAGCTCATCAAGATCTCAACTTGTGCTCACCTGCCCACGTTTGAGTTGCTCGAGAAGTACTGTACCGAGCTCATTCAGACGGGTTTCGGACGCACCAATGATGCTCCTGCCGAGGTTCGAAAGGCAGCTGACACGATCAACAAGGCCGGCATCTACGAGATGTTGAAGCTCGAGACGCCGAACTTGCACGAGATTGGTCTGGATCGTGTTATTGCTTATGGTCACACGTAGGTCAAATCGTACGCGTACGCCAACTGTTCGATACTAATGATTTCAGGTGGTCACCACTGCACGAACTGGTTCCCGAAATACCACTCCGCCACGGCCATGCGATCTCTATCGACATGGCGTACTCTGCCACTCTTGCAAACATTCGAGGAATTCTCAGCGACGCCGATCACAAGAGAATCCTCGACCTGTTTTCGACTGCCGGTCTCTCCATGGACCACCATCAATTCAACGAAGAGATTCTCGATAAAGGTACCAAGGCTATCCTCCGTACACGAGATGGCCTTCTTCGCGCTGCTGTACCTAGCCCGCTCGGCTCATGCATCTTCCTCAACGACGTATCTATGGACGAGATGTACGATGCACTAAAGGCCCACAAGAAGCTCATGAAGCAGTATCCTCGTAACGGAGAGGGTCTTGAAGCCTTCGTCGACTCGAGCGACACCGGTTACACGCTCAACAATCAGCCAGTCGAGATTAACGGTGTGTCCAATGGCCTGAGGAAGCTTAACGTTCTGAACGATGATTCTACACGCAACGGTGTGGAGTCCAACGGCACAGATGTGTCCAAGAAGCATGCATCTCGCCTTGAGCGTGTAGATGGGCTGCAGAAGTCGGTCAACGGTACAAATGGTCAGACCAATGGCGTAACAAATGGCACGAATGGTCATAGCAACGGAGTAACGAATGGTGTCAACGGTCATCAGTGACGTTGATAACATGGGCAATACACTGCTGCTATACACGATAGAAAGACGAGTGGTTCTTGCTTCATGCGCAATTCTCATCCTGGGTTGGTAGGGCGCCAACAAAAGCCAAGATTGACTACTTGAACCGCTATATAAGGCTGTCATCCCTGAATATTTCCTCGTTCTTCCAGCGTGATTCCGAATTATTCTTTACGTTCATTGTTGCGCCTCTGCACAATGCATCTGATTGTTTGTAGTGTTGCATCGCTGATTATTGCGTGTTGGGCTCAACGCGGGGGTGTCGGAAGTCCACATCCCTTCAAAGCATCGTTTGGTGATTCACCTGCTCCGTTCATGATTGACGTTGACCACGAATTCATACAAGAGACCTTACAACGAGTACGGCTCACAAGGTCGCCAGGTGAGCTGAATCAGCCGGAGTTGGTCGATGGGCCTCCAGTACGCGTCGCTTTGGCGGTGCGCGACCACTGGATCAAGGACTACGACTGGTTTCAGACACAACACGCATTGAACGACCAGTAAGGGTGGCATATGGCCTGTCTTACCAAGTTGACCACAAACAGATTCACACAGTTCACCACAACAGTTTCCATGCCCGCTGATTGCAGGTATACCGCTCCCGTCCCCTTGCACTTCATCCACCACAAGTCCGACCACGAAGGTGCCATTCCGCTCCTCTTCATACATGGCTGGCCCGGTTCTTTCCTTGAGGTCGGGCCTTTGCTGCCGTACTTACTCGACCCCCCCAATGCCTCAGCGCCCGCTTTCCATGTCGTCGCTCCCTCTATACCCGGCTTCGCCTTCTCCCCGGCACCCACACAGCCCGGTTTTGGTTACATCGAAGCTGCTCATGCTTTTGACGCGCTGATGCGGCAGCTTGGTTACTCACAGTATGTCCTCCAAGCCGGCGATGCTGGTGGCCTGATTATGCGCTACCAAGCCCACCTGTACCCTTCCTCGGTTGTCTCCGGACTCAACAACTTCTGGGTCGTCAGTCCTGAGATCTCGGACCTGGAACGTTATCACGCCAAAGAAGCCAGTGACGACGAGGTAGCCATCATTGAGCGTATGCAGTTCTTCATCAGCGAGCATTGGGGCTATGGCCAGATCCAGCAGACGCGACCGTTGCGGCTGGCACATGCTCTTACGGATAGCCCGGTGGGACTAGCGATATGGATCTACGACGGACTATGGCCTGCGGTCTGGGATCTCAGCGTCCTCACAGCTCAGGAGATCATTACATGGACCATGATGCATTGGATTCAGGGACCGTATGGAGCGTTGAGCATCTACAAGCAGGGCGGGCCTTTGGTGTGTATCTGTGAGACGAGCAGGAAATGTACTGACAGACACAGGGCGGTGGATTCAACGCAACTCACTTCACTCCGTTGCCGTATGTACATCAGCCAATGGCCATTTCTGAGTTTCCCAAAGACCTGTGGTATCGGACTGTAAGTCGTCGCGTGAAACGTGGCTGACCCCTTGTTGACTTGTATTTGCAGCCACTGGAGTGGACGCAGCGAACGGGAAACGTAAAGGTCCGCTACTTGCATGAAACCGGTGGCCACTTCCCGGCATGGGAGAATCCTGAGTTGCTTGCCAAAGATATCTGGAGCTTTTTCGGCGACAAGGAATTGTCTGGAATGAACGTCTTCCAGCGCTATGGAGAGCGTAAAGGCGAATTATAGATTGCAATATGTATGTAGACGAGCATCTTAGCCACTACGTAGAAAGTCGCGGTGCAATCTGGAGACATGGGAGGCGTAACCAGAGGGAAGTCAAACGTCAGAGAAAGTCATGACGCGATGGATCTGTATTTGGAGATGCATTTGGATCCTTTCACAGGCTTTGGTCGCTCAAAATGCCTGCCACTAATTTATGGTCTGGCTACTCTGAGAGTCGCTGAATTGTCAGCCATATTGAGCCACACGACGTGTATCTCTTGACCTGGATAGGTCCTATACACGCGCCAAGACTTTGCTGCCACTCTTCAGTCCATCCCACGAGAATGTCTGCCGACTTGAGCTATTTCACCTGCACACTAGGTCAAGCCGCCCTACTCAAACAGTCAAAAGCATACAAGACCATACCGGAATTCATTGATTACCAAGCCGAGCATTACCCTAACCATCCAGCCGTGGGTTGCTATACCCCTCAACCAGCCCCGGATTCTTGGCCGCACCAAGTCATCACATTCGCTGACGTTCAGCGAGGAACGCGACTCATCGCGGAGCACCTACAGCCAGCCTTGGGCCGTACAAATGGCGAAACTGTTGCCCTCCTCTGGCCCAGCTCCGTTGAGTTCCTGTTCACCTGGCTGGGATTGGTGTACGCTGGGCACCCAGTGCTGCTCATTGCGCCACAGTGCTCTTCTTCTGCTATTGCAAGCCTATGCCAAACATCTGCAGTGTCGGTCATCATCAGACATGGGATCTACGAGAAGCTGGCCGCCGATGCTTGTGAGCAAGCCCGGGAAAGCGGGGAGGATTTACAAAGCATGAGCTTCTCCTTCGCCAATGGCATACAGCGGAAAGTTCGAGACTCGCCCGCTACCACGCCACGACGGGCTGATGTATCGCCCGAAGATGTGGCTTACCTGCATCACACATCTGGCACGTCCAGTGGTACCCCAAAGCCGATCCCGCAGACACACCATGGGGGCCTTGCTGTGCTCCCGCGTCTAGAAGGCCAACGGGCTGGCACTTTCACCACCACACCTCTCTATCACGGCGGCATAGCCGATCTCTTTCGAGCGTGGACGAGCAACGCTATGATCTGGCTGTTTCCCGGCGCAGATGTGCCCATCACTTCCGCCAACGTTGCCCACTGCCTCAGAGCGGCTGCTGGAGCTCATCTTGAAGGAGAAGCGCCGATAGTGGCACACTTCTCGAGCGTACCGTACGTCTTGCAATTGCTCGCCGCTGACGACGAAGGTCTCAAACGCCTGCAAAGCATGGATATGGTTGGCGTCGGAGGGGCTGCTCTGCCAGTAGAAGTAGGTGATGGCCTGGTTTTGAAGGGCGTCAGACTTGTCTCACGCTACGGCTCTGCTGAATGCGGCTTCCTGCTCTCATCTAACCGCAAATACGAAAGTGACCAGGACTGGCAGTACCTGCGCCACGATGCAGCAGTGGACTCGCTAAGTTTCGAGGAGCGCGAGGGCGGACTCTACGAACTGATAGTGCGCAAGGACTGGCCGCACATGGCGAAGCGGAACAGAGACGACGGCGGCTACGATACTAGTGATTTGTTTGAGCGGCATCCAAGCATTGAGAATGCTTACAGATATCACTCTCGAGCCGACAGCCAACTCACGCTGATAACGGGCAAGAAGTTCGATCCCGCTCCCCTCGAGGGCTCCATCGCTAGCACCTCGGATCTGGTCGAAGATGCGATGATCTTCGGCGAGGGTCAGCCATACCCTGGTGTGCTGCTGTTCCGCTCAAGGTCCAGCGCAGACGTTGCGAACCAAGAGATCGTCGCGGCTCTGCGATCCACGATCGCCAAGATGAATACAGAATCTCAGTCTCATGCGCGAATACCTCTGGACATGCTCATCCCCATGCCGCCAGCGGAGCTCGAGAAGAGCAGTAAAGGCACGATCCTGCGACCTGTCGTCACAGGCCGATTTGCCAAAGAAATACAAGCAGCGTACAAAGACACCACTACTGATGGGTCAGATCAAGACATGCCGGACAGCGACGTCGCGTTCGCGCTTCTCAGCGCTGTCTCAAGCATCCTGGGCTCCGACAGCGGTGGGAAGCTGACACCAGAGACCGATCTCTTCGCTCATGGCATCGACTCGGTCGCGTCCATCCAGATCCGCAACAAGCTTTGGCGGATGCTGCCCAACGGCACAAGGTTGCCGCTGACCATCGTTCAGGATTGCGGCAGTGTGGCGAAGCTGGCACAGTACGTGCTCGCACTCCGTCATGGGCGGACGATGCAGCTTAGTAGCAAAACAGACTTGAAACATACGCATGGTCAGATGAAGGGGATGGTCGAGGAGTACTGCGACTTTCCATCGTCGTCTTCTCACTCGGAGACCCCGTCAACAGCGAACGACAGCAGTACCTCTACGGAGCTTCCCGACTCTGCAAACAGCAACACAGGGACCACCATACTCATGACAGGCTGCACTGGCACACTCGGCGCGCACCTCCTGTCCCACCTCCTCACCCATGCACCGGCCCTCGACATCCAGCATGTCTACCTCCTGGTCCGCGGCAGCACGCCCCACGCCTCCACATCCCGCGTCCACAAAGCTCTCCTCTCTCGACAGCTTTCCGTCCCGCCAACTTTCTCATCCCTCGTATCAGTTCTCCCCTGCAAGCTAAGCAACGCGAACCTCGGTCTCGAAGATGCCGTATATCAGCGCCTGGCACAAGAAGTTACACTCATTTACCACCTTTCCTGGCACGTCTCGTTCCTGGCTCCGTTGACCGCCTTTCGAACCCACATCGCCGCCGTCCAGAACCTTCTGTCCCTCACGCTTGCCCGGGCACCGACATCTCCCCTACCGTCTCCTCATTTCGTATTCTGCTCCTCCACCGCATCTGCCTCCTCACATCCAAGTCCGATACCCGAACAACTCCTCGCCAAGCCCGACGCTGCGGGACCGACGGGGTACGCACGCTCGAAATGGGTTGCGGAACAAGTCTGCGGGCGCTTCGCCGCGCAGTCACAGCTGCGAGGACGGGTGAGCATCATGCGCGTCGGACAGCTGTCGGGTAGTACGCGGACCGGATGCTGGGGCGGCAGCGAAGCCTACCCGCTCATGCTGGGAGTGTCCAAGGCCATGGGGGAGGTGCCCGATCTGGACGAGGCGAAGCGGAGATACGGCGGGGAAGAGTGCGCTTGGGTCCCCGTCGATGTCGCCGCGCAAGCATTTGCGGAGCTGGGCCTGCTGGGGACGCACGGATCGCCGTCCTCCCAGAAAATGATGACTGGAAATGGTGGATTGGTGGAAGAAGGCTCGGCGCAGTCGACAACGGGGTATGGAGGGTTGCAAGTGCTGCATCTGCTGCCGAAGCCCACCCACAAGCATTCCACCTGGAGCGACGTCCTGGCCTGTATCGCTGAACGGGAACCAGACGCCTTTCGTGTCGTGCCGGTTGATCCGTGGCTCGACCACCTCGAGCAACTGCGGGATAGCAAGGAGGAGGTGTTGCGGGCACATCCTGCTTTGCAGTTGGCGGACTTCTGGCGGAAATCATACTGCAGCGAGTCTGGCGGCGAGCGTGGCATCGCTGGGAAGCACGATGGTGCAGACATATTGAATCAAGGCGAGGCTGCGGACGGAGGCGAAGGGGAAGAATTGCGAGGAGAGCCACTGCAGGAGATGAAAGATGCACGGGAGTCAAGCACGAGTGGCTTCGTCATGGCGAACAGCTTGGAGGCCATGCCAATACTGAAGGACCGGCCCATAGCTGTTCATCTCGATGGAGGGTATGTGGTCAAGTGCTGGCAGTGGATCAAGGAGAATATCTGACTGTGCGAAGCACAAGTGAAGTAGTCTTTGCACTGCTGGTAGCGAGTCACAGTCGAAAAGAGCCTCTTCCGGACATGGTCTCTTCGTCTCATTGTCTGCTCTGTAGCTCGTCGAACCGCTGTTCGTACGGCACCATGACTGGAAAGCTCTACATGCCTTCCCACCAGCTGGTGTCCCGCTGCTCGACATCTTCATCGCTCGTTCTTCCAGTGCGTAGTTTGTAAGTCCTCTCCTCAATTACGAATACAGCCAGCCTGTCGGTAAGGTATATGAGACCCAGCAAAGCATATTCCACTCAGTTTGACAGTATTGCGCCGAGGTTCTGCTTTCCTGGAGAGCAACACATGCCCGCATCACCGAATGAACATGCCTTCAGCTCGACCCCACAGTGTTCTTGACTTGCCGACGTGGTCGAGACCAAGCATCTCGTCAGTTGCATCGCCAACAATCTCGGCTGGGATGTCATCGTCCTCCAAATATCGTGGCTTGGCGTACACTCCTCTGGGTACAATGGCGAACTTGACGTTCTGCAAAAGCTTGCCCTTGATGCCCGTCCTTTTGCTTAAGCGTTCCCGCATATCTGAGGTCTTTTCGTCGGGCTTCAAGACAAATCTGAAGGGTATTCCGTGAGGCTTCGCCGGTTCCTTGTCAAAATGGTAGCAATAGATGAACTTATCGTCCTCTGCTGCTCTCAACTCATCTTCGGGGATCCGTTCCGCGTAGAGAGTTGTGAACTCGTTGACACCCACAACGTTGAAATCCTCCATGAGCTCTTTGTGGATCTTGCCGCTATGGACTTCGTAAACGCGAATGTGGCGGCTTGCAGCTTCATCAAAATTGAGCTTCTTCGAGATTCCTGATATGAGGTCACCGATGATGCCGTTCTTGGGAACTAGAATTTCCAAAGGTTCCTACATGTGTTAGTCATTAGTCGTGAAAACCTTGGATAGACTCACCTCTTTGTTGATGCCTTCGCTGAGCCAAAAGACTTTCATAATCTTCTTGGTCTCATAGTCTGCAAGGCTCGTTTCGAGGACTTCATAATACAGGGCATCATTTCGGTGGGTGACATAGCCACCATAAGTCGAGTACTGCGAGTGCAAGATCTGGTTCAAGTTCTGGTTCAGGTTCCGCTTCACCCAAGCTTTAGGCTTGCCAGTCGTACTGTTGACGGTGGCGAAGCGGATGTGCGTAGGCTCAGCTTTGACATGCTCTGCCACCTTGGCTGAGAACTGATCATATGTCATCTTTTTGCTCAGGGTCAATGTGAAGATATCGCCGTCATGTCCAGGCCTGGGGTGGAACTGAACAGGCGTCCTGTTTAGCAGGAAGTCATAGTACTGCCGAGCATCGGTGTAGGTAACCCCAGACTGATCTACGTCAGTCAAATTTTGCTGAAAGCAAATGATGTCTCCATCCTGGATTTCCGATTGCTGGAACGTTTGTTTCGGCTTCATGGCCTCAATCATCGAGAACTTGATCTCTTCGAAAAGTAGAAGGGGCGTGCTTGGGTCCCACTGCATTACCTTGCAGATCTGTGGAGCGATTTCGGAGACCTTGTCGTTTTTCCTGACATAGACATGGCCGACTCCTGTGAGAGACTGTGCCTTGACATCAAAATATTTCAGGAAGACCAGGATCGGATTGTTGCCGTTCGATGGACTCGCTTCTGGGAAGTGCACCTTGCCGTCTTCGGACTTCGGGCAAACCTCAGCCCACAGATACCATTGCTTTCCTCTCGATGCATACTTGCTCATTGCTTCCTCAACGGTAATGTCGGTCTCACGAATGGGTTGATCCGGGCGGTTGGTTTTGTTTTGTCGACCAACCATAGACCAAAATCTTACCTGGTCGCCATCAACCCCAAGGCCTTCACCAACCTTCGCCGCAAAGTCGCTAATCTTGGAGGCTCTAAGCACGCGATGAATATTCGCAGCAGACGGATCACTGGTGTCAGAGTCGTAGTTGACGAGATCGAACGTGCGATGTTCCTTGAACGTCTGCTCGGTAATGACGCCGACGTGCAGATAGAGATGAGCCTCCTCGCGTTCCTTTTTCCGACGTACAAGCTCGGCTTGTTCTTCGGAGATTCTTGACTCGATGTGCTCGGGGATGTCGGCTTCTTCGACACCAACAAAGACTTGCTGAAGACGACACTTTCGAATGTACACCAACATGTACGCATTCATAGACCTCTTGGTCGAATAGCCTCTCATGTAGGGTTGTCGTTGGCCGATTCCACCGTTGGCAACATTCGCGTATTCGCCACCATAGTTCTCCTCCAGTACTTCACGCATAGTGGATCGAGTAACTCTGTCATCGTCGAATTTGTAGAACACACCATCTGCCGTGGGCTTCAAGAAAGCGTAGTAGTGGCCAGCATTGAAGTCGCCACTGTGTACCAGTACACCGTGTAGCTGGTAAGTCCAGTCCTCGCCTCTCGCTTTAGCTTCGTCAGACAAATAAGGGGTTCCATCAAACTCATCTGGGAACTCGTGTCGATCGTTGACCTTCATCATAGCATCACGATTAATATCGTACTCGAAACGTTTGAGTTGAAGATGAAGTACGGGGGGGAAGCTCTCGAAGATGACGCCTTTCTTAGCATCTTGGAGCTTATAAGGCTCGCCAGCATCATACTTATTCTCCCCCTCGAGTGTCTCGACTTGGATGTAGTCCATGAAACTCTCATGGAGGTTCTTGTTGCCGCGAACATTGAGTTGAAGATCCCAAAAGTCTTCGAGGCGTGAAGACTCGAAGTCCACATTGATGCAGGAGATGTAGGTCTTCATGCGCCCAACGAAGAGCTCCGGGAGAGTTTTCTCGGCGGGGGTATCTTTCATCTTCTTCTCGAGCACCTCCATCAAGATACGCGACAGCTCTTGGACGTCTTGTTGCTCGAATATCTGACCACGGTCCCACCCAAATGACGAGGTCAACTCATTCGTTGAGACTGCAAGTTTGTCCTTCTGCAGCCGATAGAATAGCCTCTGGAGGGTCCAAGCACTGTTGCTCTTGGTGGCTTCGTTTTCGGTGGGTATTTGGTAGACGGCTTTCCGGAAGGCATCGGTAAAGTAAAGTGATTGCAGAAGCGAGTTGAGGTAGCAAGTCGCACCCTGGTTCTTGAGACCGATCATGCCCGTCTCTTTCTTCGAGTCATAGCCTTCGAAGTTGTGCCACAGGACTCCCGTGGGGTCTTTAATAACCCGCACGTATGCTGTAAGCATGGCCTCATCGTTCTCCACAAGATGCCTGTTGCTGTCCTCCCACGGCGTATGGAAAGCTTTCCTCAGCTCGACAAATCGCGTAAAGCCCCAGTCGCCCTCCTTAGCATTGAAGCGGTGCTGAGCGGTGTGGGTGCGGTACAGGGTTGGGTCGTGGGGGTTCCAGAGAACGAGTGCGAACTGGACGCAGGCGTACCAATCTTGCGGAGGTTCGGAATCGTATCCATGCTCGAGGTAGAATGAGGCACAATCGACCTGATTGCCAAAAGGGAAGAAAAGGACTCGCCATGGTGCGCCGCCACATTCGAAGACAGGACCATGTTCCTTTCTTTGCAAATTCCGCCACTTTTCTATGTGCCAGGTATTGTGAGTTTCGTCCAGAGTCTCGAGGCCATCTTTGTCTATGAGGAGAAGTTCCTTCATCTGCTGATCTTTACTACCGTCAGCTTTGGTACCGGAAATGGTAGACAGTACTTACAATCATCTGCGCGCAGCGAAGGAGCTTCGGCGGCATCTTCGGAGTGCTCGTCTGCGGATATATTGACGACCTCATTTTCTTGTTGATTATATTGATCATAGCCATCAATGAGCATATCAGGACCGGCTAACTGTAGGGTGCGCAGGCGAAGCAGCTTGTCAGCATCCATGATATCAAAGAACAGCGTCAGAGTGCTAAAGTGCAATCAATGTGTCAAGACATACGTTGTCCATGCTGGCCGCAGCCAGTGGCTTTCGGAAGGCTCGAAGAAGATGTTATCCAGCTTCCTCACTTTCGTTGAACCAGAATTGACGGATGGCAGGCACGATGTAGCGCGGAGACGTGGCGGCGGGGGAGTTATGGGTTGGCAGTGAGTAATGGACGTCGGTGATTCGGGCTTTAACACAGCCAAACTGATAAACAATGGCAGGCCCGTCAAACAGAAGGAATGGGAATAAGTCGCAGGCGTTTGTCTGTTTGAAGGAGTAATTCTACACTGTCGAGGGTAGGTCGAAGTTGTTCTTGTTCAGGGTAGCCTGCATCGGCAGAGGCAATGACGAATAGCGTCGTGGAAATCCTGGCCCGCAGCAGCCACCACAACCCATCGACTCAGAATCACCTCCCGTCACCACAGCTTGACACTTTGTCACTCTCATTGCCATTGCCAGCACGCCTGTTCCGTTCGCCAATCAATTACGGAGTTGATTGGGCAGTGCATGGGCTGACTCAGAAAGTGTCCTTCAGAACATGTCCGGCCTGGCCGAGTGGATGACTTCAAATCAAGCACATCTCACTACGGCTGGCATGAGATGCTGCATGCCGGCCGTGCTTCTCGGCTGCGGCGGGTCTACTTCCTGAGCAATGTGCAAGCTGTTGGCCAGAAGAGATGGTCATCGACGCCTCCTCCATGGCGACCTGCATCGGTGCTGGATGAGTACGTCGACCCCGCGTCTGTCGTGCACGTAGCAAGCTAACACCTCTGGCAGCTGGGTGGTGCGGCCCATCCGTCCCATGAGCTTGCAACAGCTCTTCTTCTTCGGCCGAACCCTGACTGAATCCCGATTGTTGAGCTCTGCCAACTATGTTCGACTGGAGCTGCCGACCCGACTGGCACACCGCCTGCGTGATATGCAGAGACTGCCCTATGTCGTGGTCACAAATCCGCACCTCTCGCTAGTCTACGAGCTTTACTACAAATCCTTCGAGAACTTTCGCCGTGTGCCCGTGGTTAGAACGCCCGAGGATAATGATCAATTTTGCAAGGTCATTAGCGAGAGTCTGAAAGAGCATCTGGCAGTCATTCCTAATCTTGTTATGGGTGTGCTCCAGTGTCAAGACCATGTTGCGCCAGATGTCATGGATAGCTTTGTTCAGGCTATGCTACGGGCACGCATCTCAAGAAGGGTCATTGCAGAGCAGCACCTTGCGCTCAGTGAAACCTACAACTCGCCGTGGCACGTGCCCCAGCCAAGTTCAGAGAATGACTTCGTGGGCGAAGTCTTGCTGCGGTGCAACGCCAAAGAAGTCGTCGAGCGCTGTGGCAGAATTGCGCAGGAGATCTGTGGCATCAACGAGGGTGCTGGATCTCGTGTTCCCCAAATCAAAGTTCAGGGCCATACCGAGGCTACCTTCCCCTACGTACTGAGTCATCTCGAGTATATCGTGGGCGAGTTACTCCGGAATTCGATACAAGCCGTCATGGACAAGTACCCGGATCCAGGTCCGCCCCCACCGCCGATCGAAGTCCTTATCTGCGAAGCCGCCCAGCAGGTAATCATTCGTATCTCAGATCGTGGCGGTGGAATCCAGCGCGACTTACTGCCATTTCTGTGGTCATTCAACAAGGGGCCGCGGAGCTCATCACGATTGCAGAACTTGGGCCGAGTACCAGAACTGGCTGCAACCATCCATGAGGTTCAAAAGCCCAAAGCAGGCCAAAGGCGAGATTCATCGCTCAGCACATTGGCAGGCCGACCTCCCGACCTAAAATTGGGCATGGGCTTGCCAATGAGCAAAGTGTATGCCGAGTATTGGGCAGGTGGACTCGAGTTACATAGCCTCGAGGGCTATGGCGTGGACGCATTCCTCCAGATCTCAAAGCTTGGCAACCAGAACGAGCAGCTTACCTCGAGGGCCAGTATCGACGCGGTTTAGTCAACTTGCAGGAGGGTGATGCTCTAGATCTCGCATTAGTATGAATGGAATAGCAGTATTTACAAGGACATGCGAGCTGTGAATGCCCATCAGACAGTGCCTTTTTCAACATTCTCAACCAGCGTCGCATTCGAGCGGTTGAGTGTCGGATTACCAGAGCTGGAATTCTTCGATCACATAGGCATCATGAGCACAAGAGCGAGGTAGCACGCACATTAAAAAACGGATAGAATGTTCCGTCAGTCAGGTCATCAACGCATCATGGGAGCCAGAGGCCCTCGTGATGATGGTTTTAGATGCGGACTGTGTTTGTTCTCGACCAACACATCGAAATCTCCAGCTTCATGAGAACCGATACAACAGCTGATGATGAGTTTGGATTCGTGGTCTGTTAAATAAAGGAAGAAAAGAGCATTAAGAGGTCTGAAGTGGCTATTGGGTTTTTTGCGGAGTGGAGCCGGCGCTGTCTTGGGTGCATCTTTTGGGGGCGCGCAGTCTGCATCTCGTCGTCTGTTCATTTCAAGCCGCAATTCCTCGAAGCCCATACCGTTATATCTTCACCGCACACGAAATTTGTTTCTTCATAGTCTCGAAAGTTCCGTCAGCGATCAAGTCTCTCCATTGCCACCGCCTTACCATCGCACAACCCACGAAGAGTCCGTACAAGTCCTTTTGGTGCCGCGATTAGATCGAACAGAACATCTTGTATGAGGCTTGGAGAGCTGAGGCAGTCGTCCCAAGTTTAGGCAAGCTGGCGGGCGCAAGATAACAACTCGTCTCTCATCCCGCCGAATCTCTTCCCCTCGTTGCCCATGGAAAACGCAAACCTCTGGACCCGTCGCTCAAAGTACCCTACCCTCCATCCCTGCCATTCGAACGCTAACAAGATTTGCAGCACCAATAAGCTGTCTCTGTCCATGCGTGATGCAGAAGGCAAAGATGGAAGCAAGATAGACTCTCCCCGCTCCTACAAGAGATTCGGCGATTCCTCCTCCCACTCTAAAACAAACCCTTTTAGCGCTCTTTCCCCTTCAGCGTCCAAGACTCCCTCGGCCAACGCTTCGTCGGCATTTGGTCTCGGAAGTGGCGCATTCGCTTCATTTGGATCTGCTAAAACTCCTAAGACTCCTGGGTCCAACGCAGGTTTCGATTTCTCGGGCAAGGAGAAGAAAGACAAGGACCGGGAGTCTGTGGGAGACCAAACGGAGGGAGAGGCAGCCACAGAAGCTCTGTCCCAGACTGGCCATTCAGTGAGCGAGCATCCCCTGCGTAATAGCTGGATTTTGTACTATCGCCCACCCGCCAACAAGTTTTCCGATTATGAGAAGTCTACAACAAAGGTTGCTACAATATCCACCGTCGAGGGCTTCTGGACGGTTTACTCCCACCTCAGGCGCCCTTCAGCGCTGCCTACGGTCTCGGACTACCACATTTTCAAGGACGGTATCCGACCCGTATGGGAGGACGAAGCTAACAAGCGTGGCGGTAAGTGGATCGTGCGCTTGAAGAAGGGTGTGGCGGATCGTTACTGGGAAGACCTGCTTCTAGCCATCATCGGCGACCAGTTCCTCGAAGCCGGCGACGAGGTCTGTGGTGCAGTTCTGAGTGTACGGAGCGGTGAGGACGTCCTAAGCATCTGGACTAAGATCGATGGTGGCAGAAACATCAAGATCAGGTATGGATATTCACTGCACATATGTATCAGTTTGTGGCTAACGTCAGCTCCAGGGAGACGATCAAGCGCATCCTTTCGTTTCCCGCCGACACGAACATCATTTGGAAGAGCCACGATGACAGTATCGCCCAGCGATCGGCTTTGGATGAAGCTCGCCAGCAGAAAACGACAGGGAGCGGTGGGCAGTCAGGGTCTGAGAGACGACGGCCTACGCTTTACGATGACTCGGATCGCGTCAAGGGCAAGAGTACCTCATGATGGCAGACCCAAGTCTTTTTCACGACTTGTAGCATTAGTGTACTCCGTATTCATGCAAATCAGCCGATTGCTTCTAACAAAGCCCACCAATGATTGTCAGCGCCCACGTGTACGTCACATAGTTCGGGGCGTCAGTGCTTTCCGCAACGACAAAGCGCTCTGTCTCTCACTTGCCTTAGCTCGCGCATAGTCAATCACAAAATGGTCCAAAGTCCTGCCCAAACGCGTGTCAGTGCTCGATGTCGTACAGTAAGAAATGCAGGTTATCCGGGACATGCTGCGGTTCGTTAGCGGCTCTCAACATGAAGACAGTGAAGGAAACCCCGGTGATCATCCTGATGCGCACAGCACCCACCACCACAACGATAAACGTAAACGCGCGCTCTCAACTTCGAGCTCCGAACATGCAACACGTGTCAGGACACGCGCCTCTACCCAACAAGCCCCTATGAGCGACTCTGGTCCTCCGCACAAGCCGGGTGGCCAGAATCAATTGAAAACCCGCTTCAGAGCGAGGGCGCAGGAATCTGCTCGTTTGGATGTTGAAGTTGTACGCTGGCATTGCCCTGGTTCAGACTATACGTCGCTGACTTTCTCCTGCAGATTTCAGATTCCGACCATGACGAGCACCCCCGAAAAGCACATGGAAAGACCGTCCCCACCCGTCCGCTCAACCCCCTCAGCGAACGCCGATACTCGAGCAATGCTGTATCTGCAGACGAGCTACGTGAAGAACACAGACTGATCGGAGGTGCAACGTACGGATTCGCTACCCGCGGTCAGTTTGTCCCAACTGACCATCCACCTAGAACTCGGGAAGCAGACGAAATTCTGGTTGCAGATCCCATGAAAGAGGCCATGACGCGGAAGAAGCCAAATGTCAGCTGCTGCAGACGTTACCCGAGAAGACCGCTGACCGTGAATAGATCCCGGGCGGCTTGAAGCCCATGAACACGACCACGGGACCCAAGAGCTCTGAGAGTACCAGAAGCCGATACTTCAGTGACCATAGAGGGAGCATTGCCGCACCCACGAAAGCCTTTACGGCCTCCACCGACTCCTATGGCAATGAGCACACACATCCAAACAAAAGACTTAAACTCGACACAAGTGCGACACAGCAAAGCCCTGCAGCCTCTCTAGCCAGATCAAAAACCCCCACACCTAATCGAGAGGGCCGCAGCAAGTCGTATGCCATCAGCCTAGATGACAGCCACGATGGAAACACTCCCCTACAGTTTCGGCACCACGAGAAGAGCCTTCAGTCGAGGGAGGTACACGGCTCAATAGAGAGCATTCTTGATGACCCGCACATGAGCGCTGGTAACGCACGACATCCCCGCTCATCCCATACTCTCGATGATGGTGCAGTCAATTTTGGAGCGCGCAATATCAAGCGGAGTTTGCGAGAGTCTAGCAACGGTCCCCTCACCCATGCGAGAGCATACGCAGGAATAAGCGAAGGAGACGAAGGCGCCTATTTTCTGCAGCAGTCCAAGCGGCAGCGCAAAACCACGTCTACTCATTCGGATGAAGCACCGGAGACGCTGCAGGACAAGCCTAATCGGCCTACGAAGCGGCAACCAGGAAGTCCGGCGTTGACTGCACGGTTCTTCGGCGCGAAACACGTCGATGTTCCGTCAAGCAGTCCAGATGCTTTGCAAGAAGATGAGCCTGACTTGCCCCATAGGCCCATTAAACCGCCAACACCTCTTCGAAGTGATCTGCAGCGTTTGACTCCGAATACGCGATTGGCAGACAAGATACTTGGGAACTCTGACAGCAGCAAACTGGTTCGCCCGAAGGCCAAGAAATACCTAAGAGCGCCACCAGAGGCCTTTGCTCTAAAAGAGATTTTGGCTCATGGACTGATCAATACTCCAGATTATTATGAGTTCTGGGTGGATCCCGAAAAGAAGGACTTCTATATCATGCCCAGACACTCACGATTGCAGAACGAGTCGTTGATGACGCCCCGTGACGTCTCTAGTATTTGCCAGGCATATCACTCGGACACCACCGGTTTGCTCCATCTCAAATTCCGTGGCAGTCTGGACAAAGTATCGGATGCATATACGCTTCGGCTCGAGTCCGACAAAAGTGCCTATGATCTACTCAAGGCACTCCAGAAAATACAAGAAATAGACGATGTTGTACTGAAAGAAGATCACTGGATGGAACGTCTTTTCGAGAAGCGCGCTCGTGCTATTGACGAAATGGATACGTCTGGTACAGCGCATCAACACAAACCTTCGGAGTCGACCGATATCTCTCATCACTTCAAGCGAAGCGACAATCCTATACGACGCCAGCGCACTACGGATCACCGAGATCTACCTAGAAGCCAGGCTAAGCATGCAAGCCCTACCGTGATCACTGGAGCGGAGCGGAGTGGTCAATCTGTCAGCCGACCAGAAACTCGTACTCAGAATTTGCGTCGTGTTGTCGACTCAGATAATCGCCATGAATTGGAGCCAGACGCGACAGAGGAATTGGTCGAGCAACCTGCAACAAGTCGAACAACTAGAGCTTCCCGAAGAGCCGCACCACCAAAGCCCAGGACGCCATCTCCTCCGAAAATCAAATTCTCGAAAACTGGCGGTCTTGGTACTCCTTGGGAGAATGCTTTAGTCTACCCTCCCTCGGGGAAGAAGCGTGAGACGGTAGACTTCGGGAGTCTCGAGCGCCTAGACGACGATGAGTTTCTAAATGATACTCTTATCGGGTTCTTTCTGCGATATTTACAGTATCAAGTTGAGCAGACTCGCCCAGAGCTCATGAAAAAGATGCATTTTTTCAATTCTTATTTCTTCGACAACCTTACAAAAGGTGCCAGGTCAAGGAAGGATATCAACTATCAGTCAGTATCGAAATGGACTAAGGCTGTTGATCTCTTCACGCGTGACTTTGTCATTGTACCCATGAACGAGCACCTACATTGGTTTGTGGCCATTATCTGCAACCTTCCACACCTTAAGAGGACAGCGGATGATGGAGGGCATGAGGACAACGGCGCAGAAGACTCCTTGGCTACTGCAGGCGGGCCTGGCTCAGATGGTACCAACCAGGCCACAAACGAGACTCAGAAGTCCTTCGAAGAGCTCAGTATCGAAGACAAAGAACCTCAATTCGGGTCTCATTCAACAAGCCCACTGAATAGATCCGGCAAGAAGGGCAAGAAAAGGAAGCGTCAATCTTTACCGAAGTACAATCTCAAGTCACCTGTGATCATCAGCCTCGACTCGCTTGGCCAACCCAGAAGTCAAAGCTGCTCATTTTTGAAGCAGTATATTGTCCAAGAGGGCAAAAACAAACACGGCCTTGATATCGACGACAAAAAAATTCCTGCTATGACTGCCAAAGAAATACCCACGCAGGGCAATTTCAGCGATTGCGGCCTCTATGTTTGCATGTATCTTGAACAGTTCATGCGTGATCCAGACGGCTTTGTACGAGCAGTACTCCAGCGTGGAAGTTTACTGTGGCCGAAGCCAATTCATAGCAACGAACTTCGAAGCCGGTTACGAGCCCTCATACTGGAACTTCACCGCGAGCAGGAGGGAGAAGAGGCCAGAAAGCTCATTCCAGAACTGGGCAGCATCATGGTTGATATGCGCATCGCGGAACCCGAGGTGATCCCCAACAGCCCTCCAGCAGAGAAGGCCGAGTCCGCAACACGTTCCGACAATGCTCGAGAAGGCCAGACGAGACCGGCAGATGAAACCCGAAAAGAAAAGATCGACACGCCCTGGATGGTCCCTTCGCGCACTACTAACGAGGTCCGGCCTGCAACGCCTGCGGCTTTGAAGCGCCGTCATGAGGATGTGTCCGGACAACACATCGAGCCTAATGCCATTCTGATTGAGGATGATAACGAGTCGCCGCCTAGCGTGCGGAGCGCAAAGAGGCACCGGCGAAAGTCATTGGATTTTGCAAACCACAAAAGCCCCAAAGAACTAGCTGCGGCTCTACGTCAAGCAAGAGATTCCGAATTGGCTGAACGACAACTCAGAGCTGCCAGTGTCAACACCGACTTCATGAACAGTGATGCGCCTTACGAAAGGGCTGCCTCCAATGACCGGCTTAGCCTCCCAAGCTGGAACTCCGATCATGGTGAAGGACAACAGGGGCCATTCGAAGGAGCGAAACCAGACGCGAGGGAGCAGTCTGCTGAAATTCCAGAGACGCAGGACGAGCAGCTGCCCGAAGTCGAGTTCCAAGGCGCATCACAAGGTCGTGCAGGCTCTCAAGAGGTAATAATTTAGGGCATAGCAACAAGAGTACATGCTAGTAATTATTGTTCGAAGCAGAATCAAGATGAATGATTAATCGTCCTTGCTCGTGTACTCTAGTGGGCATCTCGATTACACTGCATGGTTGCCAAGATTCTCAGGCAGTGAATCGGCGATGATCGATCTGCAGAATAATCACCAAGGTGCGCGACTAAGCCACTTTCCTAAGCCCCCGTGTCGTGGTGAGGGATACTGAGGCAAGAAGACAGCGCCCCGGTGTCTGTACCTGCAGAAGTTGCTGTGGCAGATGAAGCGGACTGCACCGAATTCAGAACCGTGGGCACCAATCCCAAAAGACGAGTCATTTCTTGACAAGCGCAAAATCTAGCAGGCTGCAGGAGTACCCCACGGCGGGACGTTAGTTATGCAGCCCGGGCTGACTGTTTGGAGGGGCGGCGGCGGCTGCCGAGATTTGGGCGGCGTAGGACTTGCAGGCGTGGCAGTCCCAAAAAAATCTCGCATAATTACGTCGCAGATCGCTCCAGCAAGTAGCCCACACAGTTACAATTCATGACCCAGCTCTTCAATTTCGTCTGGTTGTAGATTCGAATCTCTCCATTGTCTACACTTCCCAAGGTATACCTAGCCGCCGGTTACAGGCATTTCACGAGCTCGTTGTTGGCGCATACCCCCGCCTCAGGGTTTTGCCCTCGTCCAGTCCAGATCCTAGTCGGAGCTGAGACTTCAGTCACACATTGCATCCGTCCAAAATTCACTTTCACGACCGTTTCCATTTCACCATCGCTACAAGCGAAATCAGCGAGTCTGGCGCACCGCGAGACCCATAGGCTGTAAAGCCGCTTTCTGGCTTCGGTATTCGATCCTCAGTCCTCTATGAGCCCAAAGGATTTGCTGCGCTTCCTGTCCAAGCCCGCAAAGTGAGTCCACTCCAGGCTTCTCATCACTTTCAGATCCTCCGAGATGTTCTAGGCCTTCTCAGTTTGCTGTTGAGGTTAGTCTAACTGTCCCAGGCCCAGATAACACCTACTCCGTTCTACTCTCGCCAACCAGAAGAATCACACCATTTGAAAGAGCATTGTCACTTGTGCTGCGTGACAGCGTCGACGTTTGATTTGAAAGACCATTAAAGACCGCCCACAATTCCGTTCGTGCAGGAGATCTTCTTCCTCCTCTCCTCCACCCGACCTCCTTAACACGACCCCCGAAAGGTCAGCCAACCCATACCACATTGCTGCTGGCAAAAGCCAGCCTCCACAAAAGCCACAGATAGTGGGCCTTCTCTACTCAGGCGAACACCGCATTGTTCGTCTGGGCGGCAGATAGTGCTTCACTGAATCATTCGTGATCAGTGCCTCTACAAGCCGCAGACTACCAGTCAACAACCCCATCTAATCGCACGTCCTCTTTTCGGCCAACCCGGAACGAGGATATGGTAAACATTGGGATTCCCAAGAACTATACTGCGTCTCCTACGGATTTGCACGCGTCGGCGTCTTTGACCAGCCGCTCCATCAATCATGAGGCTATCACCGATCTAGATTCGAGCAATGCCTTTGAAGGTCAGTTGCCATGCCGAGCAAGTATCCCGCAAAGCTAATTGTACTGTAGGCCCCGAGAAATTGCTTGAGGTCTGGTTCGCGCCCTCGCCAAATGACCTACTCGATTGCACTGAGCCTAAGGGCCTGAAGGCTGTCCCAGCCGAGGTCTGGAAGACCATGCTCGATCTTGTCCACTGCCAGGTTCTGTCAATCGTCGAAAGCGAGGATGTCGATGCTTACCTCCTGTCGGAATCAAGCATGTTCGTCTTTCCCCATAAGCTCATCTTGAAGACATGTGGGACCACCACCTTGCTGTGTGGCTTGCCACGCATCTTAGAGATTGCCACATTGTTCGGCGGCTTTCCTCGCAACACCGCACCCCCCAATCCGGGAATTCTGGTTGCTGCTGCTCCCTATCGCGTCTTTTACAGCCGCAAGAACTTCTTGTTCCCTGATCGCCAGAAGGGTCCTCATCGCAGCTGGAGGGACGAGGTCCACACTCTCGACAAGTTGTTCCTTCATGGCAGCGCCTACATGATTGGCAAAATGAATGGTGACCACTGGTATCTGTACCTCACCGAACCATTCACCATGCTCACTCCTCCGGCCAGTCCCCAGAGTATGGACAGCCCCGGTACCGAAACGAAAGTCATCGATCTGCCGTCTTCGCTTGTTACAGATCGTGCGGCCAAGGTGTGCGAGGGAGAAGATGAGACTCTGGAAGTCCTGATGACAGACCTTGACGAGGATAACGCCAAGCAGTTCTACCTCGAAAACGCGAGTGCGGTCGCGGCTGAGAGGTACAAGAACG